CAAAATTTCGTTTCTCATAAGTTTCAAAAGATTCCCAGACTATCAAAATAGCGCTAATTGATTATGAGCGGAATATCATTAAACGTCGAAAACGATATATAATGAGATCGATTTGCATTATGTGGTTTGGGGATTGATTAAATGCTTGATGCCTTTTATGTGTCGAATTTGATTAGAAAATGAATCAAGCTTGAGACGCGCAGTTTGTCTATCTTTAGTTTCGCTCTTCTTACAAGCTTAATACTCATTTAACGGCTGATTAAGATTCAATTAAAGCTGAGAACGAGGAAGAAATCATTATGAGAGCGACGATAGGCAAAACTTACATGGCACTGATCCACTAACGTCTTAATTCTCAACTCGACATCAACAACGATCGTTCGTAGAGACGCCGTAATTATAATCACGTAAAGCCCATTAAAACGTGATCAAAACCAAAGAAAGAAGCGAAACGAGTAAGATGAAAATGTGATTATAGTTGCTTATGATGCTTCAACTGCGCTTCAACTTCATAAACCTTCATTGATTAAAATTAAATTTTCAAAGTCTCTTCCCTTTACTTACAACAATACAAAGCGAAGATCGACACATTCATCGGTTAGTAATGAGATGTAGGAAGTCAAGAAATCGATAACTTAAACGATTGTTATTAGTATCATTCCCACAGTCAACTCGTTTGACCTCTGGATAATCAATGATTATTCTACAAGTGGAAGCATCATTTGACCGCATATCAATTAACCAATTGAACATCAGTTAACGAATCGACAAAATTTTTAATTGATTATCTAATTGAGTGGAAGTGAAATTTAAAAAACAAAAACAAAATTTAATGGTTTTGCCCGAAGTTATTTTAATGAAAAATGAGGTGATTAAGTAATCAAACATTCTCTGCTTTACATCCAGCTGCGAATTCACAAATCATTCGATGAAATTCAATCCAGCGACGGAGAGATATCGCTTATTGATATCAAGCCCTCAATTCCTTCGACATTTATAATTAACGATCAACATTTATAAGAATGTCAATTTGGATTTATCTTTATATTGGTTTTAAGTTCTTCTGGGCTAAAGAACTGAGGTGCAATATCCGAAAGAAACCGTAATGTGAGATCTTTATTAATTCGTTGCCATTAGTGGCGCAAAATTGAGCATTTTAAGAAATGTTTTCTCTTTTTTCACAAAAAAATGATATTTCTATACAATCACTTAACAGATTACTTCAGTTTTCAACTTTATTTCGTTATCCCTCAAAATATTATCACAACACGCTGGGGATGAGAAAGGGAATTTAATTTCATGACTTTAATCAAAAATAATTGAGACGTCTCTCGTAGCATGTATGATTGTATGTACTTTGGATAAGTGCAACTTTAAAACATTTATCGATAATGACGCCAGTGTGTTGCATTAAGTATAATGTGCTATACTGATCGCAACATTGAAGCATAAATTATATCCGCAATGATTTTTCATTATAGGAATGTTGGAAAAAGCCGCCAAGGACGGACGCTGCTTAATAAAGCATCAAGAGAAACCAAAAATTAATTAACGAACTTAACTTGCAATTCTAAATGTTAGATTTTAATCTTTTCCTTGCCGTTTTCTTTTCTAAGATCATATTTTGATTTATGCTTAAATTACAGCGATTATTTATTACTTACAATTTAACCTGCTTATTAACCGATAGCTTGACGTTGTCGTCGTTTGAATTGTTGCAATTGAACTTGTGATAATTATAATTTGTACTTCTCATTCACTATCCCCAATCCTCTTACATTTCATGATTCTTAAATATCTTTTTGCACGAATGATAAATATTCAAAGCGAATATGACAACAAGTATGTAGCTTCAATCGAAGGGTTGCAAACTCTCAACAAGAACATTTACTTATTGATCAATTTTGAAAAAGCTATAAGTAAGTTATTATTCCTCAAGTTCTCCTCCCTCGTGACCCCCACAGTGCATTAAGAATGAGAAATAAAGTGATTTAATGCAAAATAGTAATCAATGATTGCTTCCAGCTACTCTTGCCAAGCTTTGAGTTATGCTACATGGAATCATTCGCGTTTATTTTTAATTTGAAACATACAACAACATAGATTTCAAAGCATTTCAATGAGATGATGCCACGCACAGATGAAGAAGAGAAAAGCGATTTCGATCAATCTTCACTCGAGGATTATAAATTGAATTAAACTCTCGAGAGTTCGCTAACATTTCGTCTGCGTTTTTAATTACGAAACGATCAACTCGTCGTCTTTCAGCTGATAATTAATGAAGTGATGAATTTAACGTTAAATTTAAAATGTAGAATGCATTTTTGTCGGATTGCATTTATGGTGAAATGGAGTGATGAAGATTATTAATGAAAGTTGTTTGTTTGTTTACTTAACTTGTTGCTTTCATGTCATACTTTAAGAAATTAATCGTCCCCGGTTTTGTGGAACTTTAAATAGGATCAGTGAATTAATTAATGAAGGAGATTGGCACAAATTCAAGTTGTTGGCGACATAGCAGAGCTGAAAACTACATTGACATATTCCCAAGTCGAACATACATTGTCTCAATGAAAAAATCTGTGACGGAACACAAATCGTCTTCTCATGTTCATTCGCATAAGACGACACAAGACAAGTTATTAGTTTTCCATCAATTTCCATTCATAATCTTCTTTCGTTTCAATGAACAGTTTTGTTCGACGAAGCGAATGACGAAAAATTGAAAGAGCATTGAGAAGAGGAACAAAACAAAAATCGATATTTATCATATTCGTCACACCTTATTTATGATCTCATATGACAATTTTTCTTTTCTCTCGTCGACTTTAATATCTTGGTAGACAGAAGTAAAAGAAAAATTAAGGTGTAACGCTTCAAAGGTAAAAATTAATTCTGGAATGAACTAAGAAACGGTTTTAAGGTTGAAACATGAGCGTTATTGGTTCGTGTGGCGTTGATTCTAGACGTGATGGTGTTTTTAAAAGCATAAAAATAAGAGACTTCAATTTTTAATGCTTTGCAGACTGTCTGAGAAGATAAGACGCGACCAGACGGAGCGCTGCTAAAACTTAAAAATTGGTTTCGCGATAATGCAAAAATCAAGGTTGGGTCATGATTTCTCTCTTCCTTTTATGAAGTTTCCCAGTTAAGATAGATAGTTTCGAACTTTCACGATTCGGTTTCATAATTTCTAAACTAAATCAATTAGTTATTGATTAATGTATGTTATGGATCTGCGATCTCTATCATGTGTGGGAATAACTTACACTTTTTGTCCGTTCTCAAAACATTTAACAACAAATTATCCCATTAAGATCGTCAATAATCGTCGTTTCTCTCATGATCATAATCCCGCATGTTGTCATCAACTTCATACATTCAGTAAATTGAACGGTGAACTGCGTCATTTCCAATCACCCTCAAACATATTTCAAAAAGATGAAGCGCATCGTAAATGTTTTAGCACAACGTATAATGAGAGATAATTTTTAATTATTAATATTATGATTGCTGAATTATTAATTCGAAGATCGAATAAATTGATACATAAAAAAATATCATAAATTGACTAGTTTCGGTCCCCGAGACGCCTCGAGACAATCTAACAGTTTGACATGTTGATTTTTATATTTATTTAAGCTCTCATTACGACGAGCTTTCGTGTAAACTGTCACTATCAATCTACCACTGCAACCACTACTTCATAAACGTCCTTCTCAAAGCTACAGCTTGCCTAGAAAATGATTAAATTTTATTCGAATAAATTAAGTCGCATGGTTTTGGTTTGACGAAACCTGTTGAATGTGTTTCTATGTAACATTTTTCTTTCGTTTCAATTCAAAGCCATTCTCTGCTAATTAGTCAAAAGATTCATTGAATCCATTTAGCCACGATTTTTATGTTTAACTCTCCAGTTTCGTTTGCTTTATTGAATCAACGTACAGCATAAAATTTTCATTTCTATCAATTATGTAACGTTTATGTTTCGTATGAATTGAAAATGGCAAATTTGGTCAGGTGGAATAAATGTATCGATATATGAATGAATGTGATTATTGAGATCGTGATCTAGTAATTTTCTCATTACTATTTCATCGTTGGGAAAGGCTGCAGAATCGTGTGATTTATGTGACGGCATTTGTTAATTAAATATCGAACAAAAGAGCATCAAGTCAAAACCAACGACATTCAAATGTGGAAAATCGTAAAGAGTCAACCAACCATCCAATTAAGCATTTAATGCTGAAGTGAATGAAATGAAATGAAATGAAACCAGATTAATTGATGGAAAGATAATCAAAATTCCAATCATCATATCGAGAATTTCGAATTCCACAAATCTTTTCGCAGATCATTGACTTTGATTTGAATTCAAAATAATTACTTACGCGCATGCGGGACTTCTTTTACTCGATTACGTGCGTACGTTATTTGAGAAATAATTGGTGATTTGTGTTATGTTTCACAAATTTGGTATCCAAAGCCAATTATTGCGATATCGAATGTTGTTTTGTTAGCACAAAATGAAAGACTTTTGCCGGATTTCGACTTTCTTCTTTATCTCCTTTTATTAAATTTAAATCAATAACTTAAATCTTTGCTAATTATCTGACTTTAATGTTCTTGTTAAATGCAAATTCTTAATAAAATCGTCTGAAATCGCTAATTAACAAATCTGGACGAAATAAATAATTTAACTCTACAATCCTACCACTTTTGAATCAATTTAAGATATTGATGATAAAAACACATAAAATAGTCGAGAATTTCAATTTAACACACGTCGACACACACGTTAATTTATTTTTATAGTCGAGAGTCTTTTTTACGGCATTCCAACTTGTCAAAATGTGTATCAAGTTGTTGAATTTTACGGTGCTGTTGAATCTTATCATTAAAAATTTAAAACTATAAACTAGAAGATTTTATAGTCGATTGACGATGATTACTTGTTAGTTTAGTTCACAAAACTAATGTAAGAGCAAGTGGAAAGTTGAATGTGCGCCCTGCACAACGGGCTTCCGCTAGTGATACATAAAAACAGCACGGACATCGAAGATTGTATCGATCGAGTTATGTTGCTTCTCTCGGCTGCCACAAATAAACTTAAATCAACAAAACATCGCAAAGCGAATTCAACAAAAGTCATTTTAAATGTCGTAAATGTAGAGATCAAATTGATTATCATCAGATATAAATCAGACTGATTTAAGAGCCCGAATAAACACGAGCCAACGTTATTGATGGCCGTGCAAATCTTAATACTTTGCACCATATTATCTAATTTTTCCTTCTCCTTTCCTTTTCTTTACTTTTTTTTCGATCGCTTTCAAGTGGTATGAAGTTAAAACTTTTTGTACTTTCATGTCACCCAATCATGTCGCATGCATGATTGAATATTTATAACGGCATCGGAAATTGACTGCTAAAAGGATTCCGAAGACGTCGTAAAAGTTGCTTTTAAATATTTCTCTTTCTTCAGTGTCAAATTATTATTTATGAAAATTAAAACAATAAATTTTCACTCACTTATTTATGATTTCTGGAGAAAGATCAGGAGAGACTACAAAGCAGCGCTCACTGTGCATAATGAAGCATAAAAAATGCACTTAAGATACATTTTCCACTTCACGGTATAGTCAATAAATACCGAAAAAAAGAGGAATATATTGGAAGATGCTTCTTTGGAATCTACCCGGCAGCTAATGTTTCACAATTATTATTTCAACAATAATTATTGCGCCACCATCTGCGGAATAATTCATTGAGCTTTACGAGCTATGTCGCTTGATAAACGAGTTATTTTACTCCACCTTGGAATCTTGATTCTACAAGTAATGTGTTATCTTAACACCTAATATTCCATCTGTTGGATTAAGAGAAGTCTCACGAGAGATTACAATCTTTAAATACGACTCGTCGATGCTCATGTGTCATTGATTAAGTCATAAAAGTGTCGCCTTTAATATTTTTCTTCTTCTTCTTCTTTTTCTTCATCGAGTTTCAAGACGAAGGGAGACGAGGAAAGATTTGTTGTTCAATAAAATTTCGGAGATGAATGATTGATTGCTGGATTATGCAGTGGCTGGGAAGAATGTTCGATGTTTCTCTAACCGAATGATCATGTTAAAACGTCACTGAAATTCAATCAGCTCAGATAATAATTTTTAGGTGATACAACAGCAGACTCAAAAACTTTAAATCAGTTTCAATGTTTTTGTATTTATTTTCTTTGCTGTTGTTGTTTCGAGAAGAAAATTAAATTAATTTTTATTCAACCCCATAATTCTTTCGATGTTTTTCGTCGATCAAATTTAATTAATCGCTGTGCTATTTGATTTTATTAAGGCGTTAAAGTTAGATCTCGTATCTTCCTTTAACTTTATGATATCGCGCTGCAAAAAAAAATAAAAGAAAAATTAAAATCAAAATGTGATGGAACACAGACAGTTTGAAATTTGATCTTTCTTTTGATATTTCAGGCTTGTTAAATATTTCAAAGACATTAATTTGCCGACAGAAAGATGAAACTTGATGTTTATCAATGTTTAACAGTGTCGTTGATTGCCTATGATCATAGCAAGTTGAAGAAAGGCGATCACATATTTGATGGATAATTTTGCGTACATTTTTTGAATGCGAATTTTTCCAACGTTGTGATGGGATGGAAAGGAAAGATTACTATCGCTCGTTAGTCTCAACATCATCTCATCTTACATCACAGTGATCATCAGATGATAATATGATGAAAAAAAATTCAATTTTGCCAAAAATATGCTGCAAAGAGAGAGAAAAAAATTCACTTAAGGCATAAGAAAAAAAATAATTAACAGTAATTTCACTTCGTGGATATTTTTGCGCTGGATTAGACACTCGATTGGTTTGCAAAACCCCGTCCCGTGTCTGCTTCGTCATAAGATTTAATTATATACTGAAACCCCATTTCTTTAAGCTCAAAAGCGTGAGCAAACAATTATAATTAAATGATCTGAGACGAAGAAGACTTTTTTTCTCCTTTTCACAATTGCTTCATATGTGCACCTTTTATTCGAATTTCGAGTGGAACAAGTGAAATGAAATGACCTTCACATAATAGACGAGAGAGAAAGAAAGATGAGAAGGAAAAGTTATTTCAAATATTTGCTTGACTCTTGAAAGACCGAAACTAGGCTTGTTTGTTCCGCTCGATTATTTCAATATTTCTTCTTCATGACAGACCCATGGGCAATACACAAAACGAGTCAATTTTGATTTCTATTTCTCATCATGCAAAGTTTGCAACGAAAGATGCAATGATGGACTTCACTTTTTTTTAAACAACAACCATGATTAATATCAAAATAATTTCAGAAAAAACTTCAAAAATTATACCAAAATATTCACTTTAAAAGCAGTAAATGTTATGTTCAACATAAATTCCTTTCTCTAAGATTACAAGATATTTGAAACAAACTAAGGTTAACCTTTTCGGATCTTGACCTTCTTACCGCAAAACAACCTGACATAGTCTACGCAACAAAAAGTAATTAAAAAAAGGTTTGCAAAAAATAAACACGAATCTTGACAATCGACAAAACCGTTATCGATGAAAGCAACTCGTATAAAAATTGAAATACAATCGCTCTTTGTATCCGAATAAATCCCATCAGCTAAGCCTCTAAAATGTTTAGTTGTGGCATAATGAACAACAAAACAACTTCATTACACAAATAAATAAAAACTTCCTTGGAAATCATTAAATTCAATAATTGTCTAACTTAAAAATCTTTTTTGAAAAGTAAAAGAAAGAAAAAAGAAAAAAAAATTAAAAGCAATTTGCGGATTTTAATAATAATTTTTACAGCTTATGTCGTTCGAGTGGATAAGAAAAGGCCATCGTATTAAGACGCTTTAATGAGTTTAAAACGCGCAAATATTTTTTTTTCTTTTTTCTCACTCAGGAACATGACATTTTAATATTTTTCTTCTTTCGCACCACAAGTTAAAGCAATTAATTACATGATCCATAAAATGCTCTTTCTTCCAGCTTTGAATGGACAACTTGCCTCTTATTTTTCCTCCACCACTCACATATGATACAAGTCGATATAACTGCGAAAGTTTCATTCATTGGCGAATGCTTTCCCTCTCATGTTCGCTCAGAAATCTAATTAAAAGTGACTTTTCTTTGATCAGGTGCTACATAAGAGATCACCCTAAAGCAGTTTACAAAATCACCTAGGTAGCTTGAAGTGTATTTAATGCAAGATAATCCTGCGACCTTGTATAGAGCGAGATGGAGCGATAGAATGAAAAGTAAAATTACTTAGCGGAAAGTTGAGAAAGGCTTGGCAGAAACAGCTCCATGTCAATTTAAATTCATAAAAAAGATTTTTTTTTTTCGTCGCAAAAATCCGCCTTTAGTTAGTATCTTTAACTTGTCCTCAAGCAATTTACCAATTTATCAATCATGCTGGTTTTTTTCTCCTTTTACTTCTGAACACTCTTGTCATTTTATGTTTTTCAGTTACAACAAAGTGGACACGAAATTTAACTATCTATTTGATAAAGATTTTGTTCGGAAAACTGCTTTAAGCGAAAACAAGGCAGGGCAATGGAACAAATTACAATGAAACATCTGAAGATTTATTTAGCTAAGAATTTTATTCAAACTTTAAAAGAGTTTGATGAACAAAATTTATGATCGTGTGGTTAAAAGAGGAAACTTATTAAAATATGATTAAAATGTTGAGAAAGAAATATTGCCATAAAGTCACTTTATGATCCCTTTAGTAATGTCAAAAAAAGGTTTTAAAATAGTTAATTAAGTTTTCTTATATATTACTTAATTCAGTGAAATATTGCATGTAACAGCGAATCGATTTCTCTCTTTTATTTCTCCTCCTTTTCTCTCTTTTCCCCTTAATTTTTTTATGAGAGATCTCGACGATCATTTAAGGGGAAATTGTGATATCATAGAAAAAGGGGAAATGAGAAACATTTATTCAGGAGAAATATCTTGAGAAATATGAGTGAGATGAATGTTGCTCTTAAGTCAACTCAAAATCACGTAAATATTCAAATTCATTCAACTCGTCATGACCAAAAATCATTTACTAAGAATCATGATACTTTTTCTTCGAATTCAAATGATGAAGCAAAAAGCTAGACTTGTTTTTTTTCTCCGAAATATTTTTACATTTGTTGCATTTGAAAGGTGTTAAAGAAATCATTGAAGTAGCATTTCTTGGAAATCCAATGATCATTGATGTCATGATTCAGAAGCATTAAATTTTCCAAGTAATTGTTCACAGCTTCAATGACAACAGTTACCTAATACGTTGCTATAATTTAGAACAGTAACGACGTTTTCTATGATCTATGATCTTTTATTTTCAATATTTTACTTATTAAATTGCATAATCCCAAAATAAAAAAAAAATTATAATTCGTATATGGAAATAATGTAACATTTGCACCGCAATCTCTATTTGGTCATGTGGGATGTCGGAGAGTGGGAAAAAAATAAAAAATCTTCATTCGCCAATCAGCTTAACTCTTTGCATCATATTTTGATGTTTGTTGTGCTCGCCGTTGTTAGATGATGACAAAGAAGTGAGAAAATTTTAAAATCAGATTTCCTTGAACCAGATTTTATTAAAATCAGCGAGTCATCGGGTGACTTAGGATTCATTGGGAATTTGGGAAGTAACACGACAAACAATTGAATTTACGAATGTCAGGAATTGGAAATTCCACCCACTTAATTGTCTCTTGTTATTCTCAAACCTTTACTTGATTTCATTTCAATTATTTTTTATTATTTACATAATAAAAATAAAACTTGTGATAAAAACTGCTTCTTATTGGGCATGGATTTTTTTTAAATGAATTGAGCGAAAAAATAAAATAAGAATGCAATTGTAATGTTAAAGTGCAGCAAATAATGCAGGTTTTCGTTCAACAACGCGCGGCAGTTCGCGAAACGAGAAACAATAATTTACATACAATAAGTGCGCGGTGCAATCCTTTCAAATCTTTCTTACTTGCGTTCATTCCTTTTATATTTTTTTTTTCAATTTTGCTTTTGTTTTCCGAAAGATTACAATTGAGGGTCGCGATGCTTATTCAGGGTCGACGATTGGAACAATTCGCTACTCGACTTAACCATCTCCATAATTCACCTTTCTTTTGCGAGCTGAGAAACAATACGGGATCTTCAACAATCTAAAATGTACGTATAATCGTCTTTTAAACTTTTACAATATCGGTTCAGTTTTATTCGTTAATTGACGACAACAACCGAACTTTATAGATTTGCTGATAGGCTTCGATATTTTTGTTCCATAAACGATTAACAAAATCGAGAAAAATAATTAATTGGAAGTCTTTCTGATTATCTTGAATATTTCGAGCAGTTTAAAATTGCAAAACTTCCGCTGTGGAATTCTTGAATTTTATTTCTGTGAGTTCAATGAATCATCTTCTAGCAAGAAATCAATTGGATTAAGCGTGAAGTTATTAATGACATTTGCGGTTTAAAACAGCTTCTTATTCTTTTCCTACGTAGCTTTATCAACGACAAACCAGTGGAAAGATCACTCGCGTCGCCAACTTCAAAACGCCGCTCGCTGACCCCAACAAGGCAACCTATAGAAAGTGAATAATTGCTAGTCATTAACCAAATTATTGTCGTTGAGACTATGGGGAGAGACATAGAAGCCTCAACTAGAAGCTTAATCCAACCGTCATACCGAACGAAGTAGAAAAAAAATTATGTAATCGCTTGACAGTGAATGGCTTCCCATTAATCTTACGTTTAAAAAAATAAAATAAAATAAAGAGTTAAAAATTGTAGAAGAAAAATTGTCATTTGGTATGGAAGGAATACAAATCAACTTGAAGATTTGTCAATGAAAGTTTTGATTTGGAATTATTGTTATTAAATGACTTTGATAATTCGTTTAAACTTTAAATTGATTAAAAACATTTAAAATTTATTAAAGCTTTTATAATTTGACTTCTTTCATCTTGATTATTTATTTATTTTTTGTAGAATTAAATTTTAATCCTCGCATACCGAAGAAGCTTAGAGGGAATGATTGGGTGCGCTTTTATCAATCAGTGTAATCTTCTTTGTGATGATCACAATTGGTGCTTCTTGCTGAGGGATCATGAAATATTAAAACACAAAAACTGTGATGCTTCCTGATTTCCTTCTTCTGATACATAAAATTTCATTTTTATGTCAGAGAATGTGCTAGTACAACATTTTAACGCGTTTAATTGATAGTTATCAATATTGTAAATATTTTTATTGGCGACAGTAACATTGCATTTAACGCTGAAGAACGTTGCAAATATTGCATATTTAATTCGTTAATTAAGTGGATATTGTGGTTTTTCTGTCCAACTCATCTTTTATGAAACTAAGTTGTTTACGATTTCATGGATAATGTGAATATAAATTCTGACTTTTATTTGAAGTTTAATTAAAACAAAGTCAAGATCAAGCATGAATCCGAACTTTGAATATTCAATGAACATCGAGAGATATAAACTTAACGGTTTTGCCATAAATTAACGTTGCAATTAATTAAACTATAATGGCAACTGGAAAGTGAATTGACAGCAAATTCTTAATTAGAAACGCGTATTTAAGTTGCATTGGGAAACTAAAAATCATCTTCATGAATGTGCTACTCGAATATCTTCAAGCATCTTTTTTCCATTTAATTTCTTTCCTTGTAAAATGAGATAACTAATAAATAAGAAAACGAAGAAAAAAATAAATCAGAACACAAAATCGGGTGGAGGATAAATAGTCGTGATTGAAAATAAAAAGATTTTGTAACATGTAATCATAAAGAAGAATCAACCAAGATTGAATCGAAAGATGTGTCTTGTTAATCGTGTACACAAAGTGTTGAATGAAACAGAAAACATCACAAGGGAAGTCACCCACGCCACGCGACCACGAAAAATGAAACTTTTATCGATTTAAGAGAGGAAATAAATTGAATCTAGCAATGATGAGGGACAATTAATCATTGTGGAATGTGATCTGCCTACGATTATCTTCGGTTGAATATTTTCATCAAATTTTTGTCATTTCTTATCAAGATGAAAACTTTTTTCATGGCTTCCATATCAAAAGATTTTTTTTACGGTTTAAATGAAGTTCAAGTTTCAATTCCAAAAGAAGAGAATTTTCTACATTTTAGAAGAAGAAGAAACCATAAACCATCAAACGTAAAAATAACAAAGCACGAGAAGTCAAATTCATATTTCTCGACTCTTTCAAAATTACATTGTAAAAGAAAGCAAAGCAAAGAGTGGAACAACATTCAATTGGAATCAATTGAATCGCGTCATAATTCACATCTTCTCTTCCTTTTGTAATATCCATAAAGTGTTTTTATGCTCTTTTATCTTCTGCAAGTAAAGTAAAGTACACACTTGGAGCCCGAAAAATTATTGTCGTGCGGGGGCTATGATGTATAAGATTCTGCATAAAAACGATTCGAAATGTTCAACATATCATAAGCCCATTGTCTCAATTCTTTCCCTCTATGATATGATAATGTTTTCTTTAAAACATAAAGAAAAAGAAAAGGAAAATCATAATAAAACATAACATGTGAAAAGAAAGAAAAAGCGTCTCGTGAAATCAATTGAGATATAAAAAAAAAATGTTTTCTGTTTTATTGAAGCGTCAAAAGCGATTCAAATTGTTTTCGGTTGAAAGCCAATAGGTCATCAGAATATTATTGCGCGATATTTCGTGGGTGGAGCAGTGTATCAAATATTTCTCTCTGTTGCGCGCTTTTGTTGGTTAAACAACATGTCAAAACTGAATCGTATTTGGGAACACTTTTTACTTCGATTCGATCCTCCTCGTCGCCTTTACTTCATGATCTCTGAGCTTAACATTTACAGCGATAGAAAGTAGAAGAGATACAACGTTTCAACATTTTACAACTAAATTTATGACTATTCTCTACTCAACAGACATTATTTCTCTCTATCTACCTATGCTTACTTCTGCTCGAGAGTTGCAAGAGTTATTGGCTCGATCTAATCGAAATATTTCTTTTTCTCCCATTAGATTCAATAAATACATTGTTAGTAATCAAATCAATTATCAATACAATCAAATAAACTGTAATAAAATATTTATGTTCATAAGCTCAGTGCGGAGTAGATATTAAAGGAGATGTTTAGATCAAATTTCACACGTTTGAGCCACACGATAGTTTAACTATCGACTCTGCCCTCACTACGCAAGATATAAATGGGATTATTAGCTATTAGTCTGCGCCTAATCAATTTATATCTGACAAAACTTATTGACGAAACAAAATTTTATTGTTTGTTTCATTCCTGATTTGATTTTATTGCGATCATTCAATGGTTTAGTCACGTTGTGTGGGACACTTCTGGAAAGAAGGAAGTTAAATTAAATTAAATTGATGCGAGCTTTTGGTGTCAAACAAAGTCGTTAATCGAATGACAACTTTCAGCAACTGTAACTGCTAATACCAAGTAAGTTAAGAGGCTAATATAAAAAAGCTCAACAATCTTATGATAGTTTCCTGGTGAACAGTTTTACCACTAGCCGCGCATCGTAAGAAGTTTATTAAGCATCGCTTGCATAAAACATTATGACGCGTGCCATCTCAAGTTCATAAAAATATCTTTTAGAAGGCTCATTTCCCGAGCGGCACAAAAGGGCGATATCTCACACAAATCTGTCATACGAGTATCGTCTCCATTTAATGGGAAGGCTTTCCTTTAGAATCCGCCATCTGAAAGACATTTGGCTAAAAACTACTGGCTATCGCCTAATTCTATCACCTTAAGTTAGTTATGTGTTGGACTAGTGAAGAATTTCTTAAGCTGCCTTATGGTAGCCTTATTTAGAGTTAATGGCATGTGGGGAAGCACCATAGCGTCAACTGTTAGTGCTAAATTGATACCTCGGTTATTTTCGCTGATTTCTGAAGGAAAAGCCAAAGGAAGTGCCAACTAAAAATCGTCGTAGTGCAAACGTATGCCTCCGGCACGGCGAGTGTGTGCCGCTCGGGTTTGTTACACAAGCAATCGTTGCCATGGCACAAAAGTAATTTCCAACATTTTTATGTGTTTGTTAACAAGACGAACAATGAACGGAATGAGAAAGACTGAAGAATTTGTATACTTAATGTGCAACCAGCCTACGCTAAGCAATATATTTTGGAGTATTTCTTTACCATTCGCTTTTCCATTTCTTTATTTATTTTATTTTTAATTTTATCTTTTATTGAATAAAAGAGAGTGAGAGATTGAGTGAAAGAGGGAGGGAGAAGGTTTTGTGTGTGTTCCAATCGTGAATGAGTCTTAAGTCGACTAACGAGATACAAAGTCAAGATTTTTATTGCTGATTAAACGAATGACAAAGATTGAGAAAGTGCGCGGAAAAGGATTGATATGCTTTATTTAAACATCAAGCGACAATCATCAACATAAATGGACAACATTTTTGCAATTGATGTTAAACAAAGTGCTACCCAATATTGCGAGTTTCAAACCAATTTTATTTTATTGAAAATTGATTGATTGAAAAATTAAACAACAACAATTGTGCTGCTTGAAAAATTTATTCATTACAAGTAAATGTTCGAGTGGCGAATAATTGACATTGAGTAATTTTGTTGTGCAACTCAATTCGGGTGATTTGAAAAGTTTAAAAATATAAAAACAATGTATGCAGTTGCCATGTCCATTAAAGGATGTTGAGGTCAGTTAAGTCTATCATTTACCCTCAATAAATCTTTTAAATATCGAATCGAATTGAAAGCAATTCACATAAGATGACTTCGAGCGATTCCCCAATAAATTCTATAATTTGACACCTTTAAGATTGATCCGCTATTAAGGTTTATGATTAAATTCATTGTTTCCTAAAGCACTCGACAATCGTCGCACCCTGACATTTACCTCACATATTTGTACTGAATCATTTAATTTTTCTAGAAATTTAAATAAATTCATTTGCATAAAGTCATTCCTTTGTTGTTATTATTATTATAATAATCACCAACACATTAAATTATTAATTTTTTTTCAAATTAATTATAAACACTTTAAATATTCAGTCAGTAATTAATAAAAAGTTCACTCAGTTTAGCCTTTGTGAGAAATCTCAGGTGATGATTATTAAAATTAAAATTACCGCAAACATTCAATGTTGCAGTATGAAATGTTGCACTTAAGACAATAACAACACGGTAATAAAAATCAGTAATTGCATTTCAATTCGCAAATGTTTAGATTTTTATCAACGACACAAAGCAATGTTTTCATTCATAAACAATTGCCGCTTATTTTATTTTATATTTTTTACTGAAAAAACTGGGAGTGCAATAAGAAATATTTCATGTTTATATTTAAACAACAAGCTTCGACAATTAATCGTCGGTTTTATGAGAATATGTCACTATACTAACATTTCAGAGAGAATGAAAATGATTTAAATCTTAATTGGATGCGTATTGAAAGCTTACTTCAGATGTCTGAATGAAACGTGAGACATTAATTGGGGTCAACAAAGTGACAAGCTTCTGTAGATTAGTATCATTCTCATCGTTATGAACAGTCAAGTGGATACAACTATTAAAAACATACAAAGCTTCGTTGTTTGTCTGATCATCGTCGATAAATTGTGCGAGTGTCCAAATGTGTTATGTTTACCAACGGTCGCTGTTGAAAGTTTCATTCTGTCTGTTTTCATTTCGCTCTCATTCTACGCCTACGTGTCATACCTTGCTATAAGAAATGAATGTCATGTCAGGTTCGAACATAAATTGAGATGCAAAGCGGGAATCATTGCATTTCCATTAAATGAAAGTTCTTAATTCCTTTAAGTTCGACAGGAAAGTTATAGTCACGAATTCATCGACGCAATTAATGCTTATTTATTTTGCTCATTTAATATCTTCGGCTACCGTTTATTCTTCGATGTTCATTGTATACTGGCAAATGTGGTTTTGGCGATAATCAAGTGACGCGAAAATTGCGTTAAAACTTCTGCTTTCTCGTGACTTCATTTTAAACAGGTTCTTGTTGGTTTTGGATGTGAAGATTAATTGATTTTCGACTATGTCTCAGCGCCGGTTCGTGGTAAAAAAGAGACAAAGAATTCCATCGAGACATTCCGGAACGTGAGTTAGTTCTCTTGCTCGAACAAATTCAATCTCATTTATTTAATTTAAGTTAAACGTTGCATGAAGAATTCCTGAAAGTCTGTTGATGAATTAACTATCGTTTATTTATTTAATCTTAATTTAGTCGTAACACGAGTAGAGATAAAGGTGCTTGTCGTTGCATTTACCAACCATTTAACTCGACCTGCATTTGTGAAGAAGTAAAAGAAATGAAATGAAAGAAAATGATATTAAATATATGCGCCTTGAGAAATGCTAATACGAGAAGCTGATCGGGTTAATGTTAATTAAGCAATATTAATTAAGGTAAATTGATCATCATAAATTGTTTCGGTATTTTCTGAGAAAAGGCTATAACTTTACATTCACTCGAAGATAACGCACACCTTTTTATCGTTTGTCTCCTTTTTCGGTTGTTTTATGTATGTATCGACCGACCACTAAAATTGTTTCTCACATTTTTACCTCGTTTTAACATTGTCAACGAAGCTATGTTAAAGATTGGATTCTCTTTAATTTTCATTGCAATGGCATTCCATTCCCGTGTGATTACAGATTGAAATTTGTCAGTGACACACATGTTGCCGATGTTGTCGGTGGTCGAACATAAAATCAAACCAAACCAATTTACAGCCAGAGCCAGTTAACGCAATCACAAGTTATGAGTTTTAAGTTATCAAATCAACAGTAATTAATTCGAGTAATCTGCTAAATGAACTCAAATGATTTCCACTCAACGATGAATTGAAACGTCATCAACAATCTTGAGTTCATAAATTTTAGTGATAAACTGTCGGCATTTTTAAAACTTTTTCATACCATGAAAGAAANTTGTGTGTGTTCCAATCGTGAATGAGTCTTAAGTCGACTAACGAGATACAAAGTCAAGATTTTTATTGCTGATTAAACGAATGACAAAGATTGAGAAAGTGCGCGGAAAAGGATTGATATGATTTATTTAAACATCAAGCGACAATCATCAACATAAATGGACAACATTTTTGCAATTGATGTTAAACAAAGTGCTACCCAATATTGCGAGTTTCAAACCAATTTTATTTTATTGAAAATTGATTGATTGAAAAATTAAACAACAACAATTGTGCTGCTTGAAAAATTTATTCATTACAAGTAAATGTTCGAGTGGCGAATAATTGACATTGAGTAATTTTGTTGTGCAACTCAATTCGGGTGATTTGAAAAGTTTAAAAATATAAAAACAATGTATGCAGTTGCCATGTCCATTAAAGGATGTTGAGGTCAGTTAAGTCTATCATTTACCCTCAATAAAACTTTTAAATATCGAATCGAATTGAAAGCAATTCACATAAGATGACTTCGAGCGATTCCCCAATAAATTCTATAATTTGACACCTTTAAGATTGATCCGCTATTAAGGTTTATGATTAAATTCATTGTTTCCTAAAGCACTCGACAATCGTCGCACCCTGACATTTACCTCACATATTTGTACTGAATCATTTAATTTTTCTAGAAATTTAAATAAATTCATTTGCATAAAGTCATTCCTTTGTTGTTATTATTATTATAATAATCACCAACACATTAAATTATTAATTTTTTTTCAAATTAATTATAAACACTTTANGCTCATTTGTTACACAAGCAATCGTTGCCATGGCACAAAAGTAATTTCCAACATTTTTATGTGTTTGTTAACAAGACGAACAATGAACGGAATGAGAAAGACTGAAGAATTTGTATACTTAATGTGCAACCAGCCTACGCTAAGCAATATATTTTGGAGTATTTCTTTACCATTCGCTTTTCCATTTCTTTATTTATTTTATTTTTAATTTTATCTTTTATTGAATAAAAGAGAGTGAGAGATTGAGTGAAAGAGGGAGGGAGAAGGTTTTGTGTGTGTTCCAATCGTGAATGAGTCTTAAGTCGACTAACGAGATACAAAGTCAAGATTTTTATTGCTGATTAAACGAATGACAAAGATTGAGAAAGTGCGCGGAAAAGGATTGATATGATTTATTTAAACATCAAGCGACAATCATCAACATAAATGGACAACATTTTTGCAATTGATGTTAAACAAAGTGCTACCCAATATTGCGAGTTTCAAACCAATTTTATTTTATTGAAAATTGATTGATTGAAAAATTAAACAACAACAATTGTGCTGCTTGAAAAATTTATTCATTACAAGTAAATGTTCGAGTGGCGAATAATTGACATTGAGTAATTTTGTTGTGCAACTCAATTCGGGTGATTTGAAAAGTTTAAAAATATAAAAACAATGTATGCAGTTGCCATGTCCATTAAAGGATGTTGAGGTCAGTAAAGTCTATCATTTACCCTCAATAAATCTTTTAAATATCGAATCGAATTGAAAGCAATTCACATAAGATGACTTCGAGCGATTCCCCAATAAATTCTATAATTTGACACCTTTAAGATTGATCCGCTATTAAGGTTTATGATTAAATTCATTGTTTCCTAAAGCACTCGACAATCGTCGCACCCTGACATTTACCTCACATATTTGTACTGAATCATTTAATTTTTCTAGAAATTTAAATAAATTCATTTGCATAAAGTCATTCCTTTGTTGTTATTATTATTATAATAATCACCAACACATTAAATTATTAATTTTTTTCAAATTAATTATAAACACTTTAAGTATTCAGTCAGTAATTAATAAAAAGTTCACTCAGTTTAGCCTTTGTGAGAAATCTCAGGTGATGATTATTAAAATTAAAATTACCGCAAACATTCAATGTTGCAGTATGAAATGTTGCACTTAAGACAATAACAACACGGTAATAAAAATCAGTAATTGCATTTCAATTCGCAAATGTTTAGATTTTTATCAACGACACAAAGCAATGTTTTCATTCATAAACAATTGCCGCTTATTTTATTTTATATTTTTTACTGAAAAAACTGGGAGTGCAATAAGAAATATTTCATGTTTATATTTAAACAACAAGCTTCGACAATTAATCGTCGGTTTTATGAGAATATGTCACTATACTAACATTTCAGAGAGAATGAAAATGATTTAAATCTTAATTGGATGCGTATTGAAAGCTTACTTCAGATGTCTGAATGAAACGTGAGACATTAATTGGGGTCAACAAAGTGACAAGCTTCTGTAGATTAGTATCATTCTCATCGTTATGAACAGTCAAGTGGATACAACTATTAAAAACATACAAAGCTTCGTTGTTTGTCTGATCATCGTCGATAAATTGTGCGAGTGTCCAAATGTGTTATGTTTACCAACGGTCGCTGTTGAAAGTTTCATTCTGTCTGTTTTCATTTCGCTCTCATTCTACGCCTACGTGTCATACCTTGCTATAAGAAATGAATGTCATGTCAGGTTCGAACATAAATTGAGATGCAAAGCGGGAATCATTGCATTTCCATTAAATGAAAGTTCTTAATTCCTTTAAGTTCGACAGGAAAGTTATAGTCACGAATTCATCGACGCAATTAATGCTTATTTATTTTGCTCATTTAATATCTTCGGCTACCGTTTATTCTTCGATGTTCATTGTATACTGGCAAATGTGGTTTTGGCGATAATCAAGTGACGCGAAAATTGCGTTAAAACTTCTGCTTTCTCGTGACTTCATTTTAAACAGGTTCTTGTTGGTTTTGGATGTGAAGATTAATTGATTTTCGACTATGTCTCAGCGCCGGTTCGTGGTAAAAAAGAGACAAAGAATTCCATCGAGACATTCCGGAACGTGAGTTAGTTCTCTTGCTCGAACAAATTCAATCTCATTTATTTAATTTAAGTTAAACGTTGCATGAAGAATTCCTGAAAGTCTGTTGATGAATTAACTATCGTTTATTTATTTAATCTTAATTTAGTCGTAACACGAGTAGAGATAAAGGTGCTTGTCGTTGCATTTACCAACCATTTAACTCGACCTGCATTTGTGAAGAAGTAAAAGAAATGAAATGAAAGAAAATGATATTAAATATATGCGCCTTGAGAAATGCTAATACGAGAAGCTGATCGGGTTAATGTTAATTAAGCAATATTAATTAAGGTAAATTGATCATCATAAATTGTTTCGGTATTTTCTGAGAAAAGGCTATAACTTTACATTCACTCGAAGATAACGCACACCTTTTTATCGTTTGTCTCCTTTTTCGGTTGTTTTATGTATGTATCGACCGACCACTAAAATTGTTTCTCACATTTTTACCTCGTTTTAACATTGTCAACGAAGCTATGTTAAAGATTGGATTCTCTTTAATTTTCATTGCAATGGCATTCCATTCCCGTGTGATTACAGATTGAAATTTGTCAGTGACACACATGTTGCCGATGTTGTCGGTGGTCGAACATAAAATCAAACCAAACCAATTTACAGCCAGAGCCAGTTAACGCAATCACAAGTTATGAGTTTTAAGTTATCAAATCAACAGTAATTAATTCGAGTAATCTGCTAAATGAACTCAAATGATTTCCACTCAACGATGAATTGAAACGTCATCAACAATCTTGAGTTCATAAATTTTAGTGATAAACTGTCGGCATTTTTAAAACTTTTTCATACCATGAAAGAAAGAAAGGGAAAAATAAGAAAACAGACGACAGAAAAGACATCTCAGGATTGAATCTGACTTAATTAAAAGAAAAATTGCACGAGTGTAATCAAAAGAAGAAACTGAAAGAGAGAAATTTAAAAGCTCATAAATATCAATTTCAGCTTTATTTAAGAGAAAGGACCTTCATTTACAGTAATTTATTGCGATTGCTTGCGATGCTATCGTTTATTAAGGAAACCTTAAAAGTCGTATAAATGTAACAGCAAAGCATTATGCAAATGTAACAGAATGTGCAATCAATTGCATTTGCAGTTAACTTTGATGTTTATTTACAAGACTTTTATTGAGAATGTCGTCGTTAAAATTCGCGGCGATAATTTGTTAAAATGTGTCTCCTTGAAATTTCGTCTTTAAAAGAAAGTAAAAGTGTGCAACTTAGAAACATTGTTTCAAAACAAACACATAAAGATGCCAACATTAATTTGCAATAACAATTTGTGACATTCTGATAAGTTTCCACCTTAATTGAATGTGTTCACGCATTTGTTGTTGATATTTTAATTTAATTCACAATTTAACAATGTCGAAATAAATATTTTCGTTTTATAAAAATTCCCTCGCCAGATTAAATTTAACAAACAACATTCGCCTTGAAACTCGTCCAACTTCTCTTCTTAATCAGTTTTCACTAGTAACATTAACACCCACACAAAAGTATCGACATAATGAATACAAAAAGGTAAACAGCAGTTAAGTGAAAGAGAGCTTCATTTTGTGGATTTACTGTTAACGATAGTTTGTTCAGTCATGAACAAACACAATTATGAACTTTACTTATTTATTTAGTGAAGATTTTTTTCATTACGATTCACATCGATATTCAAAATGATCAATAGACAAATTATTGGTTTTCAATCTTTTAAAGGTGCGAATACAATGGTTGTCATCGAAGGCGTTTAATAAGACAATGAAAGGCCTTACACTGTCTAAAGAACTTTTATTTTTTGTTATCACGAAAATCTCCACTCATTCATTTCTCTTTTATCGTGATAGAAGATAATTGAATGTATCGAGACAATGAGCTTTGATTAAAGATATAAAAGTTTAGTTCCAATCACCATCAAATCGTAAAACAGAACTATTGATAGAAAAAGAAACTATCATTAACGGAAAATATGTTTCGTTATCCTACGCAATTTCTTTGATTTGCAATTCAATAAAATAAATATCAACAAAAATATTGACAACTCAAGCAGCAAATCGAAATCGACGCTAAGCAATCACTTAGCCGCGACGGAGTGGAATGATTAGCCAAGTTCAATTTGAAACGACACGAGTACGAGATTATCTCCATCATAATCCGTCAAATGGGACGCCCACGCATACACACTCAACTCAGCTGAAATAAGAAAAACAAAAAAACGCGTTAGCAAGAAATGATTAATGGTAAATGTTCGAAACACATGGAGCGATTCTTTCATTCATGATTGTTGTGAGATAGAAGAATGGAAGATTGTAGTACAGTTAATGCTGTTAATAACAATAGAGTTTGATCGTTTTGATTCACACTTTCGTCTTCAGAGATTTCTCAGTAACTTCATTGAATAAAACACTTCAAATCATTGCAACATTTTATTTCAACCTCACCGGAAATTGTTTCATTCTCAATCTAATCTGTCTGCTTCATTAGCATTTTGATATTTCATGAGTCAATCGATCGTTCGAGACGTCTTCGTCGTTGATGCTTAAATTGACTATGGATATTCAAGAAGCTGCTTCAATTAAGCGATTGAGAATGAACGATGGATTGTGAAAAGTACGCAAACAATAAAGCAAGTCTGAAAGAGATTCAACTGCGGTCTTTCAATGACTTCTTAAATACCATTGTGCTATTTGATTTTCAACAATTCTTTTACTTAAACTTTTAAATGCCACTTGTCAAGTTCTATCCCAGCTTTTTATTTCATAACATTCCAAAAGAATAGAAGTGCGAGAGAAATCTTAGTGCCGACAAAACAATTGTTAATTCTTTTTATCAACAAGCTGCTTAGCCTTTTCTCAGCTCATAAAAATCACAGCAAAAAATGTTAACGCCAATCAACCCACGACAACATGGCGCTCATCCGACAAAACTAACTTTCATGCCACCAACTTTCAGACGACACAACCAATACGTGTCTCAAAACTTGTCTCATCTATTTAACAAGTCGACTTTTGTCTTTATTTATTTTTTATTAAATTTCGTTTTCACGCCTTCGCATCGCACGTAAGAGCAACTTGAAATATATTAAATTAAATCAAGAGAATTAAAAATTGTTTAACAAGAATAATGGAACGCATCACACCCTCACTATTGAATCATCCCTTGTTTGGCTTTAAAATGATGTTGTTTGGCCATTATTTATCGCATCGCCTTAAGACCCATTAGCGGTAACCATCTCGATATTGTATGTCGAATCTTTTTTGTCTTAAGTGGCGCCAAATAAAAACATCACGTAAGTTTGCTAAAAATAAACGATTTTACACATCGTATTGATTCAAGCGAATTTTCTGTGTCTAGTGAATGAACTAGCACCTGGTTTTTGTCTTTCTTTCCTTCTCTACTGTCTCTCGTCAGCTCTGCGTGGGTTGTTGAATGTCGATTTTGAAAAAGCTATTAATTTACGATTTTGAGGAGGGAGAAATAAACGACGAACTTATTCAGTTTCATTCATGAATTGATCATGAACAGTTTTTGATTTCGACATGGAAATTTGCATATTTATGAATGGGAGTTTGAAATCTACCTCATTGTAAACGACATTCATTAATTGGTTTGATGTTGTTACAGGTCTCACAACTCATAAGAAACGTTAGCAAATTAATCACATAAAGATTAATTACTTTTGAGAATTAAGTTTCTTATTTTATTCTGTAATCAGTCATTTGAAAATAAATTCAATAACAATATAAGTAATCTACTTATCCATCTAAGTATCATTGGGATTTCATGCCCTAATTTTCAATTTTTTTTTCTTCTCTCTCATCGTTTATTGTCTGGAGATCTATCAATGTCATATTGTGACGATCTTGACAATTTATTATGTACTTTTTTTGAAGAGGCTGTAGATGATGTCAATTTCAATATTTTCCTTTGGAATTATCTTTCTTCATCATTCAATATTTATGTATCCATGGTTATGATACAAAGTGTCGAATATCCGGAAGTTTTCTTAAGAAATTATGAACATTTCTGTAGGTAAATAAATTAATAACATTACATTGTACCAAACAAGCATCAGTGAGCGTGTTTGAGAAATAATTCAATAACAAAACTAATTAAAAAAGTTTTTTTGTTTCAAGAACTTAAATCATCACTTCAGAATTATTAATAAAAGTTCAACAAACTTCCTTTATCGATTTTCTTTTATTTTTGTTTGTTTGCCTTTCAATTCCTTTTCCATTATTTTTCCTCCGACGGATTACAAATGAAATGAAAAATGGAAAAATGTTTGCGCATCACTTCAAATCAGTTACAGACGATTTCTCTCAATTCGAAGTTCAAATCGAAGGGAAGTCAAAGTTTAATTTGAACATTTTCAAAAGCTCATTTTTGTAGACTTCTCAATTGCGCATGACGATTGGAAAATTCCTACGAAAGCGATGGAAGTTTTCCTCAAAATTGTGAAAACCTGTGAAAAGTTTTGTTGCACAAGAAAGTCTTTGCTTTGAAATTTCAAAAGTCTGTGGGAAATTATAATAAAATTAGGCTAGATTTAGTGAAAATTTGTTGATTAGGTTAGTAAGTTCATCAGTGAAATGAAATTTGATTAAAAAATATAAAGGAAATTGAGATAAAAGCTATAAAAAAATTCAACGCTAGACATGAAGGAAAATATTTTCCGAAAAACATTAAAAGAAAATCGAAATCGCTTTTCATTCGCCAGACTTTTCTTTTCCATCCGCAATTTTATGTGAGAATGAGAGCTTTGAATGTAATGAAATAAAAATTTTCTTTCAAATTGTTATCTCATGAAATAAAAAAGGCAGAAATAATCAAACTTTGCCTGAATCCGCAGTGGATTATGCAGTGTTGATTTTCATTCTTTTCCACCCTTTTTATCCTCTTCTCTTTCATCCGTAAAGAGACAAGATATTCTTTCTTTTTTCATATTCTCTTGTGAAAAGTGATAACACATTTTCATTTCACTCCCTTGCTTCTCCTCCACATAAACCAGGGAAGAGCAAAGAGCGCATAATGAAAAATCAATAGATTAAAGTGATGTTTCGTCGCTATTGTGTTATGTGTACCGAAAAGAATTTGCATATTTCGTCATTTGGCCTTCTCGCGCGCCATGCCTCCCCATTATGCGCTCCTACAGCCTGCTTGTGCCATTCATTTGCATTAATGTGCCTTTGGCTACACAACCATTATATGTGTGTGCTCTTTAGTCTTCCTTCTTTATAATTTATGCGTGGATAAACCGTCCAAATGGAACTTTTAATGAATTTCACTCGAGGGGAACAGGAAAAGTCTCTTTTCTTACACTCAAATCCAAAGCATTTCTTCATTTTTTTTAAAAAGGAAAAATGAGAGAAGTAAAATAATAAATTGCACTTTTCACAACACATTGTCCTGAGGAGTAAAAGTAGAGTTTTTTTATTTTTTATATTTCTATGTTGTGCATGTGCCGTTGCGAATTAATGGGCTTTGGGATCTTTATCACCAATCATTATGACTTCATAATTTCTTTAAGCTTATTTTAATCTATGAGTTATGGGAGCGACGGAAATTTGTTTTCCCTCAAATGGCAAATGAGTGATGAATGCATTATTTAATAATGAAAGCGTGTGTTCCATCAAATAGAGTGCTTCAGCTTTTATTGAACATGGAATCCTTAATTTAATTGAAAATAAATTAATAAATGTTATGATAACTTTTATGATGGAGTAGCTTTTGATGTGGCAGAAACTTTTCAACATTTCAAGAAACATTCTTTTAAATTTTTATTAATATTTCAGACGTCGGTTGTTGTGGTTCTTAGGAATCAAACAAATTGAATTTTCTTATTTAGAAGCTTCTAAAGAACTTTCCTTTATTTTGTATCTAATATGAAAGAGAGAAATTTATAAATAGAAAGTTACTTGATACTTTCATCATCGTCTACATAAGGGTTTCATCAGAATTTTCTTATCTTGCTCTAAATAGACATCTCAAATGTCAAATGATCTCATCAATTTTTCATACAATTTCTACGGAAGTTAATTTAACTTCTCTTTGTTAATATTTCATCACAAACGAAAGTTACTTAAACTTACATCTGATCCATGACATAAAGTCTTTGTTGACTTTTTTTCCATACGTTATGTGGGAGTCTCTTAAAGCTTAACTGTCCCTTAAGGCTTCTTTCCTCCCTTGATTGCAGTAAAACATATCAACAAATGCTAGAAGTAAACACGTGAAGCACGAAGCAAATAAAAATTCAAAGCGAAAAGTTTTTTTTCCTTCCTTTTTGTTTCTATGACGGATAAATTTCATTTTCCAAGACATTTAACAGCAATCAATTTTAATCTCTTTTAACATCCTTCAGCGATGATGAAATAAGACGCGTCACTGTTGAGATTTGTATTTTTCAAACCAACGACAAAGCTCAAAACCAGCTTTGGGTTGTTTCGTTGATTTTCATGAGAAAACAGGAAGAAAAATGAGTCGAAAGAAACATAATTGATGGCATTAAATTGTGTATTTCACCGAGCGTTGTTAATTAAATAACGAGAGATAATTTTATTAAGTGGTGATGAGTGCGTGGTTAAAGCGGATGGAAAAAGGAGCTGAGCCTCTTTTATAAACATGATGTGAATAACTGTATAAGGATTTGTTGCAGAAAACGTGATTCGATTCGTGAATAAACGAACGACTAAGGATTCAAATCGTTGGAGTGTCTGGTTAAGTATCGTTGAAGAAGTGGCACAAATTTTGAAGGCAGAAGAAAAAGTTTCCCATCAAACAAATTTTGGTTAACTTCTTAATAGATTTAAACTAAGCAAAAAAGATGGCCATGCCCGTCTGTACGCGATTTTCTGATAATTACGACATCAAGGAAGAATTGGGAAAGTAAGTTCTTTGATCATTGAAGCGGCTTAGCAATAAAATTCAACAAAACTTTTCTCCTAAATCAGAGGAGCATTTTCCATTGTCAAACGTTGCGTTCAAAAGTCAAGTGGTCTTGAATTCGCAGCGAAAATCATCAACACCAAAAAGTTAACATCGCGAGACTTCCAAAAGTTGGAACGAGAGGCGCGAGTATGTCGAAAACTTCAGCACCCGAACATCGTCCGCTTGCACGACAGCATACAAGAAGAGAATTATCACTACCTGATATTTGACCTGTAAGTGATGTCAAGTGACGTACAATTGTAACGTAATATTAAAAATTCTTTTTATTCATTAGCGTGACTGGAGGTGAACTGTTTGAAGATATTGTGGCTCCCGGAATCTTTTTCNAAACTAAGAAAAAAAGATGGCCATGCCCGTCTGTACGCGATTTTCTGATAATTACGACATCAAGGAAGAATTGGGAAAGTAAGTTCTTTGATCATTGAAGCGGCTTAGCAATAAAATTCAACAAAACTTTTCTCCTAAATCAGAGGAGCATTTTCCATTGTCAAACGTTGCGTTCAAAAGTCAAGTGGTCTTGAATTCGCAGCGAAAATCATCAACACCAAAAAGTTAACATCGCGAGACTTCCAAAAGTTGGAACGAGAGGCGCGAGTATGTCGAAAACTTCAGCACCCGAACATCGTCCGCTTGCACGACAGCATACAAGAAGAGAATTATCACTACCTGATATTTGACCTGTAAGTGACGATCATATGTGACGTGCAATTGTGACGTTATATTAATTTTTTTTTTCATTAGCGTGACTGGAGGTGAACTGTTTGAAGATATTGTGGCTCGTGAATTCTATTCCGAAGCAGATGCTTCACAATGCATTCAACAGATTCTCGAATCAGTTCAACATTGTCATCAACATGGAGTTGTGCATAGAGACTTGAAGCCAGAGAATCTTTTATTAGCTAGTAAAATGAAAGGTGCTGCCGTGAAGTTGGCCGATTTCGGGTTGGCGATTGAGTTGCAAGGCGATCAGCAAGCGTGGTTTGGATTTGCCGGCACGCCAGGCTACTTGTCGCCAGAAGTACTGAAGAAGGAACCATACGGAAAGCCCGTCGACATTTGGGCATGCGGCGTGATTCTTTACATTCTACTGGTTGGTTATCCACCTTTCTGGGATGAAGATCAACACAAGTTGTACGCACAAATCAAGGCTGGAACTTATGACGTAAGTTTTTAACTTCCATTCTCCCTAACGCCTACATCTAATCTTTAATTCTTCGACAGTATCCATAGCCCGAGTGGGACACAGTCACATCTGAGGCCAAAAATTTGATCAATCAAATGTTGACTGTGAACCCACACAAACGAATCACCGCATCAGAAGCTCTCAAACATCCTTGGATATCTGTAAGTTGTCATCAATGTTCGAGATTCTTTCTCTTTTCCTGCTCATTTCACTCAAATATTCTTCTCACAGCAACGTGAACGTGTCGCATCAGCAATTCATCGTCAAGAGACTGTCGATTGTCTGAAGAAATTCAACGCTCGTCGGAAACTTAAGGGAGCGATTCTCACGACAATGCTCGCCACGAGAAACTTTTCGAGTAAGATTTCACTTAACCATCCCCTCGATTGTTGTCCCAAACCCTGTTTTCACAAAACTTTTGTTATCAAATAAACATTTCGGACAGGCAAAAGCGTCATCGCCAAGGCTAAGGAGTCATCAGACGAGAAGGTAAAAGAATCATCGGACTCATCAAATAACATCGAAGAAGATGATGGCATTCGATTACGACGACAAGAGATAATCAGAGTGACAGAACAGCTGATCGAAACGATCAACAGTGGCGACTTTAATGGCTACACGTAAGTTGTCCAAACTTTGAATACAGTTCGAATGAATTTGAAATGTTTCACTTTTTGCAGTAAAATCTGCGATTCACACTTGACTGCTTTTGAGCCGGAATCGATGGGAAATTTGGTTGAAGGAATGGATTTCCATAAATTTTATTTCGAGAATGGTAAGAAGATGAACAATGGAGAAGTGTCGCAATCTAACGGAAAGATTCTTTCAGTATTGGGTAAGAATTATCGCGCCATCAACACTACGATTCTGAATCCGCACGTTCATCTTCTCGGTGATGAAACCGCATGCATTGCTTACGTTCGATTGACACAACTCGTGGACAAGTAAGTTTTGTTTTCTCCTTTTTCTGTAAACTTCTCAGAATAAATATTTAATCATAACACGAATCAAAATCTTCAAACAGACAAGGAATTGCTCACTCACATCAATCTGAAGAGACTCGTGTCTGGCAAAAGCGTGATGGTAAATGGCAAAATATTCACATTCATCGAAGCTTCCCTGTGAACCAGACTGGCAATGTTCAATTTGACCCCAGTAAATGAAATTAATTTGACGAGCATTCGAAACGTTTACGATAAAACTCTCAAAACCCATTTTTGATGCTACTTTAGGCAAAAAGATAACTAAAAAGCTTTGAAATATTTGATTGATTTTTAAGGAAGAGCTAACAAAAGGTTTATTCCGGTTTTAAGAAAATTTTGAGATTTTTCTCTCTCGCCCCATGAACATAAAGATTGTGAACATTTAAAGATTGAAAATTATTCGAGATAAATCTGATAAAACATTTTTTTTGCTTGTTGTCCGGAACTTTACATTACGATAAACATCGTGACTTTTGAAAAGACATGGAAATCAAGTGTAGTGTTATTGCGTCATTTACAATGACAAAATTTAAATCAATTTCTATCAAAAAAAAAAAGACAAAGAAAAAGACGAAGGAAAGAGAAAAAAATTCAGTCTTGATAAAATATATTTAAAGTTAATTAGCACGTAAGAAGATTAATGAACTTAACAAAATGAATGAATTAAAAAAAGAGAAAAAGAAACAAAACCAGAATCTGAAAGATGACAAGAAACATTATTTAAATGAAGATTTCCAGGTACTGCCATATTTAATGAGACAAAGATTTTTATGTAAATTTGATGATGATAATGATGATGATGATAATGAAGAACGATTAAAGGTTTATTCAAAATAACAAAATCAGATTCAATGAAATATTACAAAATATTTAAGCTTGAAAAGTCACAAACACACACACACAGATACATTTAGCTAGGAAGCTCTTTCTTTAATGAAAAAAAATTTGTAATGTTTATATGGAAACTCTTGTATTTACGATAGAGTTAATTCTTGAAATTTTAAATTATCGATCGCAATTTCATAAAGTTTCATCATTTTTCCAAGATGGTATAAAATTCCGCTAAATTTTACGCAATTTACTTATAAAATATTCCAAATGGATTGATGAAATTTTCATTAAAATTTACACATTTCGTTATTTAAAGATCAAAGCATTACGAAAAGAACAAAAACATTTATGGGTTGAATGTGTACGAGAAGATTTTGAATATTTGAATAATTTGTGAAAAATGAAACGTGAAAATTCATGTAAAAACAGCAGAAATTTTTCTGTTTACTCAAATGTTTGTTGAATTTCTTTTTTTTTCATTCGCTTTTAATTAACCAAGCAAAACAAACAACATACAAATCAAGAAAACAATTTAAACGAGATAAAAAATTAAGTAAAAAAATCAGTCTCAATCTACTTATTAAAATGAGCTTAAATAAATTTTTGAATCTCAAGGCTATAGCTAAGCTCCCTTAAAAATAAATCCCTTAAATTAACTATGGAATTTTAAGTTATAAAAATATATTTCCTTCCGAATTAAAAGAAATTTCTCTTTATCAGGCCTATTGAAAAGTAACATTTTTGATCTTTCTCGCTCTTAAATAAATACAGCCTAAAATTCCATTCTTTTTGTATAAAAAGTAAATTACTTAAACTCCCTCAACATGACAAGAAATAAAGAAAAAAAGTTTTAAAAAGATGAAAATGAAAATACTGAGTTCGACATTTCTTAATTCATTCAATTTATTTTAATGCTTTCAGGTAGGCCTGACCCTGATTTAAGTTTTAACGCTTTAACACCTACATCATCGTCTGTTCGGCTTATTCATGTTGTTTCTAATAAATTCCAACGAAAAAAGACATTAAGAGACGCAAACAAAAGTCACGCAACTGACATAATCGACTTCCGACATCCGGATAAATGTTAAAGTAACACCAATTAATAATTATTCATAAGATTTCACCATATTAGGGGCCTTCAAAAAGATTGAAGAAAAGAGACAGAAGGAAAAGAAAACAATTCCATTCATTTGTGTTGACTGTTGATTAATCACATATGTAAGAGATAAAATTAGTGTCGCGTGCGTGGGCTCTTCATCTGCTCAAACCTTTTTCTAATAGGATTTACAGGTCAAGATTTGTTTACAATCAAATACAACAACAAAAAATTATTCTTGATGAAGTGTTACTCATAATAATTAATTTTAATCTCTCAAGTTATAATGTCATGTTAAAAGCAACTGGCAGATTTTTATACAAAATCAGGAAACTGAACAGATTTTAATTAGTAATCTTTCTGAAACAACAATTTAATTTAATTATATTAATATTCGATTCAAAGGCCGTGGTTTTGTAATAACATTTAACTATTTAACGATTCAATTTCATTCATTATTTCAGTCAATATTTGCTTCAAGTCGAAATGCTTTTATAAGATTCTTTGGCAATGTTTTTTTAAAACTTGAGACAAAATTTTTCATCATTTTATTTGACTTTCAGTACTTTTTAAACTGAGTTTGTTGATGTTATGAAGTATCAAATCTGTTAATATTCATATTCAGAGAGAACATTGAAAGAACTTAAGAATTGGCAAAGTTTAAATCTGTTCTTAATATCTTTCAATTGGTTAAAAGTGCCGATAAACTGAGCAAACATTTCATTTTCGGAAGCTATCAGGTTTCATTGTGAGCTGTGTGTCGTCTCATTGGATAATTTGCATTTCTAAATTTACTTTTAAGTTTTGTTTGTTCTTTGGTTTTAACTTACACTAATAATCTTAGCTATTTTATTATTGATGACACCTCCAACTTTTCAGAAATCATTTGCATACCGCCGTCTCTATTTTCTCACGATGAAAGAAATATTAACAAACGTAAATCAATCTCATCCCGTTGTCCCGCGATGGTTATCAAAATTTTAAATATATCATTCGTAGCCGCGAGAATCACGGCACCAAAAAACATTAAGTTTTTCACATCCACTGATTTATGATCTGTTAAATTGGTATTAGCACAATGTTTAAGCATTAATGCGATTGCAATAACAATTTATCACCTTCTGCATAGCGGATAAATTCAAATCAAATGACAATCTTATCATTTTTTTTATTATTAGTATGTTTTGGTGACAAAACATGAGATCAGAAGAATTATTATCTAAATCAAATGCATAAAGCTGAATCAAGCAGTGAGCAGTTCTTACTAATTTATTTCTTTTGAAGATTTCTCTACGTCACACGGCTTAAGTGAGATTTTTCGTTTTCTTTGATTTCAATGCGTGACCTCACAAGAACTGGTGCTGGCTTGCATCAAAGATAAACAGAAAATCTTTAAAGCCCTTTGACAGACACATTTTTTTAATTATTGTTTTTATAATTTATTTCTTGAGAGATATTAAAAGAGGTGCGCTTTTAAAGAACGAACACAAATATCTCACAAAATCACAACAAAAGGCATCTCGGGTGGTCCGCGGTATTGTAAATGTCATTAAAGTCCCCGCGTGCCATCATCATTTCATAATTGCATGAGAAATGCCTTGAAATGTTGTGGGTGGACCCTTATAAGCATACACATGTAGCGAGAGCGCGCAAGAGAACGAGAGAAAATAAACAAATTTGGAATTAATTTACGACCGTCAAGCTATGAAATCGCGGCAAGAAATCAATTTCTTGAAGATATAATTCACAGTTAAGAGAAATTTATTGGCGAAAACAAACAAAAGGGGAGAAATCATTCATTTACTTGTACGATAAGTTGTCGATGAAGACTCGCATGAAGGTTTTTTTTATTTTAATGTGTAAATGATCGGCAGCTACCGGCAAGCGTTTCAGCCGTTTAACACTCTTGAAATCCCTCTGAGGCGATTTATTGATGGCTCATCGTCAATGATACCTTCTTAAAATAATAAATAACGACTTAGGAAGAACTTGAGAACAACGAGCTATAAAAATTCGATATGAAAGTGTTTTTAATACGTCTCGTATAGCTTAAAGGTTAAACAGTCACTTTAAAATCTATAATTCATGAATCACCGAGAATGTTTTATAATTGAAATTTTCCTCGACGCTTTAACATAATTCTAAGAAAAATAAAAGGCAAACTTTACCTTACTGATATTTTCTCTTTTTGAAGATATTTTAATAACAAACTTTATTATTTAATGAGAAAAACAAAATGAAGAAACCTGCGGTAAAAGAACACGAGGATGTTGCGTTGATAGCTAAGAAAACTTTTTTTTGTTGTTATATCAATTTTTCGATATTTATTGGAGCATTAAATTATCTCTTTGTGCCTTTAGCTTGTTATAAGTTTTAAAGTTTAATTGAAAGTAAACAATTTTGAAGAGATGTATTGTCTTTAAGAAGATTGAGTTAAACTCTGCATTTGAATTACTTTTGGGGGTGATTTGCCTTTCATAGAACAATCATAAAATTAACAAAGTTAATTTTGATTTCATTCAACCATCTCCAAGCTTAAAACAATTCGAAGCAGTTCAGAGAGAATTTTTCTTTTGATCTTTTTTTTTGGGAAGTTCATATGGAAATTTTAGAAACTCTTTCAACATATTTTTTGATTGAGAGAAGAAGGTAAAAAGAAAACTACACAAATTAAATTTTCGCAACCTCGCTTCGCATTGAATTCTTAATCAAATGTTATAAATATTTTATTCGCTACAGCTTAAGTAACTGAAAAATACCATAACACTCTAGGTGGTTCCGTTTCATATCGTATTTCATATGAAACACGAGTGACATGTTCAATTTCAGACACAAAAGACAAATTAGAGGCCCGTGGCAATAAAGATGTAAAATAGTTAACTAAAGGGAGAAAGGAAACAAAAAAACTTTACCTTTGAATAAATTAGAATGATGCGACGTTCGATAAATTTCTCTTCTTTCTTTCTTGTATCATCATTTCAGTGCCTTTCCTTCAACGTTTCTTCTCGAATGAGAACAGCAACAGAAAGAAAAGTCGTGAAACATAAAATTGTTGTAAAATGATGATGATAAATAAAACCTTAATAATACAATCAAGGAAATGTCTTTCTAATAAACCAATAAACCACCAGAGTCGAAGAAGTGATATCATAAGGAAAAGATTCAGCTTCAGGAACATTTAAAAGTAACGAAACATAAGAAGAGCTGAAGAGAAAGAAAAATATTTTATTTCATCCCGAGTAGCTTGCTAATAAACCTCGGAGGTTCCCTTTCAGTCTCTTGAACGTATAAAAAATTCTCATCAGCGATCAAAAGCGGTGTGGCTTGCGCATCGTTGAATCATAATCTAATTTTCGTGAATGCTTTCGACCAACAAAACTCTCTTTCCGTAATAAATTAAAGACTTTTTTTTTTATTTAGTCTTCATCTCTTCCTCACGCAAGCCTCTAACTCACGAACAATCTTTACTCGATTACAACACAAATAAAGATCTATTTATTTGAGCGATCCATTAAAATAGAGCGAAAGAGCTTAAGCCAATAAAAATTTATTCGAATCAATGATATAAAATATGGATTTCTAACAATTTGCTTTTCTTTTTTTCTTCAAAGGAGATTAAGGTTTGTTCGTTTCACGTCTTTCTTTTGAGAGACCAGAATTGAGATATGAATTATATATTATTTTTTTTCGTAGACGGTATTTTATGGGAAATTTCTCATCAGCGATGAGCTGACTTGCTTGAGCAAAGTGTTTGGAAAACTTAACTAGTAAGTAACTTGTTAATATTTTGGGGGAAATTTAATTAGAAACTTTCTTTAAATTTAAATCTTTTCTGTTGTTAAATTTTATTAAAAGAAATTTTATTACAATGTAAGATGTGTAGAGAATTTTAATTTGTCACGGCAACATGGCGAATTAAGACTGTTGGCAGAGAGCTAGGATTATGGATATTGATTCACGAAAAAATATTTTTTTCTTTTTTATTGTTTGAGTCAATTTCTTTTTCGATCGTTTATGTGAAGATTAAGATAATTTGTTTTTTTTTGTCGAAACCGGGAATCACAAACAAATCCGATAAGTGCAAGACGAACATAAGAGTCGTGAGAGATTGATACGAGGAGCACGCCTGACGATTTAGGAATAAAATAAAAATTGAATCAACATACGAAACTTATTAAAAGCGAGATTAGAGCTTCATTACGTGGTCTCATAACGACTATCAGAAAGATGCAATAAACGACACTCGAGCCGAGTCGATGGGCGGCAGACCTTTTTAAGCGTGCTTTATTGTTCCGTCGTGGAAACATTTTAAGATTTGTATTGGAAAATTAAAACAGAAACTGAATCTTAAATGACATCTTTATAACCAAAGACGCCTCTTCGATCGGCATCTATTGTTATGGTCGTGTGATATCTCGCGAAAAAAGGCGATATGTTGATGACAATTTTGAAAATTTTATATTTTGTCGATTTCAAAAATTGCTTTGACGTTAACATGGCCATTAATAAGAAAAGGTGAGTAGAGACGTTAAGAAGCTTGTCCATATTTGAATCTTGCCCATTTTAATAATTTAATTATTTATCGGCAGTCAAACACAGAAATGGAAGGTTTTGCATCATTTTCTTGTCTTCCTAATAATTCACCGTTTGAGATATCGTTGACTTAATTGTGGGTGGAAAACTTTGATGCTGCGTGTCGTTGTTAAAATGTTCAATTAACACTTCGAAGGTAAAGCAGAAGGCATAAATTTTAAACGATTGATTGTCGTTGTTTCTTTACTTTATTTTTGGTCAGTTTTGGGATGGTTTGCTGGTAAACCTGTCAGAAAAAGCTTTGCAAATAGATTTACGACAAAACCACGCTTTTCAGGGCATCTTTGGGTGTCGGAAATGGTTCCGAACAAACTTAATAAAGTATTCAATAACCCGCAAGTTATATACAGTCAAAAAAAGGTCATGAATTTTAAATTGATTTGCCATGATTCGAACATTTTCAACCTAATGAAAATATCATTGCAAACACAGTCGCCGCCGTTCTGTGAAGAGAAATCAAATCAAAGAGATCATTTCTCACAGCTTCAACTTATTTTTTGTTTTCGATGAAAACGTTATGCTTTGCAATGGTTTTATTTGATTCCGTATTCTGTTGATTGCGAATTTGTCCGCGAGGTGAATTTCAGTTGATTTTCTTTTTCTTTCGGTCTTGATCTTGATGGCTTTGTAATTTATCAGCGCTCTTGGTGGTACATTTAAACTTACATTTTAGCGTTTTAACTCCTGATTTAACTTCATCCTCATGTGCATACGACGAACAGAAAATTAATTTCAATTCAAGATGTATGATGAATGATTATGCGCCACTCAAAATTCACTTTATGCATGCAAATTCTCATCCCGCAGTTAACTCGTACATGATAACATAAAAAAAAATACGTAAACAAAGAAGAAAAATTTAGAAATGTTTGTTTTGGGATTTCTCACTTGAAATTTGCGAAATTGGCATAATTGAACAGAATATTTAAAATATTATTTTAGAATATGCTGAGGCAGGGCAAACATAGAAGTGGACTGAGTAATTAGACACCCACGCAACATTATTTCCCTATATTCAACCTTTGATTTGCTTATGGGCGACTTTTACTGTTTACCAGAATTATTTAAACGTCAAATTCAACTTTTCTGTTTTGCTTTGAATTGCTTGTAGGTGAAATTTGCTGCTGCTACTGCAACATTAACATTTTATTACTCATTTAAATTATTTCAACCAGCATTTAGAATTTGTTGCTTAATGTAGAATATTTTTGGAGAACACAAAGTTCATTTTCACACTGTGAAGCTTATTAGGAAAGTCTCAGAAATCCGAGTACATTATCAAACATTTCAATTTTCTTTGAAGTTTGACACTGAGACGATGTAAAAAGATTTTCTTTTGATGATTGAAGCTTTGATCCCGAATTTTTCTTCTTTGATCAACAAGGAAACGGAAACGGATTTTTTTGTTGTTTTGACTTCTGTTTTCACAGAAATTCCTCAAAGTATGATGTTTGATAACAAAGACGTATTAAACCTGATTCCACTAATCGTGTGTGGCTAATTTGAACACATTTAAATGTCTTTGTTTATCTACAACGTTTTGAATGAATGTTGATTATCTAATTGACTTGTTTATTGTTAAAATAATTCAAACCTCTATAATGAAAGTTGAATTCAAGTTGTAGCAAATATTTATTATCAACCTTCAGACTAGAAAATGAATTCATGACTACACTTTTGCAACAAAATGTAAAATACTTTCAAATTAGTTATAAATTATTCACAGCATGATAAAGGGAATGACGAGTCGTAATAAAGAGACATCAAATGCTAAATTCTCTCGTTTTATTACAAAAAGTTCATTAATGCACTTTGATAATGATAAACTTTAATGATTTCAGTTAATAGCTTTGGATGACTGATGACGAACATTGTAAAAAGCAGTTACAGATGAACATTCAAAGTCACTTTAAGTGTTAACAAGCTAATTACAAAACTTTGTCATGTCTCGTGCTCTATGAGAAGCACGTAATTCATGAAACTCGTCATTTTCTCCCGTGGACTCGCGAAAAGCAAAAAAAAAATCTTTCACAAGTTTTTAAAACCAACGGCATGTTTTACATCAGAATCGTGTTGTATCAAGCGTTGACAGAGTTGTGAAGAGAAGCAATTCTTTTCAGCATTTTAAAAAGCAGCTCATCAATGTCCACTATTTGTATCTAATGAGATGCAAGCTTAAAGATAGACTTGAAACTTAACATTAAAATGAACCTTAAAACATTTCTTTTACGAGAAATTCGTGGAATTCGAGGCTATTTTTTATGAGGTGTTTGCGTGAACAGATTGTCTAAGTTATGTGAAATGAATGGAATTAAAGTGAATTATGAAGACAATGAATTGTAAACTTGGACGATGCTTTCGTTTCTCTTGATTCAGTCGTAAAACCATTGAACACGATGAAGTTTTTATGTTGAAGTTTACCTTTAGAAAACAATAAACAACAATAAATTTAAGTTGATCTGAAACACTTATAAAAATATCAAATTCCTTTTGATGTTCTTTGAACATGGAAGGAAACAAAATTGATACACAGAAATTGTAAAAAAATTCTCATCCCAGCTTGATGTTCTCATATTGCCCTATATAAGCCAATAAACTTATTTTCCATTGTTTCACGTTGTGAGATGATTGTCGTTGTAACATGATATGATATCTAATTCATTCGTTTGGGATATATTCTTTCAAACCATGATTGCTAACAATGTAAACGTAACTCCCAACTCCTTTTGTGGATTTCTCGTTAAAGTTTTCACTTCAATCCCCACCCGAAACAACATGAATCAAATTTTGCCGACAGTGTTAATAGATACCTCATGCCTTCGATCTCGATAAAACCGTCAAATGTCCGTGATTATGATTCATCAGCTTCTCATGCCGCGATCAAAACAAAATGAATAGCAAAAGTTTCATGAGAACCTTGATTTTCACACCATTTTTTTCCAATTAATAAACTATTGGATATTGGCTTCGATACAATGAGACATTAAACGCATTTCAAACGCTTTCATAATAAAATCATTAATATTTATTTGGCGAATGAAAAGCGCGAAAGATATGACAGAAGACTTAAAGCACTAACCAAATCTAATCACGTTTGATTTCCACAACTAACTACTTTTCTAATATGACATTTAAGGCTCTCACAAAAGCCATCATTAGATGTAATGTAATGTGTTTGACGGTAAATCATAAAACAAAAGCACTCATGGAGACGTGATAAAACATTACAACATTGCAGTCTTAGTTGCAAAAAGACAAAAACTATAAAAATCTGTTGAGTGATTTTCTACTTTCTGCACAATAACGACATTAAAAGATTTCATTTGAATCATCAATTCAATGTTCAATTTAATGGCGCTAATGATAAATAGCTTTGATACGAATTAATAATTCATTGCGATTTTTACGACATCACCTACACTGGGCATTTTTCATACATTTACTTATGTATTGGCTTTTATATTTCATATTAGCGACATTTACCTACCGAAGAGTTTATTGCAAAACGCTGTTCTCCTTGGCATCCCGAAAATATTTATTAGATATCTAGTAAAAGAAAAAAAAAACAACTGAATGTTGGTAGATAAATATCAAAAGAAATTGGCAAGAGAGAAAGAAAAACTAGATTTGTGGCGTTTTGATTAATGATTATCTGAAATATTTTACTCTTTCTTTCTCAGCCATAACTTGCTCCAAAGCGTCTGATTGAAGGCGAAACATTTAGTGGAAGAAATGTCTTCAATTTGTCATGAAAAGTTAGTTTATTTAATTTGTTTCGTAATGTAATATAAACAAGTGGCAAGTATTTTAAACCAGGCTCTGAATTAGGAATTGAAACACCTTCGTTCGATTTTATTTGTCATTCGTCACGATTCTACTCTGTTCTCATTAACTATCAAGTTATGCAAATAACAACGCAAATTTTTATATTTAAATTAAGAAAACATCATTCAATGTAAATAAGTATGTCGGTCACAAACATCTGACAAATTGAATTGATATTAAATAGATCATATACCTTTGAAGTACAGTGAACTCTCTTCTTGAGATGTCGTGAAATTCATGTGAACTTTACACCACCTCAAAGAGAAGCTTAAATGGAATTATTTGAGGTTTTTCTACGTATAAGAAGAATCTCCCGACAGAAAATGTGAATTTAACAACAATCAACTGTAAAACAAAAAAGAAGTAAATTAATCTGCTATGTAAGATTTTCAAATTATATGTCAAAGAAAGGAAAAAAAATGCCTCAAGTGCGTTGATCTTGTTTAATGTTAATGGATTTTTTAATTGACAAATGCGTATTGCAAGTTACGTTTTCACTCGAAAACGCAAATTATTTAATAGAACTGGTTTTGGTGCGAATCGCAATGATTATGATGAAACGTAATTAACAAATGTTGTCAATTAATGATGTTTTCAATTTCATTTTAGTTTCGTGACATGCGGGCTTTAAAGGAAACTGTGAATGTAAATTGATTTGAAATTAAATTTTAAAATGCAGTTGGTCAGTTGAAAGAGTGAAGAGAATTGACGTCAATATTAATGTAATCATAATTATTATTTTTTTATTTTACGCTCTTCACTTCCCTGTTCACGTATATTAAAACATCATAAAACCTGATTAAGCAGTGCACTTTAGCGCTGTGTAATTTATTCTTAAATAAAGTGTAATTGTAACACTTGATCAATTGAAAAGCAGTCGAGAGAGAAGGCGATAAGATCGAAGTTGTTGTTCAGACAATGTTGAGATAAACGAGCCAAGGCTTCACTTATCATGCTTAATGATGGTTAATCATAGCCCCTTCATGTGATTTTATTTTATTTTTTTCTTATCCATTAGAGATTATGAGTAACTAAACGATAAAAATTGCTTCAATCTTAAAAGCGTGTTACGGTAGATCATGAAAACGTTTTACGCTTAATGACTCGTTATTCACATTTTCACTTTTGAAATAAAATAGAAGTTAAATGTTTTTCAAAAATAGTGCATGAAATTTTTAATAAAAGGAAGCGGCTTTGTTATTGTTTGAACTTGATTCATGATTATTACTTGAATTGAGTTATATTCATACTTAGTCATGAATGAAGTTTGCTCAAAGTCAAACTAATAATTTACGTGAGAATTTAGAAGTAGATGAGAAAAATTATTGCGATTGTAAACAAAATGTGGTTGAGAAGTACTTAATATGTTTAATAACTTATTTAATTAAATATTAAATGTAAGTTATTGAGCATTCCATTGAAAGGCCAAAATGTCATAATCTTCAGTTATATTAAATGTCAATCAATGTTACTACACATAAAGAATTAATGGAACTGTCAACTATTCCTAATAAAAATTCAATGAATAATAAGAATCACATTCCATACTAGAAAATCAGTTCTGCAAATGACTTAAAGTTATTTACTGCCATCAATGCAATAAGATTTAAGGAAGAAATAAATTAAATGGTATGATGTCTGATGGATAATTGTAGGATGACGAAGAACCAGACAGACACACACATGCTGGGTCTGGCGACCTGAAAAGAAATATTCTTTGTTTTTGTAGCCTACACGAATTTTCTTGCGAGGATTCACCCAAGACGCAGACTCAATCAAACTGAAAGTAAATCAAAAAAAAACCTTACGAGACTTTCTTAAGTTTCGCTTAAAATTACTCGGACATTCATTTGATTACCACCCAGAAATCGCAGCAGGGCAATGGAACAACAAGATATTATATAGTTTTTGTGTTGCTTTTGACTACATACAATGTGATTTATCGGACTTCAAAATCAGTGGGAGAAGAAGAAATTTACGAATTTACGAAATGTGTCTCAAATATATTAATATTTAATTGCATTAGGATGGCGAAACTTTTAAGTAAACTCGATAAAATCACCACCTCAAGTCAATTAGCTAGATAGTTAATATTTTTAAAAAAGTTAATAATAATCCACTGCAATAAAGTGTCGTTTTAATTTGGCGTCATTTCGCAGCTAGTAAATCTACTGGCAAGTGTTAATTGAGCTGGTAAATGGATTGTGTTTCAATAGATTAATAAAAACGCAACAGATAAATAAGAAAAGCTTGTGATTTATGTTTGTCAGCTAAGAAATAAAATCAGCTAAGGAATTTTTATAAATTGCATCGTAATGATTCTTCCACATTCGCCTTAAAACTTTATGTTGCTTTCATCGATTTCTCAACTATTCAACGCATGTTTGCACGAAGCCTAACTGAAATAAACTGCTGTGTTGTTTGTTGTTGAAAATGTAATTAATTGAATTACAATTTATCTAGTGAAACAAACATGAATCGATTTCGTTTAAATTCGTACACCATAATTTAATCTTTATTATAATGCTGACTTATCAGAACAACATCGATTGATTTCAATCTAAACACATTAAAATAATTTTTTATTCTTTTGCGAAATGCTAAAAGTTAATAAGGAACTTTTAAAAGAGAGAAAAATATTGTAATTTAAATCATAATTTATAGCATTACAAATATCTGAATACACTTTTGTTTCATGATTTTATTTTTAAGCAATACCTAAGTAGATTGAACAACAAATGATATTGCAAATTAACCTAAATTTCCTTGTTGGCTTTAAGATTTTTATCGACGTTTTTATTCGTTATCTGATACGCTGAACATGCACTTTACTGCAACGTTTAATCTTCGACAGACTGAAATTAAACTCTCGGCTTGTGAAATAATTTAAGTGATTTATAAACTCTCTGAACATGACTTCTACTTTATGCATGATCCGATTACAAAATTATAATAGTTTAAGTAACATCAGTTAGTGATTAATGAATGATCGAATATCGGAAAATGAAAATTGCATAAGTAAACAGAATGTGAAAAAATGTTTTCTTATTCAACATGCATATTTAGTTCTTCATTGTCCATTATTTATAATGTCCAGTATGCAAAGATTTAAACAACTTGAATATTTAAAATCTAAACTTACAACTAGTGGATTGTTAATTGAAACTAAGTAAATTTTTTTTTTCTTTTGAAATGTCACGGAGAAGATTCAACATGAATTCTTTTATTTCTACAACTTTATGACCAAATAAAGGATTTTAATTTTGATGTTGAATTGAATGTTGCGTTACCCAGAATGTGAAGTCAACAGGTCAAGTTTGAAAGACTTCAAAGAACAATTTTCCGACGAAACCTTTTTATAGTTCAAGTATCTATCGTGACATTTATGCTAAAGTAATCCCAATAAATATTTTATTTACATATAAACTTTATTTCTCTTATTAAGTAATTAATGATTTTATGCAACGTTACATGACATGCTCCATTGTGGTTTGAATTGTTGCGGTCGATCGACGAAAGCTTTCATTTGGATAATAAAATCTCTGCAATGATCCATAAGACTTAACGAATTTTATAATGGTCACAAACATGAAGAACATCATGATGAAGAACATGAGATATAAAATGACTTTAATTGAACTGACTTCCGACTGCACAATGAGATTTTTGCCGACAGATTCGGGGATTTGTGTCTCGTGATTATTATAAACAAAACTTTTTCCATCATTGACATTATTGATTTTTTGATTCATTTTAAACATTTTAATTTGAAGCTCTGAAATTTTATCCCAAATTTTTGTTAGATTAGCATTTAAATCAGTTTCAGGAGTGCGAATATCATTTTCACTCAAATTAGCTTCGTTATCGTCTAAATGTGCTATTGGTGAACGCCAATAAACATGCTTTGTTGCATTATTGTGGCATCGAATGCCATCAACATTCATTTCATCATAAACACGATATTTTGTAAAAACATAAACGATCACGTTCATTGCCCGCAATTGTTTTATCATGTTTGACAAGTACGAACAATTCCAGTCATTATCAGTCAAACTGATCAACGACAGCTTCGGAAAATTAACTTTAATATTTTCGAATGGTATTTCAGTTAAATTATTTCCATCAACTTTGAGGTGCGTCAATTGTGCGAGTGATGAGAAAATGTTGAAATCGATCTGCAGCAATTGATTGTATGATAAGTCCAACTGCGTTAAATTAGTGTTGTGTGAGAAGGTTCCATACGTCAGTGAGTTTTTTTTAATTTGTGTAAACTCGAGATTCAGTTTGATAAGGTCATGCATTCGAGCGAAGCTTGAGACTTTTAAAGGGCCTAGAGGATTGTAAGACAAGTCAAGAACTTCAAGTCCAGTCAATGATGAGATATTTGAAAGATCAGAGATTGAATTTTGTCTCAGTTTTAATTCCATCATCTCGGTATTTCCGGTGAAATTTATCATTTCGAGTTCATTGTACGGTGCGTAGAGAAACTTTAGATTTTTATTCACATCAAGCGATTTCAGATTGTTGTAGGGAATCCACAAACGTTCAACGTTTGTCGTCTTGATGTTAATCTCATGTAATCGATTGCTGGCGACATTCAGCAGTATTAAATCTTTTAATTTGCCAAAGGCATCGCCTTTAATAACGGCGATTTCATTGCCTTCGATCCGAATTTCACTCAAATTTAAACAATTTGCAAACAAGTTTTCTTCGATTATTTGAAGTTTGTTGTTATCTATTCGAATGCTAATCAATGCCGTTAAATCTTTAAAAATATCTTCGCCTAATTCCACCAACTTGTTACTACTCAATGTTAAATATTCTAAACTCTCCAAACTCACAAAAGCATTTTTCTCGATTTCATTGATTTCATTGGAACTTAAATCGAGAGTGGTGAGTGTCGTGATCGAAGAGAAAACGCTGTTGGGTAACTTTTTAATCTTATTTGATCGCATTCTTAACTCCTGGAGAGCAGAAGCATAATTAAAGTTATACTTATTCACATCCTCAATTCCACACGAATTCGCTTGAACTTTTTTTAAGAATTGAAACGTTCCGAAAATCTCACGCGGCATATCGTATAGCTTTGAATTACTGAACTCCACTTCCTGAATGATTTTGTTATATTCGAAATTATTAGCCGATCGGATGACGAAAGTCGAGCTGCTGTCGGCGGAAACGTCACTTATCGTGCACTTTGTTCCATAATATCTTTCATAATAGCTAATGGCCTTAATTTCATCACATTTTAGCTCCATCAACTCACTAAAAGCTATTCGCGGTAAAAGTAAATTCATGAAAACTCCAATGAACAATTTCATTCTGATCTTTCACTTTCTTGCCTCACAAAACGAAATCACTAAGCGAACTGACGCTTGAGAATGTAACAACACTTGTCGATGCAGCATGAAAACAATTCTTATCAACATACGAAGTTGTAAACAAATGTTCTTATGCAAAATAAAAAGAATAATGTTTTGAGATATTAAAACCAACAAAACATGAATGATATTTACTGGAACTATCATGTGGGACTTGCGATGGCGTGTTTACAATGATGATATGAGATCGTCAAACTTGTTTTCTCAATGAGTAAGTGTCATGGGTAGTCGATGGTTGTCTGGGAATATTTTTAATCTCATTCCACTTGTATGTTGCTTATTTTTTATGACTTCACGTTTTGTTGCGGAAAACTATTTCATGATAAGTCATAAAAAATAAATAAAAATTGAGAACAAAAATTAGTTTTTTTAATGTTTTGAGTTAAATAAATTAATTTCCAACATAAATGTCATTTATCATTTCATTTTTTTTAAGATTTATTTGAAATGGACGAGCATAGATTTTTTATATTTATTGTTGTCTTCTTACCTTGTTTTAATTTTCAACAACCACGCCAACCATTAAACATTTTTCACAATCGCAATTATAACATTAACTCAGAACTTCTGTTTACAAACAACTACTACAAGTTCTCCACCTCCCTTCACTTTCAACACATTCTGCAAAGTAATCGATTGTTGCATATTATTGATGACTACTTGTGCGTAGTCACATAATTTATGAGCCTTTCGATCGATATCAATAAAACTCAAACAACGCGGCTATGAGAAGCTAGTGAACAAGCAGAATGGAAGAAATGCATCATCCAATTATTTTCATTTAAAACGACGTCTACGATTACACGCAGCGTAAATGTGTCTTAATCTTGATGTAGTGCATTGAAAAAGCAAGAAGAAAAAAAATAAAATTGCAACTGCACAAAAGCATGACAATGTGGACGTAAAACAAATTATTTTCATGTCGTTAATGATGTGTAACGAGAGAATGCATCTCGTTTTCGATTTAATTAAAGAATTGATTGTTGTTCAATATTGTTCGAACAGTACGTGAACTTGAAAATGTTCCATTCTTTGGTGAGGTTGACATTAAGTTACCGTGAGAAAATAAGTGTGCTGGTAGTTTCATCTTGAAACAGAAGAAATTGTCATGAAACTTCACAAGAGAAGTGAATTATGATACAAGATTAAACTCTTCAAACATCAATTGATATTCAAAAACTCTTTTTTTATATTCAATTAAGAATGAATAATAAAATTTATGGTTGTGATCTTTATGAGTTGGGTTTAGATCTGCGCTTGACAAATTAATTTTTTATGTTTCATAAACAATAAGATTCATTCAATTTTAAGATCTTTGAAAGAGGCTTTTCAACCATAAATGATTTCGACTTAGTCAACTCACGATTTTAATCGTTATCTGATGTGGTGAGCGCATCGAAAAAAAAATTTCAGAACACAGAAAAAAAATGGAGATGAAGACGTTTTAGAGTCGATAAATAACACGGCAACACCGAATGACCATCAAAGAGATCACATTAGCGAGATAAATTAATTGAAATATTAATTGATTAAGAAGCTATCGGTGGAAACAAAAAGATGTGAAGCCGCTCTCTAATCGCTACTGCTGTTTGGAAATTTAAATTTTAAAGATTCAAATATCATTTATCAATCGATTGTGAATCGAGATTACTTGCGATGTTCTTTTTTTCTACTAATTTCTTTTGGCTCCTACCGGACTTTTTATCAACATTCAAACAATTTATGGCTGTTTGAAATGGAAAAAAAGTCTTCTTAAAGTGAACGAATCGAGCTCTTTCTTAACACGAATTTCAAATTATCCACACCCGATAAGAGTCGAAGCTGAGAGGCGAGAGATGTCCGTCAGCATAATTTCAGGTGATATCAACGGCGACGAATCCCGCGGGAGAGAAGGCGTGTGACAGTTCGATTCGTCTTATGGCACATCTCTCGCGGACCGTCGATAAAATAAAAGTTCTTCTTCTATATTTCGCACATAAAAAGTTCTTAATTTGATAAAGCGAATAACATAAAACGAGACATAAATTATTTGGTTGCTGAGTCGGTGGGCGAAGTTCACAAAAAAAAAGTTTCATTAATTTTTTTTTTGCTTCGAAACTATTTAATGAATATCAATTCCGCGCTATATCGCAATGAAGCAAGAAAAAAACAATCCACAAAATGGAATTGAAATTTTTTAATGAAATAACAATCACACGAAAATGTAATAAATTATTATGTGCTGAGATATGTCGAGCTACCCGAAAAAAATGTAAGAAAACAAGAAGGCACTTCCAACAGCGCGCACTAAATTATATTTGGACGTAGCGAATTAAAAACTTCATTCGTTAGAATCAAAGAAAACTTCTTTTTTACCTCACAATAACTGAGATCATAAATTATTTAATCTAATTAGAAATTTTCTTCCTCAACGTAAAGAAAAAAGTTTTCAGGTTCTTCGCTGTCGGTCGCAGCAAATTTTTTTTGTTTCTCGAATTCTTTTAAAGCCCTTCAACTGCATCCACTCATTTAAAACTTTTCAATTCTATTTTTTTCCATCCTCTATGACGTGATATGCCTCCGGGACTTACAAGCGAGCCAAAACATCACTCAAAAAGTCAGCAAAAAAAATTGTAACATAAAAAATAAAAATAAAACCGTGAATATTGCAAAGAATTAACTGAGAGCAGTGCCTAGGCACTTTACAACATTCCACTAGCGTTATTTCCCTTTCGCTTTGCAGCAATCACATTTATGCAATTTTGTTGCAACTTGCAAGCACTTATTGACGGCTGCCTTTTTTTTATTGATCAAACAATACACGTTAAAATTAGCACAAACAAGTATGTTACTTCTTCATTAGTTAACGATGCATTTTAACAACCAATTACAATTTCTCTTTCCATAGTGTCTGTCAATCTATAAAATATTTTTCTAATTAAATAATTATCACAGTGTATTTCCTTTACACTTAAGTATAAATGAAGGTTAATCTCATGATGCAGCTACATCATCATCACCGTAGATGCATAGACAGTTGAAGTGCCTTAAAGCAATTAGATTTGAAGTCAATCAACATCTTAACGATTCTTAACTCAGAATAGGAATCACTTCATTAGCACTTAATCTGAAAGTAATTGAGTTTTCACATTTAAGCTACATTGTCTCTGTTAATGTCTCAATTGTGAAAGGATTTTTACCTAAATAGCTTATCCGTTTAGGTTGTAAAAGTTGAAAGAAGCCGTAACATCGATTACTGTAAATTCTGCATGGTTAAGTAAATATTTACAGCTGTAAAATGTTGGTGACAATCTATAGACTCGTGTCTGTCTTTATTCTTCTTCTTTTCGATGCGTCATCTTTGAGTCTGAACCGAATGAAAGTAAATAAATATCTCAACAGTTTAGCTTATACATAAATTTAATGACCACCCCAGAACAAAAATTCCGTCTCTCAATCACTCAAAAGTTCATTGAACGTATTCAAACACCAACTATTCACTACGTTCCAACACAAAATATTAAATAGTGGAAAGAGATCACTGTCAATTCTCTTTCGTCTCGCTCAAAAATTATGATTGGAGCCTTCGGGGCTCAAAGTGGAAGTCATTTGAACCTAGCGATCGGCGTACTATAATAAAAAAAATAACTTTTGCGCTTTTTTTTAAGCTGCAAACTGGCAATGGCATAGAGAGAAACAGAAAAGTAATAAGAGCACATCTGTAATTAACATTAAATACTATAATTTATGGAATTTCAAATCATAAATCTTAATTAATATCGTCAATAGCTTTTTATGAAATTTGATGTGACGTGAAGTGAGATTAGAAGAGAGTGGAAAGGTCCATGTGGTGATCATTCCACCTGTTTGATTCAAAATATCAATTGTATGGCTAATCAAATCTGTTGGAGACTGAATTGTTGTTTCATAATAAAAAGAAATTCGATTCAGTTATTTTTTTGCGAAAAGCGCTAACGGTCAGCGAATTTGCATATTAATTAAGATTTCTCCTTTTCAGTAATCGCTGACAATTTCTTGAAATGCTCAGGGAAACTTTTTTCAGACTGATCTCATAATTAAACGGATGATTGATTGATGATCGATGAACTTTTAAACCGTTACATTTTGCACGTTAGTCCATAAATCATCGTCGGTATTGAGAGATAAGTCACCTGAACGATCAAAATATTTCCAACTTTTCTTGCGCAAAAAATTATATTGATCAACATTAAAAAGAGATTTAAGAGTCAGGAGGCAGAGTTAAAAGCGAAGTTTTTGTTTTCGTTTTCATCAGTGCTCGCGCGATTTCCATAAAAGGCATAGATGTTTACCTACTTATGAAAGATTTACTGGTTTTTTTTCGGGCTTCTCTTCTCCTCCTTATGTACGTCTCCAATTCATCCGATTCTGAATATGTTACACTCATATTTGAGTTACGAAATCGAGAACATTACACTGATTATGATGCTTAAGAAGTTATTAAATTTCATTCGCTCGCGTTCCATTTCTTCCCGGTAGATACGGAACAGACAAAAAATAAAGAAAAAAAGAATCTTTTCATAATATTTTGAGGACAAAAGAAGTGGAATGAGGAATGAGAAGACGAAAGAGAACTTGTTCTCATACTTTATTGTGTTGCTTTTACGACTTTCGGTTATTGACTTTTGTGCTGTTTATAGCCTTCCTTTTTCAAGAATTTGTTTATCGAGTATTTTTATTCGGTTGCTATGGTTGTTGTTCTGAGTTATTTTAAGCTGTTTACTTTCCATTTCATGTCGTCTGCAACATCAGTTTCTATGCTGAAATAATATTTTGATGATTTGCTTTTATTAATTCGTTTCATTTATCTATTTAATTTTTTGTAAGTTCCTTGATATTGTCTTAAGGCTTGTAAAATCATACGAGACTAGAAATCGATGAAATATCGTAAAGTTTTATGATTTTATTTCAGTTTTAGCAACTCATAGCGCCATCAGCTAACACAACATTAAATAGTTTTAATTCGCGTTCAAACGCAGCATGACTAAAATGAACTCTCAACCTCTTGCTGATATCAAATCAGCATGAAATCACTTCCATAAAATCTTAATGTTTCGTAGCGAAATGCTATGATGGAATTGTGTGTTTCTATTTACTTTTCTTTAAGGTATCGGAAAAGATTTCCTTTTGTAAATTGAAAATGGGAAATTTTCTCACGATTGTTACATTTCTTTCGTTATGAGATCTATGAAAGTATTTTTTATGCATGTTCCTGGCGGGGACACTGAAATATTTCTATTCATAAACTTGCCCCATATCGAAATTTTTCTAAGCAAGCAAGCGAAGGAATAATTCAAACTTATATTTAATGAGATAAGTCAGCTCAGCTCTTCTTCGGTTTACTGCTCGAGAAAACAATTATTTACCATCTGATTTATTACGTGTCTTGATCCATAAAATTCCATATCGTTCGCTTTCGAGATGAAACTTTTTTTTCTCTCTTTCTTTCTCGGGAATAAGTAATAAAAATCCTTGTAATTTTTATCTTTGACTGATTGAATGCTTTATGCCTTCGTTTCAAAAGAAATCGTCTTGGATCTTTATGAACGAAACTGTTAATTGAAAAATACAAGTTAAGTAGAAACAATATTAGCCGTTGGCGCTTTCTTTTATATCTCGCTTAACGTACCATTATTAAGAACCAAAAATGAAGCGATGGTCTTCGCTTGAACTCTCTCATATGCGCCTTGAATTGAGTTGAGGTGAAAATTACCGAGTGAGATATGCAACGAATCTTAACTTCTCATGAATCATCTGTGTTGATCAGATTTGGTGTATAATTAAGCATATTGCGCATTCAAATCTCCTTCGGCGTTTCACTCGGTTTCTGTTTGAAATTTATGTTGCACTTACCACCTTCGAAATGTTTCTCGCTGTATTCTTCAAGTACATTTCGTGAACTAACAATTAAAGCAAAGCATAAATTTAATTAAATATGAGATAACGATGAAAGCTTACATATCGTAAGATCAGCAGAAACTACAAGTCTTTACCATTCCCTTCCTTGACGACCAACACATTGTGAAGAAAGGAAAAGAAAAATAAAATAAAAGCTGAATTGGCTATTGGCCTTTCGTGTCGCGTGCAATGTTTTCAATTAGCGGGGCATCTCGCACGGCACATTAAATGTTTGATGCGAAGCATTAAGCAGAGAGAATGAAAAGTATTTTTGCATTATGATTCACATTCATTAAACTGGGAGAAGTAAACAGACTATTACTTATGAATTATGAGTTGGGGCTAGGCCAGATAAATTGTTAATGAAGTAAAAAAATATTAAAATTATTTTTCTAGAGGTCAATGTTGTGATTTCATTTCAAATGCTGAGTGTTACGCTCAATAAAATACTGGAAATATGCCCACCAACCCTATGGACTACTACTTCATGCATATCCCAGACAGTTCCATACTCAACAAAGAACTTTAATATTTTTGCTTGTCTCAACAACAGTTTTGCTTCATTAAATTCAGAAAAAAAATAGTGTTGCAGTCTCATGTAACATTTTCGAAGTAAAAGTTCTTCATCTCACGCGAAATAATTGTTTCTGATTACAATTTCATGTACAAGTAAAAACAGATTCCGTGCTTTCAAGTCTTATGTCGGTATGGAAAAACGAGTGGCGACTATTGAATTTATTTTGTTGCAAAGCAAAAAGCTCAATAATCCACATTGTTCATACGCAAGCGACATTGGTATTTAAAGAATTTCTTACATTATTTAATTACATTTTTTTTCTGCTTTCATCTTGCACAACAAGAACTTCGAAAGACTATTGACAAATGAACATTCCGAATTAAATACCAAAACGGTCAATTCATTGAATTCATTAAACTGTCCATTGGTTTTGTGAAGTAAATAAAATAAATTCAAGATAAAAATTCGCCGCCAAAAATTTGTATTAATGAAAATAAAGACAGAAATCAAAACATTTTAATAGTAAAATAAAATTTCGTTGAAATTGCATGCAAACAATCATTTTCCTCTCTCATCCAACCTCACCTCATCCAATCAACGAAATATAAATAAAATTAAGTTGAATAATCGTGTAATATTAAATTCAATAGTCAATTGTCTCTGATTTATAAAAATAAAAATGTAAATAAATAAAATAAGATGCCGTGTTGTTGTCGAATACAATTTCTCTTTTGAATGTCTTGTTTTAAAAGGTCAATGGAAGTTTCCTCGAATGCTCGATTTTAATTTTGATATAGTTGAGGAAGAAAAGATTTAACTTGAGACAAAACAAGAAAGAAATTTTCATTTTCAGAGGGTCTGTACGTCAGTAATGGTAAATAGTCAATAAAATAATCGGATCATCTAAGATTATGTGTCATGACGATGAAAACTACAGAAACTCGAAAAGTCTTTTAATGAGATTTTCTTCTCCTTTTTTTGCGTAACTAAATCGACTTGAAAATGTCTTCTCCAATATTTATCTTCAAGAACTTTTTTTCCGTCCCTTGCGACATCGTCATTTCACAATTTCATCATCAACATTGAGCACAAAAGTTTCTGATGACTTGCCCTTAATGTAATTGAGCTTGTCACTGAATATCTAAGCCTAAGAAGCTGTGAGTTGTTTTGAGTTTCCCCAGAAATTCCTTTTGCTTTTAAATAATTGACAGGCAATTCAATAAAGTCAAGTCCAAAGAATTCCTATTTAAACTTGCACAAAGCGTGCACATAACAAAATCGCCATTAGAATAATTAATTTTTGCTTTCTTTCTCGTCTACTTTGCAAAGCCACATAAATCACATCATCACTTGCATTTGTAACATTTTATGTAAATTGTTTTGAACATTGCTTCAAAAGCTTCTAATAACATGTAAAACGTCTTAGACGACCATCTATCTATTTAAGTTGAACACCGAAGTGCTTTGTATCACATCGTGTAGCTCATTTTATAAAAAGTCATGTAGTAAAATTAGTATTACTATCAGACAGTTCGCTTTTTCCTATTTTTCATTCAATAAGCACAAGAACGCGTTTGTCGCATGCACTTTTATGCAAAAGATTTTCGTGCTTAAGTTGCGTTCATTTAATGTTTAATGTTTGCTATCGCGTCTCATTTAAGGAATGTTTATGTTCATTTTTAAATTCAAAGAGTTCGTGCTTACTGCGGCTTTCTTTCCACTGCTGTTGAAGTCAGTCGATAAGTAAGTGAACTGAAGGCAGCACAAAAGTCACGCGGGGGTCTCTGATTCTTCATTGATTTTCAGCGATTTTATTTATTTTGCTAAGCGAGAATTATTTGCATCTTTGACCTCCTCGATGTCCATTAATCTTTCGAAATTAAGCAAGCACAGAATTTTCAATAAAGCACAAAAGAATTGCTCGCATAACAACGTCTTCATTAGATAAACTTTTGAAATATTTGAATATGTTTTATTAATGGAAAGTAATCAATAATTATTATGGTTATTTCCTATGATTGATACATTTTTGTGCGCTTTATAGATCGACGAGAAGTTGGAAGAGATTTATGGAATGGGAAAGCTTTCGTGAAACTTTTTTTATATTTTCTGGTAAAGAAAGAAGATTCCGATAAACTGTGAGAAAAAAATTTTGCTTGGAGCGTTGGGTGGCTAAGGCTTAGCTTGTTGTTTGTTAGCTTCAGGTTGAACATTAAGATTGTAGGAAGACAAATGTCTTCCTATTTATTGTATTTTTATTTATGTACTTTGGTAAGAATCTAGTCACCCATCTCTTCGTCTTCTTCTTCTTCTTCTGAACCATACTCTGATTTCCTAGCCTTGAAAAATGTCTTTTTCTTCTCAATTTAACGTTAATGTTATGGAATTAAGCGGCTGTAGAATACCAATGAAATATTACTTTCGTTATTCGTCTCTTAGATTTGATTTGTTAACAATCAGTCGAGCATATTTGCTTGTGGGAAAATTGTTTTTATTTGTGAGTATAGACAGAAATTGGGTGAGCATGAATATGATGTGGTTTTCACATATTTTCCAACCAACAAAAGTTTTGTTGAAAATATTTGAGAAATTGCTGAAATTCGATTCAGTTGGTGAGAGAATCTCACGAGAATATTTTGAAGAATACCACAAGCGTGACTAATCTTTTAATTTGTTCAATAAGCACTTTCTTGAGCTCTTCTTAGGTCACTTAATAATCCACATTTCTAGCAGCCACTTAAAAAAATTAATTAAAAATCGAAGAAATGATTTCAATGTTTTGCATAATTAAATCTCTCTCGAGCTGCTAATTTAATTTCGCAAATCTCTTGAAATCATCATAAATTAAAGATTATCATCGTAATTACAGAAGCTCCTTTGAACATCTTTCGGCATTTGATAATCACAAAGATAAAATCGTTTAAGAAATCAACAAATGACTTAATTTCTTTTCTGTTTTGTTTTTAAATATCTTTCTAAGTTCATTTCATGTTTAAAATTAATTTAGGCTGATTTCTTTTCCTTTCTGAAGTCGCCTTCTTGTTGGAAGCTAACCAACATTAGATAAGTATGTGTTGTTAAATGTTATATGCCCTATAATTAAATATCAGTGATGGAGAAATCTATCGAGATGTGCGATGTTGAAAAGAGCGTCTTGCATGACTTTGATAGCTGAGTTGAGTTTCTGATATGAAAACAGTATAAAAAGCTGGTGAGGCGATAATTATGGGATGTGGTTGTCGTGTCTACGCTTATGTTTCATAGCTTTTCATGAACATCATTTACACGTTAGAATTCACGCTTCAAATGATTGATATTGTTTCAGATATCGAGAATATGTCAAAACATTGAAAGCAAGTTTATGGCAATACTTCATCAAAGTATTTAATAATATTTCTTAACATATCTCGCTGTTTTAAATATTTTTGACACATTTTCATATTAACATTTCTGTACCTCGATGAACTGAACATTTAAGCGATCGCAAGACGTTTGTTTAAAGAAAAGTGCCGATAAATGTTTCTTTTGTGAAGAGAGAAAGATTCCGACGCAACGAAACGTGTAACCTGCTGACAGTACTGTTAAGAAAGCGAGACTTTCAATGCGCATTCACTTTGTAGCTTCGCGACTTGTGAAATGGCTCAAAGAGAAGGGCAGGGACATTGTTATGTCATTAAATTATGATTTTTTAACAACATTGTTTTTCTCTTTCATATGTTTTCACGATCAACGTCCGATGAAAGCAATCCGAAGATCGATTCGAAGTGTTGTTCAGATTCAAATCAAATGATAGCGGAAACTAGGAATTCCAGTTGGAAGCTTACGATGAATAAGATTAAAGTCACTTTGACAATTTGTAAAGCGATACATTAAATATCTACAATTGAAACCAAAAGATGTAAATGATGATCTGATAATGAATGATATTGACTGACATGACTTATATGAGTTTGAAGTTTTGAACTACATGGGAAAGGAAGCAAAATGTCAAACTGTTGACTTACGTTCATTCATGTTTTGCAAAACAACTGAATTATGTGCAAAAAACTCGCTCCTTTTGCTTAACGATAAATAAATGGGAATATTTATGAGATCTTTGTGGTAAAATGTTTTATTTTGCATTAATAAATAAAAATGATAAAAGATGAAGCGAGATTATCCGTCCCAGTGGTGTTGAAGAGATATCTTAAGATTAAGTATAATGGAAAGAAATATTTATCATTCTTCTTGCAAGAAATTGGCGTTAGAAAAGTTAATTATGAAAAATGAAGGTAACACTGATCTTGAAATGAATTAATATCCTCAACAGCAACACCAGCGCAATCAATTTCGTGTTGAATTCCCTGGATGTTTTGAACAGAAATTAATTTAAAAGTCAACATTGAAAATTATCGAAAACGAAATATTCATAAAGTTAATCAACCGACAACCAAACTCGACTCACAACGACACTACAAAGTCAAACATTTCTTTTCAATAATCAAATATTCGCAGCATGATCCTTTGTCGCTTTGCTTTGCATATGAATCGAACTCAACTAATTATCGTTGATATTAATGCATCTCCGAACATTTTTATTGCTTTTAAATGGCTTTAGCGAGGTCGTGGTGTTTGATAAAAGTTCTTCTTGTGCTCATAAATATTTTCGGAAATAAAAATAAAAAAATCTTCTTTCCATTTGTTTTCTCATTGGAAATTGATTCTTTCGTTTTATGTTTCTTTGAGATTTTAGGAGAATAAATTCTTTTGATCCAATAAATCAAGTGAACATTAATAACGCCACAGAGTATCTCGCTTTCTCGTCGGTTGTGGTGATTAATTAACACTGACCACAATCAGGTGTAATTTAACAAAATGATAAATTGAGTACAATTGTTTATTGTGTCGCGTCTGGTAGTGTTTCTTTCATACATAACGAACGAGTAAAAGTATCGCGATCTTTGTCGCGAGACCTCATGTTGAACATCATTTTTTTCACGGACTTGCAAGCAGCAGAACTTGTCCAAAATAAGCGCAGGGTAATTAATTTTAATTACATTGTATCTTTTTCCAATACTTCTGATATTGATCAAATTACATTCGGTGCCGTGTGTTGTGTGCGAAGTGCAACAATGAGATGCGATGAAGCGTAACGTGATTAATGGATTATTGTGATTTTTCTAATTTTCTGCTTTAAAATGGTCACGGAAAGCAGTTAAGAAGTGACGATGTGCGGTAGGTAAGAGATGATGATGATCAGGTGCAGACTGCAAATTCCAAAGATTCTGCTTTCCTATGTATTTTAATTATTTTCGCTTACAAAGCAGCGACATGTTGTCGAGTTCATAAGAAAAGAAATAGCCCAACAAACAAACAAATAAAAAAATCTTTTCGCAAGAAGATAAATACGAAAATGACAGAGAATATTAATGAAAACGATGATTTATCAGTTTTTTTTTGTTATTTGTTATTTGCACTGCAACACTGGAGACTTTTCAACTTGCAAACTCGAATGCATGAATAATTTTTTATGAAGCAAAACTTTGCAATTCAAAAGTTTCCCATCTTCTTTTTCTTTTTGTTCTTTTGATTGTTGGATAAGTCTGTAGACAGTGAAGAAAACAAATTTTATCTGTCATCATTCATTGAAACTGTTAACGAATGACGAGCTTTTTGCGTTATTCCCAGTTGGAAATCTTGGGAATTCTTAAAAGAAGAAGATTATGAAATGGAGAAACTTGCAATTTCTTATTGCACATCTTCATGTACATAAACAAATCATGAAATTATCCAATCTGTCGAGACATGACAGCAATGCATCTCAGCTAAACCATACACAATTCAATTAAATACCATTTAATCTTAGATGTTGATGGAATAATGAGGATAAATTGATTTCAATAGAAAAGCTAGACAACAATAAAATTGCAATCGCTCATTGCCTTTGGCCTTTAGTCATCGTTCAACGTCCAGTAGCTAGCCACACGACAAATTGATTCTTTGAAGTTTTCATTAAAACTTTGTTTGATAACAAGTTGAATAACAAAATGCTTCGAGTGATTATCCCAAAGTCACGAATCCAAATTCAAATGATTGAGTAAAGAATTTGAGTTGAATAAATTATCAAAAAATCTCATTAGGATACTTAAGAAGTCGTTTAAGCAAAACGAGACTGTTTTTATCACAGTATGATTCAAAGTTAAGCTAAAATTTTTGATGGGGATTAGAAGAATGCCTAAAGCAGTCACTAAAATATTCCCAATCGTCACATAAACTCAACCACCGTTTCAAGGTACGCATTTGGGGATTGATAATGTTTGGAATTCGCAATGAAAATCTATTTAATTACTCTTGGACTTCATTTTCATTCCATCCCTTGCCTGAAAACATTTTCGTTATCAACCACAATTTTTCACATTTCCGACTCTTGTTACTTCACATTTTATGACCGCCAATTTGCCTCATAACGTGTAAGCACTTCCATTGCTGTAAGAATTATAATCATGAAAACAACAGCAAAGAAACTGATAACGCGAAATGTAAATAACATTGTTATGCTTTCCTGTTTTGCTTCTCATTCAACAGGGTCTAATGAATGTTATCATTTTTATATTCAATTGTGTTGTTGTTCCCTTCTCGCTGTGTCGGCGAATGCTTTTTGTGCAAGCGACATTATCAGCGATATGAAGGCTGTTGGATCTTATTTTAGTTCTTGGGAAACTTCGAAGGAGAAAAAATGCTGTTCTTAATGCAGCCAAAGCATGAAGTGAAAAGAAAAAGCATAAACAATGCTGCAATCATTCCCAGAGTCGCTAGGCCAATTCCTACTTATCCAATGTTTATTGTCTTTAATGTTCTTTATGTTGTTGGTTAATAAAAAACTGTTCAGTTTATAAATTCAAGATGCAAGCTTGATCATGACTGATGACTCAGGAAATTGAAATTATTATGGGAAAGCATGAAACTTGACAATCTCAACCAAGGAATCAATTTTTCAACTTTCATTTTTATACAACACTTCGTCAAGGTTCAAGGGAAACTTTGAGAAATTCAACTGTAAATAACAATGAAGGTGATAAGAAAAATGTCAATTTTTTTTATAAAAATTATATGGAATCTTCGAAACGTGTTAAAGAATATTCGCAATTCACTTTCGTTCAATCGATGATAAGAACGCGTTGATGAAAAATTCATAAAATTCACAAAAGCAGAAAAAAAACCACGTAAAAAATAAAAATAAAATTCGAAACAATCGCCAAAGATTTCATAATTCAGTTGACATTTTACGAGAAATCATAATAACATTCCGTTTGGAGACTGAAGAGTGCTATCTCAATGATGTCATCGAAATCGAATGTGTTTTACTACAAACATCCAAACATTTATACTTACATGCATGAATACATTTCAAGTAAGGTAATCGAAGAATGCACATAAAAATTGCTTCAATAAAAATTCTCAAATAAAAAAGCAGTATAAAATAAATATATGGGTAGATATAATTCGAAAGAGAAATATCAGCAAACAACGTCGCATCTCCCATGATGTCGTCGAATTCAATCCCGTTGAGGTTTTAAAGTAAATCAATCTCACAATTATTCTTCCTTTCAATTACCATTGCGACACTGAAATGTAGCCATGAAATTATTCAATCTTGTATGCTTGCTACTTGTTGTTTTCCCCTAAGATTTAACTTACCTTGAAGACATCAAGAGCCTTCCTGAGCCATAAAAAAATGTTTTATTCATTCAAATTTTTTGATTGTTTCGCTTTCTTTTTTTCTTATCTTCAAAAATGAAGGAAAATAAAAAAAATTAAACCGTCTTTTATTCATTGCTTGATTCTTTTGTCAATAACTCAATGAAAGCGCTTTTAGAAGTTGAAATTTACGAAATGAAAAGCATCAAAATGTATCGGACAAATTTGAATGCCCTTCCAACATTTACTGAGTCGAGTATCAAGCACGTCTGACACTGAACTGCTTCATAATTGACGATTAAAATAATCAGTGACTTTTACCAACAGCAGTGAAGATGATTGAAATTGTGCAATTCATAGCTTGACCTGTGGAATCGCCTTCACCAGCTTATTTGTTAGAGAATCACTGAAGCGTTTGATTGACAAATGATTTTGATTTTGAACTCCCAAAAAGTAGAAAATAATTTTTCAAACTAACAATCTTCGCTGAAGAATAACAAAAAGGCGAAAATAAAAATAAATTCGCACAAGCTGCCGATGTATCTTCATAGGTCATCAATCGATTCCACCTTTGGGAAATCATCGCTCGTGTATTGATGCTCAAAATGAAATTCGACTCTATTGATGAGTAGCGAGTTTCACTTGGGTGGTCGCAGCTTTTTTCGTTGAATCAACTGTTTGATGTCAACTTGAATTTTGTCACATGTCGAGCAGAAGTGCTTCAATTTTTACGAGTTTTAAACGCAGCAACAGCTTCGCAAGTCTTTAAAACGCTGTTAACTTCAATTAATTTAAAGTCATCTGAATGCAGTGCGAAAATTATTGCGCAACATTTCCATAAATCACTTTCTTAATTGAACCATCAGAAAAATAATTCAGTGAAAGCTTTAGCCTGCCGGATTAGCGTCATCTGCTATTGCAACTCATGGGAATATTCTGGCAATAACTTATTCAGCTTAATTACGCTCCATATCATCGTTCTTAATTTATGACTTATGGCTTACGGGATGGATAAAGATCAAGCCAGAGATCGGCGAACGTTTCATCTATAGGCACGCGGTGATTTTTCTTTTTTTTTCAAACTAAAAAATATTGCATTTGAAATCTGATCAGTGCAACGATTAATCTTTGAGATTTCTCTCGTGTTCTCTTCTCCATTCTGCTGGAGTTACTCATCCAACAATACTGCAATATTTTACATTTGTGATCTCACTTAACGAGCCATTTAGCCGGGGATTCAGTTTGGAAGTATCGTCTTTCATTTGATTCATGAGACGATGAAATAATTTTCAGGTAGAGTTGAAGTTTACTTGATGTTAACAAAACTTTGACTATGCTTCTTGGAATTGATTATAAAATTATGTTATTAACAGTTATTGAAATTAACTGGGAAATTTTCCAACATAAAAGAGCTTTGTCGATTTGCCGGGTGTTAATTACATCTACTGCTTGCTTAATTAATCATCACAATCAAGGTAAACTATCATGAAATTTAATTTCAAATTATTGATTAACTCGATAGTTACAGTGGCTTGACTCGTTGTAGAAAATTTAATGGGAATTCAGCAGAGTTGATTCAACACCCTGCCAGGTTGCTTAGATTCATCGACTTTAATTTCTCTCTTCCTTTTCCATTTAAAATTTTATCACTGAACGAAATTAAAGTTATGCCTGAAGCTTTCACCATGAAGCACGGTGGTATTTATGGGATCTGCATTCACAAATAGCGAATATTATAATTTATTTGTATTCGAGATAAAACTTCTCATCTCATGTTCATGTTTGCATCTCATATGAATTTTAATTATTTCGCTTTCTTGTGAATATATCTCAATTAAACGTAGAACGGATTCCCGCAGCAAATAAGTTAACTCGTTAAAAACTTTAAGGATGTTTAATGAGTGTGTGCGAGTGAGTGCTGCTATCAATTTTTAATAAATTTCCGGGTTGCTTTTCCGCTTAATTTTAATGAGAGCAAGCGAACGGCTGTGATTGAAGTTTTAATTAAAATTTGTATTTGTTTTTATTGCCGAGCGAGCTAACCGAGAATAAATTTATGAGTTTAACTGAATCGATTTGAAAATGTCACACAAATTCTTAACTGCTTTTGCATGAAACAAGCAAATAAGCGACATGATACCTCCAATGTAGTCGCGGGGGAAATTTATGCGAAACCTTTCAGATAATTTATCTTCCGGATAAAAGTCAAATTCAAATGTTAATTCTATAAGCGAGACTTAGGGAAAATTGATCAAGTTTTATGCTTTCCCCTCTTCTTATTTTGTTGTTAAACATTTCCTATTTTCATCCCACCAGTAATTGCCGATTAATCATGCCGATTAAGACAATAGATTTCTCATTCAATTGGCAAATACGCTCGTAGACAAATGAAATGTCTGAACGATGAAAATGAAACTTTAATCTCGACATAGATTTTGTCTGAGAGCTTGTGACAAGTTGCAAAAAAAAAAGAGAAGCCCACGCGACAATCTGCTTAAATTATCCAAACAAATGCTTGATACATTTCAGATGGGAATTCTTAAGCGACCACCAAATATGGTTACACGGCAAAATATGAATGAGGTAGAAATGTTAAAAACGATTTGTGTCAAACGAGGGAATCTTTTTTTATTTGTTTTTTTTTCTTAAATAAACTATCGGAAGTAGATGAAGTCATCGAGATTTAAAGAATGCGTAGGCATCGATATTCATGAAGCACGTCATCGAGCTTTTGATACATTCGCGAGTCTTTTTAACTTTTCCGATGCCTACTTAGTAAACAACAATTCAATTATTGTCAATTAAATGGAATGAAATCTTGTTAGGAGGCAGTTTAATTGTAGTAAATGTAATTGAGTTACAATCTTAGTCTATTTATGGAATATTTATAAGAGTTTTTGAACATTTCGGTTAATTGTTACTCACAACAACAAAAAGCAAAGAGTCATGTACTTGATAGCAACTTGCGGCTTGTTCTTTTATTTAATTTTCAACAGCATGCACTTTGTTGCATTTACATCAACATCAGTGAAGTAAAGTGATAGGAAAAGTATATTTAATTAAATTATTGTGGAGAAGTAAAGTGGAAAACATGACAATTGCAAACAAAGATTAAAATTTATTTCAAGAAGGTGTAAAAGTGGTAGCTGACTGGCACTGCCTAGCTTGAGTCTAAGTAACCGATTAAGTCAAAGACAATTTCAAATCTCTGAATCATTGTATGGCGCCTAACGTGTGCTTACTTTACGTTTCTATTCGCAAAAATAAACTTCTCAATGTTCCTAAAATGGCGATGTGTAGCAATAATTACATTGTTTGTAAATATTTAGCAACCACTTGCCATTTACCTCTTACTTGATTTGATGAGAAAATCATTTTCAAGCGCCTTTCGACACTTTCATACTTTATTTTAAAGTGGAATTTAAATCTTTCTTTTATGTATACAACAATCTTTCTAAATTAAAGCCATGAAATGAGATGGAATCGTTGATTATTTAAATAGCGAAAAATATTTTTAATCCATGTTCCTAGCAATCACATTTTTATGCAAATTGTAAATAGCTTCATTCCTCTTTAGTGGTTTATCATTTCTTTAACATATTTTTTTGTCAATTCTTTTTCCTGAAATGTTTTTCGTCGGTTTTTTGGGCTTGTCATGTATGATGAGTCAACAGGTTGAAGTCAACTTTGTTGTTGCTATTTTCGAATGATTTTTAGATCTGGTTTTGAATTAATTTATGATTCAAATCAGCGAGCTTCAACAACAGCATAATAAATATTTTGTGTTTAGCTTAGTTTTGATGCCAATAAAACAATTTGATATGTAAAATATGTTTATGTTCTACTTTTTTTTTCCTTTAACCCCCTGTCGTTCCTTTTTTTCGAATTCACGAAATCTTTCTAACAATGACACATCATTATGTGCAATTGCAGTTTATTTATGTCTCGATTGTAGTTCTGAAATGAAACGAACAGTGAGAAATGACTTATGTTCCCGAATTGTAAAATTAAGTGTCGCATGTAAATTTAAAGCTGTAACTTTTCAACTAAAACACGTGATCGTATGTCATGATAATAATCTAAATGTGCTTTTATCATACAGACATAGAACTCGTTAATCGTGATGCCTTCAAATGGATATTTTAAGCAGAAACAAAACATTTTTCATTTGTGATTATTAATTTTTATTTTTTCTCATTTTTCTTTTCCATAAACCGAAGATAAGAAGTTTTTCTTTTCAAAGAAAATTACAATTTAATTTTATTACTTTTCGCCTAAGCGAGAAAATCGAATTCGTAAAAGAAATAAGTTTAACAAGTATTAAAAGAATGAAGAAGTAAAATTGTTTTCTTAATTACATGACTAACTTTCTTATCATCTTTTGAAGCTTATTTTCCTTTTTTTCTGTTTTCTTTTGCAGGATTTAGGCTTAAAATATTTTCATTTGATTTCAGAAATTTCATCTGAAATTTATTCGATGGTCTCCTATAAAATCTTTCCTTAGATTGAGAAAATATAAAATCCAGATGATAATAATATTTCGTTTTGGCATTAAATATCCAACATTCTGTTTTATCTTCTTTAAATGGAAATATCTAACAATTTCTTAAAGCTTATCAAAAAAAAATCTTCATTCTTATCAATGAAAACATTTCTAAACATTAAAACTGACTTTGACTTCTTTTCAAAAAACATTAAACGTAATTTACTTTTTTTCCTTTTTTTAAACTTTTCTCTTTTTTTTTGGGGACTATTTAGATGTTACATCACGTAAATATTGATTGGAAAGAAGTGGAAGATAAACATTGACGAATCTTACAACAAAATTTGGATAAAAATTACTTCCAACTTCTTACTTAACATTTGTACGATTCCCACAATTTCAATTTAATTTTCTCAAGAGGAAGAAATTGAAAATAGGACAAAACAGGAGAGAATAATAAGAAGTGAAGGTAATTAGCAACTTTCGTGTAAACGCGAAAAATTTGTAAATTGTGAAGTGAAAGTTTGTTCATATTCTAGCTAAAAGATGTCTCCATCTTTAACATGTTTCTTGTCTTTTAATGATGTCATTATAACTAACTTAGGACAGTATTAGTCAATTTTTCAACCTTCTCTGCCAAAGGATTCTTCATTCATGCACTTTCAATGTTAGTGTGTCGATGAATAATTCGGCACATGATTGAAAAGGTTACACAAAAAAAGTCTCTTTAATCCACCTTCATCATTTAATCCTTTCACATTAAGTCTTAATTAGATTAATTTATGTTAACATGGAGTTCATTCGTTAGTTTTCATCATGATCAAAAAGTTTTTGTTTCAGATTCTACATTCTGATTCATAGCAGATATTTAAGATTCATTCTTTAATTTTTAAAAGGATTTAAAGGAAAGCTTTTAGAAATTTAAATTTTTAAGAGCAAACAGCTTTGAAGCATCCTTTCTAGAGCTTCTTCATCTTCTTACTTCGCATTATGGATTGTATTTCATGTCTTCCTTATCAAGCATTATTTTGTAAGTAAATTTTCAGAAAAAAATCTTTAATCTTATCATGAAAATGCTACAAATTTCCGCGACGAAATCTCACAAGAAAAGAAAACTTTTTTATTCTCGCGTCAAATATTCACGGATTCTTGGATATTGATCTAAAAATTTTCACACGAATGACGAGAAGGAAAAGCATTCTAAATTTATTACGAGGGTAAAAGGAAATCATATCGAATCCAATTAATGAGCAGTTCATTTGTTTACAGAACTGAATCCGAGATTTTTTGGACCGCTACGGTGAACGTGAATATTTTGCCATTTACCGTCACGCTTTTGCCAGACACGAGTCTCTTCAGATTGATGTGAGTGAGCAATTCCTTGTCTGTTTGAAGATTTTGATTCGTGTTATGATTAAATATTTATTCTGAGAAGTTTACAGAAAAAGGAGAAAACAAAACTTACTTGTCCACGAGTTGTGTCAATCGAACGTAAGCAATGCATGCGGTTTCATCACCGAGAAGATGAACGTGCGGATTCAGAATCGTAGTGTTGATGGCGCGATAATTCTTACCCAATACTGAAAGAATCTTTCCGTTAGATTGCGACACTTCTCCATTGTTCATCTTCTTACCATTCTCGAAATAAAATTTATGGAAATCCATTCCTTCAACCAAATTTCCCATCGATTCCGGCTCAAAAGCAGTCAAGTGTGAATCGCAGATTTTACTGCAAAAAGTGAAACATTTCAAATTCATTCGAATTGTATTCAAAGTTTGGACAACTTACGTGTAGCCATTAAAGTCGCCACTGTTGATCGTTTCGATCAGCTGTTCTGTCACTCTGATTATCTCTTGTCGTCGTAATCGAATGCCATCATCTTCTTCGATGTTATTTGATGAGTCCGACGATTCTTTTACCTTCTCGTCTGATGACTCCTTAGCCTTGGCGATGACGCTTTTGCCTGTCCGAAATGTTTATTTGATAACAAAAGTTTTGTGAAAACAGGGTTTGGGACAACAATCGAGGGGATGGTTAAGTGAAATCTTACTCGAAAAGTTTCTCGTGGCGAGCATTGTCGTGAGAATTGCTCCCTTAAGTTTCCGACGAGCGTTGAATTTCTTCAGACAATCGACAGTCTCTTGACGATGAATTGCTGATGCGACACGTTCACGTTGCTGTGAGAAGAATATTTGAGTGAAATGAGCAGGAAAAGAGAAAGAATCTCGAACATTGATGACAACTTACAGATATCCAAGGATGTTTGAGAGCTTCTGATGCGGTGATTCGTTTGTGTGGGTTCACAGTCAACATTTGATTGATCAAATTTTTGGCCTCAGATGTGACTGTGTCCCACTCGGGCTATGGATACTGTCGAAGAATTAAAGATTAGATGTAGGCGTTAGGGAGAATGGAAGTTAAAAGCTTACGTCATAAGTTCCAGCCTTGATTTGTGCGTACAACTTGTGTTGATCTTCATCCCAGAAAGGTGGATAACCAACCAGTAGAATGTAAAGAATCACGCCGCATGCCCAAATGTCGACGGGCTTTCCGTATGGTTCCTTCTTCAGTACTTCTGGCGACAAGTAGCCTGGCGTGCCGGCAAATCCAAACCACGCTTGCTGATCGCCTTGCAACTCAATCGCCAACCCGAAATCGGCCAACTTCACGGCAGCACCTTTCATTTTACTAGCTAATAAAAGATTCTCTGGCTTCAAGTCTCTATGCACAACTCCATGTTGATGACAATGTTGAACTGATTCGAGAATCTGTTGAATGCATTGTGAAGCATCTGCTTCGGAATAGAATTCACGAGCCACAATATCTTCAAACAGTTCGCCTCCAGTCACGCTAATGAAAAAAAAAATTAATATAACGTCACAATTGCACGTCACATATGATCGTCACTTACAGGTCAAATATCAGGTAGTGATAATTCTCTTCTTGTATGCTGTCGTGCAAGCGGACGATGTTCGGGTGCTGAAGTTTTCGACATACTCGCGCCTCACGTTCCAACTTTTGGAAGTCTCGCGATGTTAACTTTTTGGTGTTGATAATTTTCGCTGCGAATTCAAGACCACTTGACTTTTGAACGCAACGTTTGACAATGGAAAATGCTCCTCTGATTTAGAAGAAAAGTTTTGTTGAATTTTATTGTTAAGCCGCTTCAATGATCAAAGAACTTACTTTCCCAANGAATTTTTTTATCTTTCCTTCGTCTTTTTCTTTGTCTTTTTTTTTGATAGAAATTGATTTAAATTTTGTCATTGTAAATGACGCAATAACACTACACTTGATTTCCATGTCTTTACAAAAGTCACGATGTTTATCGTAATGTAAAGTTCCGGACAACAAGCAAAAAAAATGTTTTATCAGATTTATCTCGAATAATTTTCAATCTTTAAATGTTCACAATCTTTATGTTCATGGGGCGAGAGAGAAAAATCTCAAAATTTTCTTAAAACCGGAATAAACCTTTTGTTAGCTCTTCCTTAAAAATCATTCAAATATTTCAAAGCTTTTTAGTTATCTTTTTGCCTAAAGTAGCATCAAAAATGGGTTTTGAGAGTTTTATCGTAAACGTTTCGAATGCTCGTCAAATTAATTTCATTTACTGGGGTCAAATTGAACATTGCCAGTCTGGTTCACAGGGAAGCTTCGATGAATGTGAATATTTTGCCATTTACCATCACGCTTTTGCCAGACACGAGTCTCTTCAGATTGATGTGAGTGAGCAATTCCTTGTCTGTTTGAAGATTTTGATTCGTGTTATGATTAAATATTTATTCTGAGAAGTTTACAGAAAAAGGAGAAAACAAAACTTACTTGTCCACGAGTTGTGTCAATCGAACGTAAGCAATGCATGCGGTTTCATCACCGAGAAGATGAACGTGCGGATTCAGAATCGTAGTGTTGATGGCGCGATAATTCTTACCCAATACTGAAAGAATCTTTCCGTTAGATTGCGACACTTCTCCATTGTTCATCTTCTTACCATTCTCGAAATAAAATTTATGGAAATCCATTCCTTCAACCAAATTTCCCATCGATTCCGGCTCAAAAGCAGTCAAGTGTGAATCGCAGATTTTACTGCAAAAAGTGAAACATTTCAAATTCATTCGAACTGTATTCAAAGTTTGGACAACTTACGTGTAGCCATTAAAGTCGCCACTGTTGATCGTTTCGATCAGCTGTTCTGTCACTCTGATTATCTCTTGTCGTCGTAATCGAATGCCATCATCTTCTTCGATGTTATTTGATGAGTCCGATGATTCTTTTACCTTCTCGTCTGATGACTCCTTAGCCTTGGCGATGACGCTTTTGCCTGTCCGAAATGTTTATTTGATAACAAAAGTTTTGTGAAAACAGGGTTTGGGACAACAATCGAGGGGATGGTTAAGTGAAATCTTACTCGAAAAGTTTCTCGTGGCGAGCATTGTCGTGAGAATCGCTCCCTTAAGTTTCCGACGAGCGTTGAATTTCTTCAGACAATCGACAGTTTCTTGACGATGAATTGCTGATGCGACACGTTCACGTTGCTGTGAGAAGAATATTTGAGTGAAATGAGCAGGAAAAGAGAAAGAATCTCGAACATTGATGACAACTTACAGATATCCAAGGATGTTTGAGAGCTTCTGATGCGGTGATTCGTTTGTGTGGGTTCACAGTCAACATTTGATTGATCAAATTTTTGGCCTCAGATGTGACTGTGTCCCACTCGGGCTATGGATACTGTCGAAGAATTAAAGATTAGATGTAGGCGTTAGGGAGAATGGAAGTTAAAAACTTACGTCATAAGTTCCAGCCTTGATTTGTGCGTACAACTTGTGTTGATCTTCATCCCAGAAAGGTGGATAACCAACCAGTAGAATGTAAAGAATCACGCCGCATGCCCAAATGTCGACGGGCTTTCCGTATGGTTCCTTCTTCAGTACTTCTGGCGACAAGTAGCCTGGCGTGCCGGCAAATCCAAACCACGCTTGCTGATCGCCTTGCAACTCAATCGCCAACCCGAAATCGGCCAACTTCACGGCAGCACCTTTCATTTTACTAGCTAATAAAAGATTCTCTGGCTTCAAGTCTCTATGCACAACTCCATGTTGATGACAATGTTGAACTGATTCGAGAATCTGTTGAATGCATTGTGAAGCATCTGCTTCGGAATAGAATTCACGAGCCACAATATCTTCAAACAGTTCACCTCCAGTCACGCTAATGAAAAAAAAATTTAATATAACGTCACAATTGCACGTCACATATAATCGTCACTTACAGGTCAAATATCAGGTAGTGATAGTTCTCTTCTTGTATGCTGTCGTGCAAGCGGACGATGTTCGGGTGCTGAAGTTTTCGACATACTCGCGCCTCTCGTTCCAACTTTTGGAAGTCTCGCGATGTTAACTTTTTGGTGTTGATGATTTTCGCTGCGAATTCAAGACCACTTGACTTTTGAACGCAACGTTTGACAATGGAAAATGCTCCTCTGATTTAGGAGAAAAGTTTTGTTGAATTTTATTGCTAAGCCGCTTCAATGATCAAAGAACTTACTTTCCCAATTCTTCCTTGATGTCGTAATTATCAGAAAATCGCGTACAGACGGGCATGGCCATCTTATCCGGCTTTTGGAGCAATTTACCAAGCTGAATGAAGTTTAAAATTTCGACCTTAATTTTTACGGAATTCTTTTGATTCTTGTCTCAACAAAGAAGGAAACAATCAGCCAACTTATGCTTCGCTGAATGTTGTGCAATATCGTTTTGAATGAGTTGAAACGTCTTTTGTTATATTAAATTTAATTATTCATCAAAAGATCGTTCGTTTAGTCCCCCCAACTAGAATCGCTGTTTTCTCACAGCTTTCTTACAAGTGTCGTCGTCTTAATCTGATTTAGCAAAGTTAATTATCTTTTATGAATCTAAATCCTTTCTTCAACCACATTTACCGAAAAGGTTTCTTGTTGACTCAAGGACTTAATGGAAATTGAGATTTCCCCCTGGAGCTAGCTCATTTGCAGTTCTTACTCTTCCGTGCTGTAATAAGAAAATTGCATAAAAATCTCTTGCGATGTGATAAGTATGAAAAACATTTGATTCTCATGAAAAAGTGGAAAGAGTGAAATATAAAAAGTTTGTCACTTCATAAAAGGCAGAAGCTCACAACTTTCTTAATAGTTATCTACCTGTGAATTGGAAGAAAATAAATTGGCAAAATGTTTTCTCAACTTCAATTTAGTGCGGTTTCAAGATAACGAGAACGAGAATAAATTTTACTTTTCAGAGATTCTCAACATGTAAAAAAAAGTTTGAGAATCTTTTACTCTCACAGACCTTTGAAACGTTTGATGTTCTTTCTTTTAATTTAAAACCTCCTACGTGCTCATAAAAAATCATTTCAATCTATACGTTGGGAGCCTTAAAATTTTAGAACGACACTGTCGCATAATACTAAGTAAAATACGAACCATAAAGCAAAGTTTTAATAATGTTATGTCGTAAAAGCTTCCATTCTTACTGTAACACGTTTTGAAAAGTATCAAAAAGCTTTCATTTTTCCAAGTTCATTTGATGAAAGTTTTCTTTGATATTCTTCGATGGGGAAATGCTACATTAATGCATCACAAAGTGAATTTTACATTCACGGCCGAGCGTGAAATAATCAAATTTAAAAGAAGTTACAATGACTTAAAGCTGATATGCTTTCGTGAATATAAAATATTAATACATGAAAAACGAAGATACATTCTTGCAGTGAAAGTTATAATAAATGAAGTTTTCCTTTTCTTCATTATTTAGAACACTGAAAAAGGGTGGAAAGAGAAGAAGCCTCTTTCCTTTTTTCACCTCTCTGATTGTTTGGGGTCGGAGAAGACTCCACTCCACTTCATGCATGTTTTCCACTATCAACTTATGTTGTTATGGTTAATTTTTTATGGTGACTTCTTCATTTTTCTTTATATTTTCACTTTCAAGTCAAAGTATGCGTGACTGTAAGTGTGTTTGTTACTTACTATAGTCGGAATGTAGAAGTCAGATGGAAAATTTATTACAACAATGATGAAGCAATAATCGAGTGAAAGAATGTTATCTTCAAATACTTTTCTTTGTAACATATTTCTTGAAAATCAAAGGAAAAATAATCGAAGTATAAAAAAGCTCACAATCACACTTTTCTCGCTTACAAAGCGATTTAATCTATTGATTTTTCATTAAAAACTTTCCCTTCTCTCATGAATCAGTTTCACGTTTGAAATATATATAACTGAGGTCGAGTGATATCAGGAACTGACATTGACTCTCAATTAATGGTAATGTGAGTCATGAATTCGTAATTGATTGACGAGCATTTGAATATTTTTCTTTTCTTTTTTTGTAATTTCCTTTTCACTAAATATTTATTCGATCAATGGAAACTTTCACTTGATATAAATAACTTGAAGCGTCAAGTATAATTACTACATTAATCACCTTGAATTAAGAATTAATAACACTTTTCACTTACTTTTTATTAGCTTTTTCCACAAGTTTTCACAGTTGAAAAAATTTCCACCACGAAAGAATCTCGCTCTGTGCTAAGATAGGAAGAATTTTTAGTGAAAACTGAAAAGGAAAGAAATGTGTGTCAAAGGAAATGCTTCAAGCTTTCCATTTCCAGTCTTTCAAAATGACGCATGTGCAAATGGAAAGTCTACAAAAGCGTTGTATGTGATGGAATGTAAACAAAACTGGGATAAAAAAGAACTTGTTGATGCGAGAGCTTTTGTAAGTGCTTTTGAGATACTTCAAAATGAATTTCGTGAAATATCTAATTTTTCTGAATTATGTGAGGTTTTATTTCATAATTTTATGAACTATCAATTGCTATGGAAATAATAATAAATTGAAAACGTTGCAAGAAAAAGAAAATTTGTCATTGCTGAATACATTACTACTAGCGCCCTCTTAAAGCGAACATCTAAAATCAACGTAAGATTTTTAGCCCCATCTTTGTGCAAACATGAATGTTTTATGAATGTTGCGTGAATGTTTCCCGTGTCCTTAAAACATTGAAATTTTCTGGTTCGAGTCTTGGCCAAAGGATATTTTTTTGAACTTCAGTTGTCCTTTAACCAGATGCACATCAGTATCATAGACACATAATGTGACATCGTATCGTAAATATATTTACATTCTTACAAGGATTTGTAGCAAACATTGTAGCTAACTCATTTCCTCACGTGATATGAAAAATATTTGCATCTAATTAAAAAATTCTGATGAATTAATCCTTTGAAATTTGAATAATTTAATTAAAAGTGTTTTAAAAATATGATAAGAAAAATCCAACACTGAATTTTAAATGTAATAGAAAAACTTTAAAGTTCAGCTATCTGTGAACTAAGCCAATATTAAATTTAACTTAGAAAATTTGCAAACATCCAGTAAATCTGTGGTTAAACTTCTATTCGAATACCACCTAGAGATTAAATTTTATGTTTCTGGGTGTAACAGTACACTTAAAAATGAGACAATCATCGTAAAGTTGATACGAAGATCCGGTTTAGAATGACTCTTCTGTGTAACGATTAAAAGCTCGTTAATTAATATTTTAAAACGAATGTGTATGTTCAAATTAACATTTCCCTTTTAAATAAGCTTCTTAAAATCAACAGTTCTGCAAATAACGACATGACTTTAAATTTTTTGACCTAGAAACGACTGATGATTATAAGGAGTCATTTGAATACTTATAAAAGTATAAGTAAAGAACATGGAAACTACCCGCTTTATTGACATAATAAAAACATTCATTTGCTATTCAAAATTCAACACAGAACTCATTAAAAGGCACTTAATTTTACAAATAATCTTATAAACAAAACACAAACAAATTGTTTGTAATTACCAGTGAATTAGCAATTGCTTGGGATTTCAATGAGAATGGAAAACAAAAATACGAAAGTATTTAACAGATTAAAATTGAGAAGATCTTTCCTTTCATTCTTTTTTTCAAAAAAAAAACTCGTTTTTACTCGAAACCTCTTGGAGTGAAAAATAATTGAACATGATAAAAAAAAAATTCTTTAAGACGCAACCTTACTTAAGGCTTAATAGGAAGCATTAAAGAAGAAACAACAAAAACAAAACAAAGGCAAAAAAAGACAAAGAATTTCAATTGTGTCAAGAAAATCATGAATTGTGAATCTCGACGAAGCACAGAAAAAAGAAAATTGTTGGAAATAAATTAAAATTGCTACATAATGAAACAAGCTAAGCTAAATACATAGTGAGAAATGTTTTTCTTATGTTTTTTCTAAAGAAATTAAAAATCATGAAAATCTTTCCATATTCCTAGGATAGCTTCTTGGAAAATTTTTTGTTGTTTTTATTCTTAAACTTTTTTTCACAACTTTAACGAAAAAATAAAAAAAGAAGAAAGTTTCTCATTTAAAGTGATAGTCAAACGAAAATCATCGGCTAAGTTCCCTAAGGAAATATTCCTTTTTATTTATATTCTCTAACTTTCTTTGCAGCTTAAGAAAGTTTTCTTTTTCATTTTCATTTGAAACTAAATACATAAAAAGTTAGGTTCCCTTGACAGTATAAATGAAAATTTACTTCTACACTGTACCAGATTTTTCTCCGGGGTTTCCTTCTACCCGTTTCACGATTCAATAATTTGTGATCCATTTTATTGCAATGGAAAATCTTGAAGATTTAAAGAGAGTGATAGAGATAACTTTATGCATCTACATTAATAGTGTCAATTTGTCTTCAATCTTACTTTTCTGCTTACTTTAACATGACAGATTGAATTTCTCAATAAAATAAAAAAGTTCCTTTAAGAGCTTTGAATTGCCAAGAAAGTCTTGTGATTTTTCTTAAAAGATTTTCTCGTGATAAGCTTCATTGAGTGTGGTTTTTGCGCTCATTAATGTAGACTTTTGAGATTAACTTCTACAAACACATGTACATGTCAGATCCCATCAGAGATGTTATTAGATTAATAGGATTTCAACAATCTATTGTTTAAACATCAATAATAATCAAGATATCAAGAACATAGATAAATGTTTAATTATAATAATTCACGGCAAGTTGAATAACTTCTGCTACCAAATATGTTGTGTAAGCTTTTCAAATATTGCATTCTAATAAAATGTATGTCAAAAGCTACACACAAGTGTTAAAGGCAAGCAAAAAAAATTATTTCATCATAGAGAAATGAATGAAAAAGGAAAAGAAAATCAACATACATACGACATGGAAAGCCAATACCAAGCATGTTATTGACATGAGAAATTGAAAATGAACAGCAGCTGTACAAGAATACGACATAAAAATTACAACTTAAAAATTTATTGAGTCATTCAATGATATATTTTTATACGCATAAAAAAGCCAAATATAAATATTGCTTTTAAAAAAATTGATTCACATGTCACTAATGGATACAAACATTCTCTTATACTTGAAGTATGTATTTATGCAAATAGATTGAATTTCCATCAATGAAAAAGCTTTTGCTTCAAGTATTGAATGCCAACTTTGCATGCAAAGATATTCACCTGATTTAAATAACTAAAATACTTTCTTTGTTTCTAAATTACCGAACGTTGAAAGTGGAAACTTTTTATCTGCAATGTTTTCTACGAGCTCCAACAGTTGAAGTTGCTTAAATAATCCCCAAAGTTTCATATTGCATATTTAATGGCTAGCGTTAGTGTTAATAACAAGTAAACAACCTTTCACCATTTTAAGAAATAAAATAATTGGCAAAGTTGCAAAGTGTTTAAAATTGTTTTCAATTTGTTTAGCACCTTCCAGATAGCGCTTTCAAAGTGAAACACGTTCAGATTTCAATAATTTTCTTATCTCGAGTAAAAAAAAGTTTCCACAACACATCCCAATGCAACATTTAATTTATATTTCATAAATATTTCGTGATCGTGAACATATATATGAATGTCCAATGAAATACGTAACATGTCAATTTAAAAATAAATTAAAATTTAAATCTTTATGTTGATGACATTTTCAACATGTAAATTATTTATAAACGAGTCACAAGGAGAGTCCAAGTTTAATCCTTTTATCACTCCAGCTATATAAATTTAATATTTATTTATTCAAATTAAAAGCTTGCATTTTATTCGTAATTAATAATTAATTTAAATGAGCATGGAGTGAAAAATTGTATTTGCATTTGCAAACAGTAGCATGAAGTTTAATGACATTGACAAATGAAGTTTTTTCAGATTAATGCAGTGCTTACGAATGGAGTTCTCATGACAAAACATTATATAATCTCCTCCAATTTCAATCTCTGGTTTAATGGCAATGATCGTTCCAGCTTTTTCATGAAGTATATTTTAGTTTATTTACGTTGGATAATGTGATTATCTATAATAAATTATGACGAGCGTTATGTTTGGATTATCATAATTTATTCTCTCCAGGTGCATTCAAATTTTTGATATATTATTATAATATATTTCGCTCTCACTTCAATCTGTTTATGAACATCCGAAAACTCTTCTATAAAAGTTTCATGAATAATGAAAAGGTTGTCATTCGAATTATTACTAAATTGTCACATTTATTGTAATAGAAAAGTCAAATATTGACTAACGATTGTTGAACAAATAAATTAAATGATTCTTATCGTAATTATCAATGTCCACAAACAATTATTTAATATACCTTTCTGATTTGTCAAACTTTATGTTTGTCTCAATGAACAATTTTGGTGTTGAAATAAATTAATTCAATTTTACATTTGAAGGTGAACCTCGAGAATTTGCGGGAAGCAAACTTCCTTCTTCGTTTTATTTAGAAAATATTTGTGATAAATGACTGACATCACATGTTCAATGGTTATCTGTTTCTGAGATAAATTATCGACATTGAATTTAATCTTCAATGCGAAACACAATCTGTAAATCATGTTAAGCACTTCACTGCAGTGAGTATCGCTTTCGTCTCTTTATTTAAACATGTCATGTTTCCTACTCATGTATTATAAATAAGCATAAAACTCATCAATTGCTTTTTATATGTGATCTTTCGATTAATGCTTCCTTTTATTAGAAATCAATCATATATTTCAATAATGCGATAAAAGCATACAACAAATTTCAAAGTAAATATTCTTCCTTCAATTTATCTAAAATTTAGATAAATAAAGATATCGTGGAATAAGATAAGGCCACATGAATGAAGAATAAACTTTTAACACTTATAATGAAACGAGAGCAGCAATCGATACACGAAGCAACCGAAACTTTCAATTGAATATTTTTAAATATGTTTATCGTTTATTGAATCAACCAAAATCACCTCATGAGTGTATCGAAAGTCGATAAAGGAAAGGAAAGGAACAATAGACATTCCTTTCCCATCTCATAATGGCACAGGCATTCAAAGCTGTTCGCAATTTGGCTCCTAGCACAAAAATGGTTTCATTAAGCCCCAGGCATGCTTTTTTCTTCCCTTTTCTATTTTAGTCACGTATTAAGCCTCACAAATATGGCGATTCAAGCTTGAAAGGAATTCTCTTACGAAATCATAATAAAGCATGTTTGCATTTTTACCGTGAAATATTATTTTCGATATTTCGATATGATCTTCGTCCCCAGCTTTAAGAAATTTTCGGTAAAATGAATGAATATTTGCTCTAGTATCATTGCCATCGACTTTCATTAAATTAGTAAGAAAAACATTGGAGAAACTTTTCCTGTCCTGCTCCTTTTCGGACAGATGCAATGGAGTGAAAAATGGGCATGGATAAAAACAAATTTATTACTTTTGTCCAAGCTTTAGGACTTTGTGAGTGATTTATTAATGATGATCAATTATTTTCTCGCTGTCGTTGGACTTTCACACATTTCATTTTATTTTTATTAGGAAAACTATTCTTTGATTATCTTTTGTGTGATTATTTGGGTATTGAACGTTTCCTTACAAATTATTCTCAAAGGTTTCGTCAACTTCTCTTATCAGAATCTGAATAAACTATTTGTTATTGAATTTCTTGTTGAACAATTTTATGATTTTCTGCTTGTTTTCCTTTGTTTTAAATTCATAAGAATTTGGGTGAAAATGTTCAATATGTTTAAGTCACTTGACAAACTCCTAGCATCTTAGACCAAAGAATTTTATTAAATAAATGAAGCGTGAAGAATTTTCTACTTGATATATTCCCAGCAGAAAGGAGTGGAAAGATAAAAAGGAAAATAAAAATAAGCTTTGAATAATGCTTTAAAGCATCAAAGAAAATATGCATGAATGTTTCTCAATTTTATAAAGGTTCATAAGGTAAAAGGTAGACAACAATTCGAAGGAAATTCTTAAATGATTAAACATTGTTTCGGATGTTCTCGGACTTCTTCATATTTATGAAACAAATTTTGCATAATGTTTGTATTCTTCTTCATAATATAATTCAATTCTAAAAATATAATCTGAGCACATTAAATCTGCTCGAAAGCTTTCTGTTGACTTCACTATCTGATCATTGACTTTATTTCTGTTTAAGGAGACAAAAAGGAATCCAACTTTCCATAATATTTGACTATCTAAGTAAACAATCTTTAATTTTTAGCCTCGAGCGAGAATCCTTCAAATAAAATTTTGAACCCAAAGTTGGAGTCTCAAACTTAGCTCTCGTCTGAAATCACGAAAAGAATAATCAAAGCCCTAAACAAATAGATTCCGAAGTAAACTCCAAAGTGCCTGACGTCTTTTGTTGTAATCTGACATTGGCAGCATAAATTTCTAAATCATAAAGTTGAATGATATTTAAATGAATATTTAAATAAGAAAGAATGGAAAGGAAATTAAAGCCCATCATAATTTTCTTTTAATAAAAAATTTCCAATCAACATAAGCAATTAAAAGTGGAATAAAAAAGAGTCAAAGTTAATTTCTTTGGGTTTTTTCGTCGATTCGTGACAGACGAGAATTCATCAAAAGTTTCATGATATCAAGAGGTTTGAATGACAACATAAAATATAATTAATGGGAGAGTTTCACTCAACGATTTGCGAGACTCAACCATGCTTTATGCTTCCTAAGTCAATTTTAGTGTGTTATGGACAGCATGAAAAGCTCATCGTTTGATCACAACCCAGAATAAAATATCAAAAGTTCACCATACACAAATTTATAGCTTAAGGACGTTGAGATATAAATTTTATGTCTCGTCACAGAAGCAATAATTTATCTCAATTTAGAATTTTACGATTTATTTTAGATTTTACACAAAGCACCAAAAAAACGAAACTTTTCTATTTTCTTTATTTTTTATTTTGAAAGCTGTCGACCTTCTTTCGTTAGAAACTTTTTCAATGAAAACATTTCTTAATTCTAAATTACGTTTTATCAGTAAACATTTTAGAGTAAATTTTTTTATTTAAAAGGAAGTTGAAATGAAGGAAAGTTATTAATTCATAAAGATAAGAAAGAGAATTTATGTTGGTCGTTACATAAAGTCTAATGAATGTCGACTCCCCCTCATTTCTTCCCTTCTTTTCATCTTCTCCTACCAAAGTTATTAGCCAAAAAGATTTCAAAACGCATGAATTTCAAGGAAGAAGATATAAAGTCACCACAGACAACTTCAAGTCAGTCTGAGGTGTCGTGGGGTTCGATAAGATTAATTTGTTTCCGTGTTCAATCTTGGTTAACCGCAGGACATATGAAGATTCTTTTTTCTTTCTTCAAATTTCTTTACATCTTTTAATGAAAGGCACATCAGTAAAAACATATACACACATCGTTTCTATGTCATTGTCGTTAAGCTCAACATTTACAATCATGAGGATTTAGCAGAAAACTTTTCTTCTCAAACTTTTTTGTGTTTCCTTTTGCTTTACACCACCGCATTGAAAAAAAAACTTTTATATTTCAACTTGGTGTCAAGCTATCGTTCTTTCAGTGTCTTAAAAACTCTCAATGGAGATTATTGTTGTTTGTTTCCGGAAGTGTCTTATGCTATCTCATCCCATGTCTTGTGGTCAACTTTTGAAACTTTTGTTAGATGACAAAAGAGAAGCAATGAGAAAAAGAACGTTTAGATCAAGTTTTGGGATTTTTAATCTTCTCAATGAAGGAAGTTGAAGAAATAATAAGAAATCGACATGACAGTCATCCATACCATTCAACAGCGAAATTTTTCTGATTTTATTTTTATTATGTTAAAGGATTTCAAGGCTTTCATTGACAATGAAGACTCGGATGAGACACGAAAGAATTTCAGATATCAATCAAACAATGTCCACACATGATAACCTTCCATATAAAAAATAAGAAAGGACCAACTATACATATAATCCTTGGATAAATCCATTAAATATCTATTCTTGATGCTCTAATCTCGTAAATGCTTCTTGTTTTTCTCGGGATACGGTTTCAGGCCATAAAATCTTGAAACTTAGAAGAAAGTGTGACGAAAATCTTGTTAAAATCAAGTTTGTTTCAAACACAGCAGATTAATTTTTTGCGGTTAGACACAACAAGAAGAAAAGAAATCAAGATGGAAAGATTGACCCTCGTCAATTTCCTGTTTAACAAGAACAAGAATATCTAGGTTGAATTTTGACTCCATTGTTTGATTTTTCTTTCTTTTCCTTTAAGTGATGTTCCAAAATTTTGTTTCATGCTTTCATATTTACAGACAAAATATAAATTTTTTAGATTTTTTCTCGGTCTTGACCTTCCACATGATGGAATGATGAAATGTCAAAGTGCAAAGCATATTTTAGAACACTTACAAATATCTTGAAGAATCTTCATTGGAATTGCTGTGTCCATCTCAGAGATTTCAACTTTCAGTCTAAACTTTGATTTTCATTTCAAGCCTCGAACAGAAAAATATTTTTCATCCTTAATGTTTTGTAAATTAATATTAAAGTGCATTGCACTTCAACTTGACAAAAAAGGAAACTTTTATATTATTAAGCAACAGCCACTTGAAATTATGATAAATAAGTTTCGTTATTATTTTAAAATTTTCCTCCGGGTGATTTAATAACAACAATAATATTAATAATAATAAATTCGACGTGCTGATGCAACGTTTTTATTATCATAAACGGCTTTAGCGAGTTTTCCCGAGTCAAAACCGTGATCAAAACTAATGATGCTACTCAAGTGAAAAGTTGAATACAACGATTTATGATAATAATATTTTGTTAAATGATCTGATTGTCATTCAATGACTTTTATTTGATTTATGAGAAAAAATGTTTATTGAAAAGGAATGATAGTCAACAAATCATGAATTTATTTGATATATGAGAGGATTTTTATCATGTCGAGTTTATTAGAACAATTATTTTAACTATCTATGATACTTTTGGTATGTAATTTATATCTTTGTTCATGATACGGTTATTAAATTGTTTATGTTAGTCAGATAACGCCATAGAAATTCCAATTTTAATTGACAATGCTGTCAAATTCTCTAACAAATGAATCAGAAAATTTACCACATGTTTCTTCTACTATAGAAATATTAATGTTTATTATCTAACATGAAAAATGTTTTAATTTCGAAAACATCTACAGGATAAAATTTATTACATTAATGAAAATATTTAAAAGTTTTTCCTTTACTTAATTAAAAGACTTTGTCGCAAATATCTAAAACAAGAAGCAATCAAAATAAAATAAAATGACCCCCTGCTGACCACAAAAAAGCAAAATCATAGCATAAGTAGAATAATAGTTTTAATGAGGCATGAATAGTTTATTACTGCAGCTTTCACAATTTTCTTCTTCTTCTTTCTTTCCTCCCACTATTATGAAAGTTCAACTGTGTGAAAAACTTTTATCGCCATAGGCTTATTTCCTCTTGAGTTCAATCAAATATTCGTGTCAGCTGATTGTAATTAGTTGAGCAAATTATAATTAGTAATTATTATTGTTTCTGCTGATTAATTAATTCTCTGAGGAGAAATTTTCTTTAGCTTATTCACTCGTTCGTTTTGAGGATAATAATGCTTTAGTAATGCGGGCCTTTAAGACTCTTTAGACATGATAAGAGCAGCTTTGTATGTAAAAGAAAGTTAAAAAAAAATGTTGAAATCTGTTTAAACTTTAACTAATTCTCCAATTAAATTTATGAGTCTGACAGAGGTTTGTTTGGTAAGAAGGTAAATCAAATATTTAAGCTTCAAATAATTGTTATAAAGGAAAAGGCATTCACATACTTTTTACAGTTTATTAACAAATTACAAGTATTAGGGTCTCGAGTTGGGTTAATGTTTCGGTCCCACAGTTGAATATTTAACGTGAGAACCTCTCTTAAAAACATGCTTTAACGATGAAATTTATGCGAGAGAAATTCTTACTTTCACGATGTTTGCGCTGAGATTCTTTAATAAATTTTATTTATTTGGGTTATCAAATAGCTGTTAAATATCTTGAGCATGACGACTTCTTGTAATAACTCAGATCATGCTTTGATGCTCAGATGCAATTTACTCTTGGGAGCATCGATTATGTATTGGTAATAAGCATGCTCAATAATCCAATAATCGTTATGTTGTATCCATTCACGATTATCTCGAATCATGTTCAAATTTAAATTATCGTGAAACGTTTGAATGTTTCAATATTTTTATGGAAGGAAATACTGAAACTTTCACACCTCATTTCCCAACATTGTCATTTTATTAACTCTCAGTGACGTGTTGAAAATCTGTAATCGAGCTGCAAGGGAAATATTACCTTCGTGTGCAAATTGCCTCTTTCAGATTTTCGTCAGATATTCTTATTCTCAGGTTACATTTTTTTGGATTAAGTTCCGGTTGTCGCTGAACGTATAACCAACCGGGTTGAAAAATCAATGAGATAAGCAACATTAAAATTTTTACGAGGTGCCGAAATGTTCGTGACTGAAATCATAATTTGCTGACTTTTCTGAGACTATTACAAAGAATGACATTGTTGTTTTCGCTTCGCATCATGAACGACATTTAATTTGCCAACGTTACAGGGAGATTGTCAACAAGCTTTGTAATGGGACGCTTCAAGTAAAATGAAAGCGTTTGTTGCTGTAACGTTTCAGAAAGGCAATAAGAGCATCGAATCATGTTTAAATAGAAGAACAAGCAAGAGAATTGTTAAATAAAAAATTTAATATTTGGTTTTCTTGGATAGACGTGATTACGACGTGATCCAATGTCAAATAACTAAGGTATTATTTTTATTTTATCTGAGATACTCAAGCAAATATCTACCAAGAAGGATGAGGATAAAAATTACGAAACAGCACTGAATTATTTAATTTTTCCACAGCTGTTCTGAGAAAAAATCAATAATTTGTTTTCTTTTCACAACTCTCTGATTAATTACAGCTCTTTGACAAAAACAGCAGTATACTCTTAGGGTTCCCTATGTAAGCAATTAGTAAGAGCTTTGAAAAATAGTTTCGAATTACATGTTACGTACTTAAATAACATCGAAGTTGAGGAGGAATTCTATTTACATAGCTTGAATATTTTCTTTCATTCCTTTCGATAAATTGGACGTGATTGAAACAAACATTTCTCTAAGTTGTTCCCATGATTTTCACAGTTTTTAAGACTTGAAAATAAAAAAAACTTCAATAAAAGAAATCGATGGCATGGTTTATTTTAGATGAGCTACCAAAGATTTCGAGTTCTTCACTCAAGTATAATGAAAAAAGTTTCAAATATCTTTTTACCTTTAATATTGAATAAAATCGTTCACACGATAAAGAAGAGAAATTTAAATTTCAAAATAAACCCCAAGATAAGTTGCAAATTTAGTTTCAATTCGGTTTCATCGGTGAAAATTCTCTTTGAAGAGAAATTTGATTTTCTTCTTGCATCTTTGTTACTGTTTACAAAAGGTAAAAAAGGGTGAATAAAATTGTGTAGAGTGACAAAGAGGGAAAGAAAGACGGTTAAGGTAACAAATAAACTCTTTATTACCTGTCAATGTTTAATTTTTAAGCTTGAATGTTGCATCAAAATTCATTGTAACGTTCAATAAATGTCAAGTGACTTGCACGATAATAGTTAAAACTAATTAAACTACGAAGTAGTTTGAAGTAGATTAAAATTCCTTGAAATTGCTCGTGAGTTGCCCCATGGATTAAGCATGTGTTGCACTTCAAATTAAATTCATTGATTGCTGTTTCACGTTTCAATTTAATTTGATACAAATTTGATTGCACGAATTAAAGAGAGATGTTCACAAAGTTGAAAGCTGTTCATTCTTGTGTACAAAGAAGTTCGAGTTTAAATATTGATTCGTACACATGTCAAAGCAAGTGTCAGAGAATGTTCAATCAGAATACTTTTTCAGTTTAACTTGAAAAATTCTTGAGAAAGTCACGCGATAAAGTGAATTTCAATTTATTTGCATAAAACTTCAAAGCTTTTCAAAGCTTCGAAAGAATCTGCATCTTTGTGCATATTCAAAACAAAGCAATAAATTTATTATTCGATTTCCTTATTGCAGTTGTCACAGAACTACTACAATTTTCTGTTGTTTTATTGCTTGTGAATTCTTCAAAGTTTTAGCATTATAAAAACTGATACATGAAGAATGCACTTGATGTTCAAATCCTTAGACAAACAAAACGAACTAACAAACAGCAACTTGAAAGTTTCTCACTGCAATTTTAGTTGTTGGATTTGTTTTGCTTTTGATACTTTTTTTAAACGAATATCAGCAAAAGAAAAGTTTACAATTTCTAGCGAAGCTCTAAATTGAGAAATTGCTTTGAGCTTTTATTTGCCATTCCTTTAAACGAAATATTTTCTTTCTTATTAAATTTATTTATTAGAGCAAAAACAAAGTTTCATATGTTTAAGGTGAAGAATAATTTTGTAATTTTCCAAAACAACACACAAGAAGTGTAACGAAAAGAAAAACACATATCTGAAAACGAATTTCACTTCTAAATCCTGAAATGTTGAAAGCTTTTTCTGCTTCCAATATTTACAACAACGTGTAGATATCTCAGGTTTGCAGATTGTTTCCTCGTTGTTGTTTCTTTTTTTAGAAAATTGCTTTTTGCTCGGCAAACTTTTCTCCCTTTCAAACAGATGTTGAAGTCTTATCTCATTATTTATATTTTATCTTAAGCTTCTTCTTTCTTCATGTTCATATCCTTTGATTCTGTTTTTGGGATTTTGACTAAGCAGCCATGTAGAGATTACGTTGGAAGCAATCACTTTGTTTCTTTTGTGTGCCAACAAAGCTTGAATTTTTTTTGCGTTCTTTTAAATAATTTTCTTTCAAAACATCACAGAATGAGCATTTTCCTTTCCGGTAATTTCTTAATTAATAGATATCCTAGGCAGGTGGTTGTTGATTCCTTTATTTTTGAACTTAATTAGTTCGATAAACATTTATAAGATTATTTTTGAAATAGAGATATCGCTCATCTAAATCGAAAACAATTAGCTCAATTATCTATGAAATCAAAAATTGTAATTTTGAGTGCGTGGGAGAATATTATGAGTTTGAGGAAACTTTGCTCCATAAATTAACTTGTTGAATATATCAATATCCTAAAGGTTAATGAAAATTGATATTGAAATTTAATTAGATAAACATTCTTTTTTAACATGCAAATTATGATGATGATGATGATGATGATGACGACAATCATAACGACAGATAAGTAAACAAAACTTTTTATTCAACATTGATCTGAGAAGAAGCATGAAAATTTCAAGCTGTTTGCATGGTTTTCAAATTGACTGCTTGGCTTATGTAAATATTTAATTGCATTAACAAGAAAAGTCACTGAAAGTCACGCAAAAATCAAGCTGACCATGTAATCGGTTTAAAAAAACCAAGCAAACTGTTTCTCTGATGAAATCTCGAACACTCTGGGAAAATGCAAATTGAAGACTTAAATTAGTTTCTAAGTGGAAATTGTATGTTTCAATGCTACAATCTTCTTTTCTCGTGATTAAAATCTAAAAGCACGATTGTTTCCACACATAAATGACAGTTAGTTGAATTGCGATGAGACTTTTGGCGTCCACTGAGGCTTTTAACATTTATTCACCATTATTCATACGAACTAGGATGGAATATAGAGCAGAGATGGGCAAATGTTCCGTTCAACTCGATTGACTGACTGACTGACATGTCAATGTCTTTCAGTCAGTCAGTCAAATCCCAACTCTGATATAGAGTAACTCGTATCATGAGGGAAGCCAAAAGAATTTAATGCTCGAACTAACTTCCACTTTAGACAAAATTAAAGTTTTAAATTAGATTACAAATTTTGTACGAATTCCTAAGTTGAAAATTGTTTTAATTACCATAAATGGGATAAAATATTTAATTATCAATTATCTTTAAAGCATCACAATAAATTTTTTATGAATAAAACATGCAATTTCATAAAATATTTATAAGAAAAATAAAAGTTCTTTAGTCAATGTTAGTTCAGGCGAAGAAAATCGAAATAAATCATCTCCTGCTTGCTACCAACAGGCTCAGAAAAATTTAATTTCCTTTCAAGTAAAGTAAATAATTTTTCACTTTCACAAGTCCCAAAATTGCATTACGGGTGGTAGGAAATTAAATTTAAAACTTTACGATGTTTAATTTTGTATTCAGGAATCCAATTTCAAGGTCTGAGAAAGTAAAATGCTTTCTAATACTTGTTTTTTTAAAAACGTAAGAAATGTCATTGAATACTTCCTTATTTTTAAATAATATTCACTGAAAAGAAAGCTTTCCCTCCCTTAAATGGTTTGTATTCGTGTTCTCATTGAGTGAATTTCACGCTTTACTTACCCCACATTCTGATACATCTAGAAATATTATTTTGAGTTCAAATGTGGAAAATTTTAAGAAGGTAACGATTGACTCTTTTTTCCATTTTCTATATTGCCCCGAATGAGTTTAAAAATATGTTAGCAACATTTCTCATCTGTAAAAAATCCTCAAGGGAAGAAGTGAAAAATGAATGAAGATATGACTCGGATTTTAACAAGCAATGACACAACAAGCAGCACTAGAAACTTTGACAATTTTCTGGATAGTCTCATAATTCCCAAAACTATATGAAGCTTCTTTAAATACTTAATTTAATTTTAAAAAAGTTTCACTCCTGGAAATTGAAATTCACCTGAAAAATTAATTTGCTATAAAATTTTATCCCTTCTCCATTCACCTTTTTAATCTACCCCACATTGAAACCATTAAAGGATCATAACATATAACTTTATGAGTTTAATGGGAGAAGGAAGCGTAATTCAATGACCAAATATGTATGCGATAAACATAAAATTTATGCAAACCCTCGTTCGAGAAGACATTCTTGAAAAGCTAACAAAAAAAGTGTTTGTATGATTTAATGTTGAATTTATGAGAATAATTTATATGTTCAACAATGTTGAATGAACTTGTGAAGATATCAAACTTTTTTCGATTGCTTTTTAAAACGATTTCCTCACTCTTCTAACCTACACAGCATTACAAAAAGATTGAAATATTTTTCAATTATAAATTTCAAGTTTAAATAGACTTCGTGGCTTTTAAATATCTACCACAAATATCATTTCAGTTATGCTTGAGTAGGGTTTTGTCTCAAATTGGAATGAAAGAAACAGAGTGAGAAAAAAAAGAATTAAAAATTTTTTAATGTCACTTTGGGCGTCTCGTTAGCATAATCAAAGAGACAAAATGTCCCGGGGGAACAGTGATGATTCGGAAATGAGAAAGTTTTTAATACCAGCTTGTTAATTATATATTTAAGCAATGAATCCTCATTTTACTGGTACTTGAACCCGCAGCATCATCCTTAATTATGTCACTGTCATAAAGCAGCCATTTCTTATTAATATACGATGTTCATTTAAGGCATAATGAGCAAGTTTATGGTTTGAATTTGATAACAAGATTAGAGTAATGACGAAAGAATTTTAAATTTAATTATAATTCATCTGGTGATGATTAAAAGATATTAAATATTTTACAATCTTCTTTCTCCTTCAACTCGATTCAATACGAACGAAACCAGATGTAAACGAAAGAGCGAGAAATGATTTTAATTAAGTTAAACAAACATAATAAATGAAACAATGGCAATAACTGCGTTTGTATTTTCATTTCAAAAGCTTTCAAAAGACTTTTCAAGTCCCTTCGTAACTAACGTCAATCTCATGTTGGTTCGCTTTGAAATTTATTCTGCTGATAGTTTTTCAATCTTCATTTTATAATATGCACGAAGTTTGCTTGCAATAGTTTTCCTTGGGAGATGTTTCCTCAGGGAACTCAATCTTCTTATGCTGTAGGAAAGAGAATGGAAAAAGTTTTCAACGGATAAAGTGAATTAAGTGAGCTTGTGAAACAGTAATTTTCATGAATTACATACATGATGAACACATGTCACAACGAGAATGAATATCTATGTTGTAGAAAGTAACAAGATGGAACGAGGACAATGTAATTTAATGATTAACTTACATAAGAAACATACAAGTTTTATTACATCATAAATACTTATTTACATATTTACATTTAAAATATTTTATCAAGAGATTCGTACAACCAACTTCTATTTAAAGGATTAATTTGGAATCCTTGGCTTTGTCAACACTTTGTCACATTTCTTAGGTTAAATTGTTTGATCATGAAAATTGAAAAACTAACATTTTCTCTCTTCTCATTAGTTTTTCTTTGACATCACTTAATCTGATGGATTTCTTTATTAAGTAAGAAACTTTATTAAATCTTCTGAAATCCTCAAAGAGCTTTTCAAAAATATCTGAAAATCTCCTGCAACTTTTGAAAGATCCCCACAGAAGTCCAAACTATATTAATGAAAGATTTGGTTGCCTTTTACAAAATATTATTGGTTTCGCTTCATTTTAAAATGTTTAATTTTTGTTCCGCACACTATACAAAAAATTATTTAAAATTCGATGTTCACAAAGCTAAGCGTGAAAATTTGTGACTTTTAATAAATTACTTATCAAAATCTGTTCAAGCTGCGCAAGCTTTTTGCCACCTCATGCTAGATATGAGTTGAAAAAAAGGGAGACAAAAGCCTGCACAACCATGTATCTAATGTAAATGTTTCATATTATGAATTTTACGACAAGTCGTGTTAAGTTTTGTCAGTTTCGAACGACACGAAAAAAGTCTATGAAGAGTTCAAAGGCTTTGCTAAAACGAAATTTAGACTTTGAGTAAATAAAATGTTGGGCTTCAAGAGTAAATTTTTAATTCCCTTATTTCATTACAAAAATTATATTTTGAATATCAAGTGTTTCTTGATTCAACTTTTATTTTATGTCAGCTGATTTAAAAAATGAATTAACAAGAATGTTGCAACTTTTAGATCTACAGTCTTCAGTTTGATGAAGATGCAGCATAATGATTAAAAATTTAGATTTAATAATTTGCTCTAGCAGATGATCTTACACTATTTTTCATCCAATTGAATTCTTCAGTTGCTGATTCTATTCTTGCGATATAATTTTCAGCATTAGTTTCTATACATGACAACGGGAATCCAAAAGGTAACTTCATTCCATTAAACGCAGCGTATTCCTCTTCACTCAAGGTATTTTTAAATAACTCATCAATTATATTAAGAATTTCTGTTTTCCATGAAAGGAAATAAAAACCTGCTATGTTCGTTATAAAAACTCCTACACTAGTTTCGTCAGCAAACGAAGAAGGTGTTTCAAATACATTTTCAATCTCCAAGTTTTCAAATGCGTCAAATTGTAAATTATCAATAAACTGTTGAATCTCTTCTGTTTTCATCGAAGCTGTTGCTAACATCAAATCTATTGTATCTTCTGTCACAGCAAGGTAATGAAACAAAAAGATCCCGGCTTCCATAACATGTTCAATAACTGTTGCACCAATATCTAATAAATCATTTAAATCTGTGTATGGAGGATGACAATCATTTCTACATTTAGATAAAACTGACTTAAAACAGCAAAAAATAAACAAGTGAATCAATAACTTCATTTTACTAAGTAGAACTTTGAATTGAGGGTTTAAGTCTATTTTTCTTGTTATATTTATAGTCATGAATTCGTGCACTAAACTTCGACAGAAATTAAATCTTCACGTTTATAACATTTTCACGATTCATTTATGATTGTGTCAAATGACATTACTGTTTGTTACGTTGCATCACATGGAATATTCTTTTACTAATTTCTTCAATTAGTACGAAAATATCTGATGGCTTATTTTCACGCATAGTTTTTAGCTTTCTGAATATCAATTTTTAATTTGAATAGACGCACTTTGTTTAGCTCTTGAAAAAAAATCAAAAGAGACTAAACATAATGCGCACACTGCTTGTATAAACAAAATGCCGTTGTCAAGAAAATTAAATTGCAGCAACGATATCTTTATTGAATCTTCAGATTTAGATATCTTGTTTCTTTTATTCTTTAATAATTTTAAAATGTTTGGGTCTCCATGTGAAAAGAAAATATGTTTTCTAATTTCTTTTTAATTTTTAGAAGAAAGCGAGAGAAATTTTCTAACAAGTGTCAAAATATGTAACAAATTTGAAGATATTTTATGAGATGTGAAACAAGAAAAGTTTTTTTTTATTATTTTGTTTCCTTCTTTATTTTACAAATCTCTCAAGTCTCGTGTCTAGACGATAAAGTTTAAAATTTTCTTTCTTTTTGTTCCAATCTTAACATTGATTGGAAGCATATCATATAAGTATGAGAAGAGGAATAAAGAAAAAATGATTTATTTATATGATTGCGATATGTATTTTGATGAGTTTTCGATAAAACCGATCGACTGTCGTCAACAATTGTAAATTAAGGGCTCATTAATTCACTCTACTCATCAAATCAAAGCGACAATTGCGCTTGAGCGACGATGATTACGACAGTTGATGATTTTTTTCAATATTTCGATGAAACATGTAAGATTTGATCAACTTAAATATTTTTTCTTTCTTTTTCCTTTTTTTTTCATTAATAAAAATAAAATTAACAAGTCAAGAAGAAAACCAAAAATCAACACGTTCAAGTCTTGTGTCAATATTGAGAAATTTGCTGTTGACTTAGCTAACTAAACATTTTAAGATGACATTTTGAACTCAAGAACGATGAAAGTTTTAACCTGCGATATTACAAATTCGACGGAATTTGAAGACAGTTGTTAACCCAAACGAATTACTAATTAACTAATTAAATATAATTTCACCGTTTTGTGATTTCAACTTGTTAAGAAAGTGAGTTTAAATATTTTTATTGTGCGCATCCATGCACAAACCATCATAGATTCTCGAATATTTAAATATTTTTCTTCTTCTATTGTTTCGACCTTAACAACTAGCTTCAAATTAATTCTTACTTATCCTCCAAATGTCATTTATATTTATATTTCAAATTTTTCTTCTGAATAAAAGCTCGCCCCTCGTGCTTATCTCACCATGAAATTGAAATCTGGTTCCGACAATACAAGAAAATTGGAAAATGAGAAAGTTACTTTACTTCAGCCTTGAGAAAGCTTTCAACATTGATTATTTTGTTGACTTGTAATTTTTGGGCGTAAAAAGAAATATTTTCTTTTTCTTCTTTCTCTCTTTTTCACTTAAAGTTTCAATTTTCCAAGAGTTTGTTATTTGTAGTGTTGTCAATAGCGTGTAGGAGGAAGAACAAGAACAGGAAGTATGATGTTAAACGGTTTGATAGAGACATCAATGACTATAAAGAACAACATTAATACACGACACGATGTGTGATTGTTTACAGTAACCAATGCTTGTCTTGTATTCATGTTGTTTGTTTAAGTGAATTCTGTTTGTCAAACTGAAACCTCTTCGGTAAATTTCGATCGATCGTTTAGGTCAATGGCTAATTTGCCCTCCGGTGTTTTACGCTTCTTGCTATTATCGTTATTGCCAGCATTTAAATTGTTGTTATTCGCATTCGACGACGACGTTGAATTTTTATTGTCATCTGTATGTTTTAAGTCTGTCGTAATCATTTTATTATTATCCTCATTTCTCTCATCTTGATTATTAATGTTCTCCATTTCAAGATGTTTATTGCTTTCATCTTTCGCGATATATTGTGGAGGCTGACATGGCGACTTCTTTTGAATCGCATCCGATGTTGAGGATGACGATAACGACGATGAAACTTTGTCAACCTTTGATGATGTTGAAGATGACGACGTCAAGGAATGCGATTGTTGCGTAATGTTATAGGAAGTTTTAAGATTCTCAATAACTTGGATTTTATTGTTGTTGCTTTTATTGGCATCCGGGAGCGTCGATGACAACGCAATCTTCAATTCCCGCAGGTTTTTATCCTCCGATTGCGATAATTTCATGGTCGGTCGCTCAAGAAAGCTGTAGGGTATTTTAGAAACTTTATCGGAATCACCAGACAATGAATGATTACTTTTACTGTTCTTATCGTTCAAACCGCTCAATCTCGTCGATGTCACCGCTGATGTAGCCGAAGCTGTCGTAAAAGACTTGCTGGAAAATATATTGTCGCATGAAATACGATAATTTTGACAACCTTTATATACTCCGACACTCATTGAAGCCGTGTCAAAGCTTGTTCCAAGGACGAGCTCAGAATTTCGCTTTCGAAGATTATTCGCTTCATTACGCGTGTTGCTGTTGGTGAAGTTTAAAAGACGTTCACGAAAACTTCCAGGCTCAACTTGTCGTTGTACTTCTGCAGTTGTCTGGGGATCTTTCGATGAACAATTATCACAATTTTCTATTTCACAGTCTTCTAAACTGTTATTATCGCTACTACACATGCACTGAAGCTGCAAATTATCAAAATTAATGCTACTCGTACTACAGTTTATCGTCTTCGTCGTGTTATTTGTTTCACAACATTTAACGTTTCGGCAACCTTTGCCTTTAAGATCGGAATGATTATCGTTATCACATGAATCAGAAATCGTAACACGAGTGTTATTATCGTTGAGATTTTGCCACATTAAATTATCGAAGCTCGTGTTTGTTTCTTTATCGACGCAGCTGCTTTTGCCATCACAAATACTGAGATTTTTTGATTGTTCTTGCGGTTGTGTTGGCGGTCGTAATGTCAGTGCGTTTGCGGTATTTTGTGTTTGTGCTGTTCGACAAATATCCAATAATGTTAATATAACATTAGTTGTTGGACCTCTTTGTGGTATTCTATCGTATAAATTCTGCAGTTGCTTCGTCAATAGCTTGATTTCTTCAACCACATCGTTATCACTCAATTTACTTTCACCTTTTGAATGTAAATGATATGAAAATCAATTTCCAATCCTTTTATATAAATAAATAATGTCTAACTGCCAAATGATTCAATGCTTACCGTTTTGATAATGAAGTTGACCAGTTGATGCGTTCACACTGCTTGCACTTGCGTACGTTCTCGGTTGTGATCGGCTTATAAACTTAGCAGTTGATGATTTATTATGCATGGCATCCTCCAGAGACTTTCCACCGTTTCTAAACACAAGATAAACCTGGACAGAATAGAAATGAGTACATATGAAGATATATATGAAATTTATTCTTTGTTTTCTTTGTTAAGCATTCATGCAAAAAGAAGAAAATTGAAAATCACTTCGTTCCGAGTTAGACTTGAAAGCAAGTGGATGGAAATGTTGCCTTAAGAATGCAGAATTGCTTTCTCAATTCACCAACGAAACATGACTCCGCTTTTCTTTTATATTTTTAAATCCTTCTTTTGTTACAAAAGAAAAGTGTTTAAAAGCCTTAAGACGTTTCTCTCGTACTTTTCTTTTTCTTATTGGTTTTTCTTTTTTTCATCTTTTTCTTTCTTTCTTTCTTTCTTTCCTTCTCTTGTCGCAATTGTTGTTGTTATGAAGCAAGACATGCTCGGAATAGAAAGAATTGCTTAAAAAAGAAATTTAAGCGCTCGGCGCGTCGAAACGATGACTTTTCATCTTCTCCATAAATAAATGTCTAAGGAAATTGAAAATATAAAAAAAGCCTTTCACTGTCTGCTTAATTTAATCATCAATGAAAGAATAGAAAGAAAGAGACTCACGATGATTACAAAGTAAAATGTTTGTTCACATGACTGCAGTAGAATGAATTGAAAAATCATCAAAAACTAAGATTTAACTGCTTCATTTATTTCATGGAAAAATTCGATAACGTTTGCATTTTCGACTCCTCTATTAGGTAGGCAATGTGAAGTATTTAGAAATATCATTAAAATAAAAGATTCTCAAGTTGCCTGCCTTCTTACCATCCTCCAGGCTTAATATGTGTAAATGAAACCGAAAATTTATATCTTGACATTTCCCCTTCTTGACTTTTATTCTTAACATCTCGAGAAATGATCGCGTGGAAATGTTTAGCAAATAATTTAGAAGTGACAGCACAATTATTGTAAGGCATTTACACAGAATGTCTCAGACATGTGAGTAGTATTTGGGAAAGGATTCTATTTAGCTTTTCGGAAGTAATAATATGTCAGCGCTTTGGCTGATTTTTGTTTACCTTGCTACCGAATATCAAGGCAAGAAGTAAAGTGACTGTCAACTGGGTGTGGCAGAAAAATATGATGTACAATAAATCTGGATTTGCGGGCGATTGGAGAAACAACCTGAAAAGAGAAATCAAGGAGAAAAAAGTTGTAAATATGATGCCGGAACAATATCAACAAAGTCAACATTAGTAAAATATCATTTTCCTATCATACATTTAATAATCGCATTATGATTTTGTCACAAAAGCATTTCTCTCTTCTTTTTATAGTCTTACACATAAATAGCTGAAAAAATTCTTCGCCTTTTTTATCACTCGACTCCCCCGCTTAGAAGCTTCTAACGAAAGGGAGTGTCAAGATGTCATAATGTGTAATGTTTGCATTTCCACACTCTTTAGACATGTCGAAGAAGCATTTTTTGCTTTTCATCTCATTTATATTTTTTTTCCTTGAAACGACAAAACCAAAAGTTGTCAATTTATTTTTCATCGATGCAAAGCTAAAAAAGATCAAAAATGTTCTTCTTGCTTTTCTTTTACAAAAATTTGTAATGAATATTTTATAAGCAAATATAAATCTTTTGAGAGGCTCAACTCTGTCAGAAATATTTATAATGAATATTACGTTTTCTTTCTTGCTTTTTTCTTCAACATCTACCGTCTATGTTTTATAGCTTTACAGCTCTCATCATTCTCAATCCTTTGACGCTGTAAACGTTCATTTATGGGAAAGAGAAAAGGAAGGAAGAAGTTAGTAAACGAAAAGCTTTCCTTATATTTTGATTGATTGCTTTCGGTTGGCGGGAAAACAAAAATATTTATGTAAAGTGAATTATATTCGAGCAGCATTGAATCCAATTAAATTTATCTAAATATTTATGTTATTGAAATATATGTCGGAGTAAGATTACTACAATTTTTATAAACATTCCCTCCCCGAGGATAATTTACATAAACGATGAAGACTTAAAAATTTTTTTTTTGTTTTAAGCAAATTGGCTTAAGTAATGTTTGACTTTTAGATGATTGAGGGAAAGAAATCTGGGAGAAGAGAAAAGAAAACAAACAATTTGTATGATGCCCAAGATGAGATGAAGGAGATGTTTTTGTTTTTTAGATCAACATAGACGTTGTTTTTTTATGATTCCATCTTCCGTTCATGGATCTCCTTGCCACCGTTTCCTTTATTCTCAATTTTTTTTCTGTATCCTTTTATTCAGAAAACTTGATCCATAACATTAATTTCAAGACAATCTGAAAACTTCTCACCAAATCTAACACTGACGACTTGCAAAACAATGAAACAGCAGAAAAACATAATCGCGCTAAGGTAAGTTGCTCATCCGCATGTAACCGTGAAAAATTCACCTCACCCAACGATTATCAGAATCGCGAATAAATTTCATTCTCATCCGGGAGTTCAGTGGCGTGGAATCTTTAAAAATTCGCAAGTATTTGACAGAAAATTTCGAAGTAAACTTTAAAGATTCGATATTTGAAGCTCGAAAATTGTGTAAGAAGAATTCTAAGGAAAAAGTTGAGAATTTCCCAGAAAAACGTTTCACGTGTTTCGTTTTCGTATTTTTATTTTACAGATTTTTCTTTCCGAAACTTTCTTTTTTATTGAAACATGGAAAAAACTTTTTCGTTCCTTCTTCTTAATTGTCCCAAAAATGCCATAAAATATTATTAATGAAAGTTTGAAAGTATGTAAGTAGAAAGACTTCAGATACATGAAGAAATATATTTACAAGTACGAGCTGTGAGTTTGATAGTTTTGATGATGGCATTAAAGTTTGAAAAGTAATTCAGATATGATAAATGTTTTTGCACAATGTTGTAAGAAATCTTCAAATCTTAGTTGCACATTTCAAAAAGCCATTTAAGATGGTTGGCAAGAGTTCAAAGCAATCTCTACGCCTTTGTCTCCCCAAGGAGTATAAAAATAATGGCTGTAATTTCTAGCTATCTTCATTGTGTACCAGAGCATAAAAGATGAGAGAAAAAATCCACAGAATGAAAGGAAAAAAATACGAAAATTGCAAACACAAGATAAGAAGCGTCGAAAAGGACTCACATTGAAACATTGAGGAAGCAAGTGAGAAGAAATTCATTGTAGATTGCCATTGATATGAAGCGACTCTCGTTGAATTCTGATGGAGCTTTTCGCACGACGATACAAAGACGAACGCCCCATGCCAGAAACAAGACTTCAACTGAAACGAAAGTAAGTGGAAAATTGAAATCAAATTGTTGTAGCACATGTTAAACGCCTTACGAGAGGTAAACGTGTGATCCCACCAGTCGGTCTTACAGAGAAATGCTTTCAAATTATCAGCTGTACGGCCTACAATGACATCGGGCGGTGAGACTAAAGTTCGTATAAGAAGTGCTACACTAACAAATCCACATAGAAGTCCTAACTTTTTTATAAGCGATGCGTCAGTTATTTTTACAGCTTTTGCTGAACGTACACGAAATATCACAGAAATTCTGCAGGATAGAACATAAAGCATAAAAGAAACAACATGAATCGGTATCAAAATATTTTTATTTTCCGTTGAGGGGTTTAACTTTCTGTCTGCATGAATAGATGAGAAGAAAGCCCATAAACTTTTTCACCTACACATAGTTGGTCGGATAAATGTTTATTTTATGCTTTACTAACCAAAACATAAAAATTGAAGCTTTATTATTGGCTATAAAGAAAGGTGAACGTAAACGGACTTTCAAAAGGAAACTTTGTCCCGACTTTTCTTTTTATCCTCATTCAGTCTACACAGAAAGCTTTCAGAAAGTCAAGTGGAAAGAGTTTTATGAAAAGTTACTTGGCAATTAAACAAAGCAGTTAAGAACATAAAAGTTGAATAATTAAAATAAATTTTCATGAAGCCCTCAAGCTTTTTGAAATCTTTTCTCACCTCCAAGTTTTCAACATCAAAGCACCGTAGGTTAAGGAAAATCCTATTTCCCTCAACCAAATTTTTGCAACACAAGTGTATAGCGATGGTGGTGGATACATAACAATAGTCTATGGAATGACAAATAAACGATTAAGCAATTAGTAGAGCACATTATAGAGAGATTTCCTAATTGAATTTTCCCTCTACTAATTTAATTATTAAATGTATTCGTTCTCACCGTACAATAAATAAGGAAAGCTCCCATTGCAATGACTCGAAGCAAAGCGGGACTTGCGGCTTTCACAACCTGTAAAAAGATAAAATAGAATGAGAAAGTTGAATAAATTTTAATTATTTTCCATTATAAATATTTCCACGAATAATAATGTTGAAGGCAATGAATATCTTTTATGAAATAGACATCAGTCAGCATTCATTTAGCATAATATTTTGAAGAATGTTCTGCCAACCAACGTAACAAAATCATTTTACATTAAATTATGCCGAAAGAGCTTTTTTTGGTTGAAAAGGGCGAATAAACAAACAAAACAGTAAATCATTTCGATGATTCAATTTATTTACATATTTTTATGTATGAAGGTGGATTTATGGACCTGCTTTGGTTGCTGTGAAAATATTCGCAATTTTCACTTAAAATTATTGATATATTTCAACATTTCTTTGATCTAAAAATCATATTTGAACATCTCCGTGTGGGCTTTTCCAAATATGACAAATAAACGAATGGGCAAAGCGAAATTTATTGGCGTAAAATGTTTTATAATAACAATCATAAAGTGTACAGGATTTGTTCAATGGAAAATTGAATTCAATATTTACCTTAACTTGTTGATAGCGAAATGTAAAAACGGCTGCTGGAGGGAGGAATCCAATTATAGCGCAGGCTAAAATTAATATGCTTGTTCTCATCGGCCAATTAAGTTCAGCGACGCATGGCGAAGCGTCCTCACAGCTGTCACATCCTTCAGCACAAGGCAGACATTCGAAAGCTTTAGGATCGTTGTAAAAAGAGACTTCGCTCTGTAAGTCATGAGAGGAAATTAACAGAAATATATTTTAATTGAGATGTCAACGAGTCAACTTAATGTCGCAGCAATATTTGTTTGTTAGAAAAAAATTTCTGCTTCATAAATTCCTAAAGATACTCGGAAGAAACTAAACTGGCATGGCAGAATGATGAATAATATTTAATAGGATTTTCTAAGATTGGGAAAAAATCATTGGAAGTGTAACTGCGTGACTTCTTACAACTTTATACTTAAAAAATTATTTTAGTATTTGCCAACTGTAAATGATTTGATGCCATCCCAGTAACTTTAAGAGAGAAATAAATGTTTAAGCTTTGACGACAGGCAAAAGATTATTTGTTCGAATGAAAAATTCTTTGTCAACAGCTGTGTCAGTGATGTTGAGTCAACAAAGAGAGAAGAAAGTTTCACCGAATCCTTCAAGCCATTCAATTATTGATTTTATTCTTCTGTTTTTTAGCTTTTTCTATATAATCTTATCAATCGACAATTTGACATAAGAATATTTCGAACGAAAGGCGAAACATGAACATTTCCCCCTTCTCGTTACATTTACTGACCTGCATTAACTTAGCATATTCTTCTTCCAAACTGCTACCATTGAAATATTTGAACACTGATTTTACGTCAGGATAGTAGAAACCACGTCGACAGATACATTTATATGAGCCCCGTCGAAAGCCGAGACCAGGTATTGGCACACACTACACGAAATGAAAAAAGAAAAGTAAATAAACAAGCAAATAGACTTTTCATTGTTCACTCTAATCACGAAAAATATTCAAGGCACGAAGCTAAATTACGCATACATACCTCAGTTGTCCTTTGTTTGCACTTATCAGTGCCAGCAAAAATATTTAAAGGCAACGCAACACCAGTAGCACCAACAGTATTTTTCTGTGGGCATTGATCAATATCGACTCTCCGTAAATCGATGTCAATGCCGGATGTTCCCCTAGGTTAGGTCATGATGAATTTGTGAAGAGAAAAGAGAAAGAAGAAAACTTTTAAATTAAATATCCGAAGCATGCACACGCCGGAAAACTCCATCAAACTTGATTTGCTTTTTATATGACCAAAAAATTAAACACGAGATTAATTGATTCAGACTTTTTTTGTCGTCGTCGAGAGACTGATGAACCAGAACTCGATTTGATAGAAAACGTCAAAAAAATTTAATCTCTCCTTCTTTCAAACCGAAATGTAATTGAATAATTTAAAGAGAAATGTGCGTCACATCACAACATGAGTCAAAGTATGTCGCACACACAACGAAATCAATGATTTGTTTTTAATTTGCTTACTTGAAGAAATAAGTGCCATTCTCGTAACCAAAGAATGGAACTGTATACGTTAGCATCCAAATGTTACCACCACCGCAATCGTAATATGGTTTTGACCATCTTCCATCCTCATATTTCACAGACAATACTTCTTCTGCATGACGTTCGCTGTCGTCAGTATACGAGTGATAGGCTGAAATGAAAAGCGAGAAGAGAAGACATCAAAACCCGTTTCAAACATTATTGAAAATACGTCAACGTTGGCAAAAGTCATGAAATGATAGTTTGTTTTGATCAAAATCCCACCCAAGCCTTAAACATTTCTTCCGGCAAATATAGAAACTTTCTTATAACCATTTTCTTGTTTTCGAAAAGCTCTAACAGACAGAAAAAAAGAGAGAGAGAAAAAGCAATAAGAAAAATAAAATAAAAATAAAAAAATAACTTTCTTGTTTGACCTCGAATGAATCTTTCATGAGATGAAGGAGCTTTTTTACGATATTGGAGTAAACTAAAAGCCACATGCAATCAATTATGTTATGTGTGTATGTGGGTGGCTGGCTGAAATGTATAGCTTGACCCACATAAAAGCAACAGTAAGTACAAGTACTAGGGATTAAATTAGTGTTCTTCCTCTTAACTCATATGAGGCTGTAAAGTTCAAAAGTGGTTAACAGAAATGTGAGAAAAGAAATAAAACATATTTTGTTGTCACATGTTAAGCTCTTGAAAATAAATTACAATGTTGATGCTGTTTTTATATTCTTTTCTTCTTCTTCTATGAAAATCAGACTCCTTCATTATTTTAAATTGATGTTTGCTTCTCGAAACGTAACGTAAGCTGAAATGTTTTTGTTAACAGAATTTAATTTACTCATTGTTGTTGTGTCAAATAGGAACAAAAAAACAGAAACAATTCTTTCTCGATAGAAAAATATTGAAACTCGTAAGTAACAAGTGGAAAATATATTTAAAATGCTTTACATTCATCAATGTTTTCACATTAAAAGCTTCATGCAATGTCTACTAAAATATTTACAAAAGATCTTTCAACGCTAATTCATCTTGCAGAGCAAAAAGAAAATTCTTTTTGAAGATTTCAGTAAAAAAAGAAAAGATCGTCGCATACAACAGACGCATTTAAGAAAGCATTAACTGAATAACAAAAAACATGATTTATCAACTGCAGACGAATTTATAAAAGAAGATAAATATTTCGTGAATTTACTTAGCAGAAGCTTTCTATCAATAATAATAGCAAACAAAGGCGATGATTGATGAAGCAAATGAATTTGATTATTCTTTACGCGATACGAGAGTTTCGATGGAGTGTTTATGGTGTGCTTTGTGTAACTACGTATACATGCTATACATAAATAATGAAGATATATTGTTAGTGTCTAGTGGAATGTTCAACGCCTTTTAAGACTTAAACTTCATTAGATTAAATAAATATTCCAACAAATTAAAGTAATTAAAATAGGGTTTATCGAGCATGAGTCGTAAATTTTTGAAGTTCATCTCTTACATAAATAGTTTTTTTGTTATTTTCGGTTAAACAGAGTAACGAAAGTTTACCATAAAAATTACTGTTTCATCCAATCCCATCCCATCTTAAATGAAAATTTATTACTGATGTCACACAGAAAAGTTCTGCAGTAATATTTATTCACCCTTAAAGTAACAATAAAAACTTGTAATTACCTTTTATATATTGCTCGTTTTTCGCAATAACTTTCTCGGCATTTTTACGTGCTAGGAAAAACCATTCAGATGTGTTGCCAAGATAATGGTACTCTTTAGCTAGATCCTTTGCTAAGCTTGCTATTTCAGGTGGCGGAAGTCGATGAGCGAAGGGACAAAAAAGTCCTTTTTTGCTCGAGTATTGATTCCAGTCAAAGCAATGCCCAGCTGCGAAAATGTCATCATCGAACTCTACCATAGAGAGTACTGAAGCATGTAGCAGATTTATGTTTTCGTATACATCTGGCGATGTCAATTTAAAAATCCTGTAACAACATATTAAACATTGATGAGGGTCATGATAATCTTTCTTTTTTTGTCTTTTTGTTTTCTTCTCCTTCAAAACAAACACAAAATTTTGATAAATCTATTGAAAAGTTAGTCAAACACTGAAAATTGCTTCATAATCTTTTCCTGTTCAGTGTGTCAACATGAACGATTGCTGCTTTTTAATGTAAAAGTTTTTACTTTTGTTGATATCATCGAACAGAAAAAAGTTTGAATTAAGCTTCTTTAAGATTTTCCAAGAAAAAGAAAATCATATTCTTAAACAACAAGAGAACTTTTTTTATTTTTATCCTATTGGAAAAACGAAAAACTATTTCATTTGTGGTTGAAATATCGATAAGAGGAAAATCGGTATTGAAATCGTGTAATCTGTTGTAGTAAATATCCACAACAAATTGAATGCTTCTGATTGGTATGTTAAGCATAAAATATTTATGAAAGCAAATATTTCCCCCTTTAGCCTTGGTTGAAAGCTTAAATCAAATATCAAATATTTATGGTTGAACATGAAATTAATCCCATGGATATTTTCAAAACAAAGAATGTCTGAGTGAAAGACGTAGATAGATGTAGTTCGGATATTACCTTAACAATGGAGATCAAACATTGATCAAAATATCAAGTGTGATACCTATGGGAATTGATACAATGAATCTTATTTATTATTCAAATAAGTTCACGAGGTTTCATTGACTTCTTAAAAACTGATAATAAATATCATTTTGCGATGATTAGATTGTAATGTATCAATACAAGATTAGAATTCACAAGGGAATGAGAGAATCATACAAAGTTATCGAAATGAGTTTAGGATATGCGAAAAGTTTGTTTTCACAAATGCTTAAGAAAGTAAAGTAAAGGAAATCGGAAATTCCGTGTGTGTGTCCCAACACGAACAAAAATGAGAGCTTAACGTCGGATTAGAAGCATGTCATCGAAAGTATGAATGAAAGTTATTAAGTTTTATTAAACTTACCGTGTTAGCATATTCGCACGATTAACAGCAACTTCAGCTTCGACACGAAACCGATCCTGGGCATATCGATCGACCACACCCTCGCCTAGATTAAGTGCAGTTCCTGCAGTGCAATTTCCGCCCAGAACATGTTGACTCTCGACAATCTGCAGAAATCGTGTCACGACATCACGCCCACGCATAAGATTCTTCCGATTTATTCGAGTCGTTTCATCAAAATCAGATAAGTCTAAATCTTCAATTTGATATATTCCATTAAGGTTGGAAATCTCTTCGATTTCGCCATCAAATTCGACATTGTTTTTATTGTTTGAGTTGTCATCGTTTTGCATGCTAATAGCATTAATGAGTTCCTCATTTTCTATGTCAACGTTGATGTCATTATTCGGTTGAATTCTCTCGTGATCGTCGCCATCATCGTCAACATCAACATCAACAATAACTTTCTGCTGTTCAACGTGAGAATGAAAATTCTCTGAACCATTTCGAATATTTGTGCGGGAGTTCAAAACTGCGTCAATATTTGATCGTGCTTTGTTAATTAAAGATTGCGTATCTGAAATAGTTTTGGAATGCTCCACTGTCATGTTATGACCAGGGATTAGTGAAGAATTGTTTCCAACGTTTGGATGTTGTTTTGTATTTAAATTATGTTGCTGATTGGAAACTTCAATTTCTTTTTCTTTCGAATCAAATCCCTTCTCGTTATTGGCAGTTGGTTCATCGCCTTGCATTTGCTCGGGATTTTCATTCAAGGGATTTACTTCCGTTGATGTTGGAATGTAAAAGACGTCAGCCAAATTGGAGTTTACGCCGAAAGCTATTTGTTTAGTCACTTGATGATTCTTTATGTGTTTTCCAGTTGAGCGACGTTGTGATTTTGCTTTCTTATTTGACTTTTTAAACTTTAACGTGGGGCTTTGAATTTTATTTCTGGTATTTGAATCAAAGCTGAAAATCGTTACCGTTCCTAGTTCCTTTCCATTTATTTTTATCTTCTTCGGCGACCGGATTTTATGTTGTTGCTGCTGTTGTTGTTTAAGATAAGTCGAAGAAGCTTGATCCGCATTCGATTGAGATCGTTTTTTATTATTTTTTCCCGTTCGCTTCCCAGTGTGATCATTTATTTCAATTTCTATTTCGTCCAAGTTTTCATGCGATTTCAGATATTGGATTCCCTTATTGACAGTGTTTTTTATGTTGGTCATAATTTCCTTTTTACGGCCGCTCCGCCGCTTTACCGAAATAGATGCTGGAGATGTGAAAGCCGATTTAGGAATTTCCGTAGTCGGGGGGATTTGTCGATGATACCAATCGTGACGATTCTTGAGAATGCTTTTTCCTTCTTCGACCTTCAATGGGCCATGAGTGAAGTTGATTTCATAACTACCAATCGTTCCATTAAACTCACTCGACTGACTCAAACTTCCATTGTTCTCGAAAAAACTGACAACGTTTAATTCGCCATTAGTCTCGTTCTCAGCACTTTCTAGAAACTCTTCGTGACTTTCAACAATGGTGAGATTGTCAAGAGCTTTCAACCCCCAACGAACATGATCTTTCTCTACTGAATGCCTTGAACGTGAACGCCCATGTCGAATGATGAGAATCTCAGATTGGAACGTCAACTCAATTAATATCGCGATGAACCAAATTATGATCAAACGCGTTTCTGAAAACCATCGCATGATTTTCTTTCTTTTGAGTGTCTTCCACCCGACTGTCTTCACACTTCTTATTGAGAAGAAGAACAATCGTTAAAACAACTTTTGACTATCCATGCCTTTATTAAGTGATGAAAATTGATATTTTAATCAGTTTTATTTCGTTTCTTATTAAATAATTATGAGCAGCAAACTCTTGAAATTTTTTCATCACTCGTTGTCACTTTTAATTGTTCATTTTAACTCGAAACATCAGCAAAAAAAAATTTTTCACGCCCATCTTTGTTTACACTGAGACTGAACGATACTCTGCTGCTTGATTTTTAATTAACATTTCTCTTTTTTCTTTCACGAAATAAATTTTCAAAGAATTTCAATTGTTTTCATTCGAGAATCACATTTTGCTTGTCGCATAGCAGCTGAGCTTAATTTTCATCGTCTTTTTCACTTTCGTCCTTTAACATTTTTCATCCGGACTCGTTTCATTTATTCCATCAATGTCGATTACTTTTCCTCTGGTTATTTCAACGATTCTTGTAGCTCATTTTGCGGTCACTTTCTTTAAACGCCTCTAATTATATTCATTAAGGGAAGAAATTAATTAAAAACTTTTTACTCTTGTTCATCTGCTTTTTTTGCTTTCATTATGAAACATTAAAAAGAAAAGTTTTTTCCCATGACTTGAAACATTTTCTTTGGGAGTCTTGAAAAAAAAATCTCTTGGTTTTTTATAAATTTTTTAACTACACAAATGAAGAAAAATAAAAAACCAAATTTTGTGGGAAGCTTTTAAACAAAGTTTTTCAGTGGGTGAACTTTGAGATGCAAATATTTAAATTATTGAAGGAAAACGTTACGCTTCGATGTAGGAACACATAATTTCTACGCTTTAATTTGTGGTATTTATGTTGAACACGTTTTGAAAGGAAGCTCAAACGCCATCAAATCGTGTTCTTTATGAAGACTGCTCATTGCAAGCATTCTCAGTCATTTTATTTCAAATGTTTCAATGGTTTTATTTATGGTCCACTTTCGTGTTGTAAAACACGCTCTTCATGCTTATGCAGTGTAAGCATCAATCATAATTCTAAATAAATAATTTTCCACATGTAACTCTAAATATGATTTATAGAAAAATTTATTTCACTGATTACGGTTTATGAAAGTCTGATGTAATGAATTCGCCCTTAAATATTTATTTACTGTTTTCAAATGTTTATTATTCACACTTTTCCACATAAATTTAGGGATTCCGTCTGAGAATATTCAGTTGCGGCTTCGACAAATATTATTTATGGGACGATTTTCATTTATGGTAATGAGGAAAAAATTCTCATGAGATTATTGACGTGGAGAAGAAGACGAAAAAAAAGTCTTTCGCTATGTTGGGGCTTCGAAAATTTTTTATTCTGAAATATATTTTTTATCCGAAATGAAGGAAAAGATTCATCAAATAAATCTTCATCAGGTTGATGCAATATTAATCAGGATTTCAATAAGAAATTAATGTTATATTATGGATCAGAGTTGGGATTTGACTGACTGACTGACAGACATTGACATGTCAGTCAGTCAGTCAATCGAGTTGGGCGGAACATTTGTATGAACGTTTCCCAACTGAAAAGTCCAAAGATGCGAAAAAATTTGGACGGACAGACATTTTTAAACTAGAGTTTTTAAACTTAAAAACAAGCAAAATATCATTTATGCTTTAAGAATATCATGATTATGATAAAGATTATTAATAAAGAAATCAATTTTTTAATTCTATTATAGAAAGAAAAAGTTTTTTCAAAACTATTTTATAATATAAAATTCAAAAATACTTCAGTGATTTATCACA